CCAAGGTGACAACACTGAAGGTATGTTTATAGTAAGTAAACGTAGTATAGTAACTAGATATATATCTTTGATCTCATGTTACTATACATTGCATGAAGAAAACCTAAACTAACTTTATTTATACTGGATAGCTCTATCAGTTTTAAACTGTTCTTCCTAGAGGTCCAGTAAGAATCATCTCTTATTGATCCATGCAGGGTTACTACAGGAGGAAACCTAAACTAAACTAACTTTATTTATACTGGATAGCTCAATCAGTTCTAAACTGTTCTTCCTAGAGGTCCAGTAAGAATCATCTCTTATTGATCCAGTGCTACAGGAGGAAACCTAAACTAAACTAACTTTTTTCATACTGGATAACTCTATCAGTTCTAAACTATTCTTCCTATAGAGGTCCAGTAAGGATCATCTCTTATTGATCTAGTGTTACTACAAGAGGAAACCTAAGTATAAACCAAACTATCAAAAGTTGAAATCAGAACTTTTGTTTGTTAACCTTGTCGCTCGTGATATTTCAATATCTGTTACGTTATCAATGTTTCCTAATCTCCACCTGACGCGTGCCGCACTTTACTCATGTCAGAAAATAAAAACAATCAAATCTTTATTAAAATATTAACAATCGAATTCCTTGTTAACCTCGTGACATAACGCGTGCCACGGTATTTGCAAATCGCACATGTTTTGAGATAACTCGATCACGCTAGACATTTGGTTAATAGACACGATATTTATGAGATTTCGCTGGCGTCTGGCGTGCGATTTTATCTTTTCAAGGTGAAGATTAAATGCGCTTATTATTTTAGATTTTTAGTATAAGCCTTAATATATGACTATGTAACTCTCTGAGTATCACCAGTTTTGAACTGGTATAGCTAGTGTAGTTTAGGTTTTCGTCCTGGACCTCTAGGAAGAACAGTTTAGAACTGATAGAGCTATCCAGTATAAATAAAGTTAGTTTAGTTTACGTTTCCTCCTGTAGTAACACTGGATCAATAAGAGATAATCCTTACTGGACCTCTAGGAAGAACAGTTTAGAACTGATAGAACTATCCGGTATAAATAAACTTAGTTTAGTTTAGGTATCGTCCTGTAGTAGCTAACACTGGATCAATAAGAGATGACCCTGGCTGGACCTCTATAGGAAAAACAGTTTAGAGCTATCCAGTGTCAAAAAAGTTAGTTCAGTTTAGGTTATACCAGACTAATTGATAACACACGCGCTCAGAAGCACTTTTCATTGGCGAAGGGGAGCGATTACGGCAGGATAAAGCAATGATGAATGGTTGCAAAGACAACAGACGCCGTATAACGTTTTACAAAAGATAAATTTAGTGTAGCGAGTCGGGCGCGTGTCAGGCATTGTATAGTAAGGCAATTATTCCTGATAATACTTACGATAAAGCTTGTCTTGTGATTAACTTTCATCACACAAGGCATGAATTAATGATCCACTTAATATTGTCGCGTTTTACAATTGAGAGGTAATTATTGGCAAATGAATGTAGTTTAATAGCGTTGTAGGCGACGTGGGTAGCCGAATGCTCGTGATTATTTGGAGTGTTAGGTGTTAATCCTTGGAAACTCATTAGGAGCATTTTAACTGGTGAGCTATTATCCGGCTATATTAGGAACTATATATATGGCGAACGGTTAAAATCAGAGCCGCATGTAAAAGAATCGATTCTCTTGTGGAAAAATCACATAGTAGATGATCCTTGATGGACCGCTGGGAACTGATAGACCCATGTAGTATAAATAAAGTTAATTTAGTTTAGGTTTCCTCCTGTAGTAACACTGAATCAATAAGAGATGATCCTTACTGGACGTCTAAGAGGAACAGTTTAGAACTGATAGAGCTATCCAGTATGAATAAAGTTAGTTTAGTTTAGGTTTCCTCCTGTAGTAACACTGGATCAATAAGAGATGATCCTTACTGGACCTCCAGGGAGAACAGTTTAGAACTGATAGAGCTATCCAGTATAAATAAATTTAGTTTAGTTTAGGTTTCCTCCTCAGGCTGTAGTAACACTGGATCAATAAGAGATAATCCTTACTGGGCCTCTAGGAAAAAAAAACTTAGCTATAAGCTTAGGTTTCTCTGATATACTAGAAGAAAGACCCTGGATGATTTATCGAGTTATTGCAGACATATTTGCTCAGTCAGAGTAAACACAAACATGCTCTATTTACAGTGTTATATATTTTGTAATCTGGTCCAGGTGGCCCTTGTCAAATGGCAATTGCGTCAGCCAGTGAAAGGTTGCATTGTGCTGATAATTAACGGTCCTTTTTTACTGAGTAGAAGCATAGATTAAGGCAAAGTTGAAAAAAAACTATAGTAAAAAAAATTCAGTTTAGTTTAGGTTACCTCCTGGATCAATAAGATATGATCCGTTCTGGAGGGCATTTAGGGAGACTAGATTAGAACTGATAGAGCTATCCGGTATAAACAATTTCCTTCTGTAGCAACACATATGATAAATGCTAGCTTCTTGCGTTAAGAATCATTAAAACTTAACATTTGCTTTATTTAGTGTTTGTTGAACTCGAGTTTGGTCAGAATCTTGTGTTTTGTTCGTTGTTTTGGCCGAAGGCGATGGTAACAACGAAGCATCATGATGTGACCGTTTATTGGATTCTTGTATTTGAGGACAAGGCATCTTCCGTAACTCATTTTGACGTTTCTGTGTTGTGTATGTGTGAGGAATATAGTCTATTATTACAGAGGTAAACTTTTTTCATGCTTGCATGGACATAAATTATAAATCAAACGGGTGGCATAACAAAATCGTATCGCAAAATTTGGGACCTCATGTGGAGTAAGTTCAATGTAACTCTTGTGATTCAGTATTTGCATAGTTTGGCGCCAAAATCATGCTGCCTGTTGTTGTTATTCGCAGGCTGCCTGAAAGAAATTAAAAATGCAGTATATTTAAAGCATTGTTAAAGTCGTTGAATGGATGAATAATTAAGCTAGCGTGGACCTCGTGGTATACGGCTTCATGTCATGATGATAATATCTTAATGATTCTATCACCGTGGATGTAAAAAAACAATTCATCGCAAACGATACAGCACTACACAATGTGTCGTGGCATACCTTAGCATGGTTTCAAAACATACCTTAACAGCATATCGTGCCAGATTAATAACATATGATACCTTATCTTAACCGTAGCAAATAGTAACAATATCTTGGCCATAGTAATTCCACATCTCGTAATTAACCTTAACAAATATTTCAACTTCATAGTTAACCATAGTAACGCATCGTACCAAAACATATACGTTACCATAGCTTCCTATGATATACCATAGCTTGTATGCCTTAAAATCACCATAACAATACCTCAACATAGCATAGCGATCTCCTTACCTTAGCTATATTTCTTAATACCAACCCCCCCCTTCCATATTTCTTGCATGCGTGGCACTTATTCAAACTGTCTCTGCACACTCAAGATTCTAATCATGGCCATTAGTAAACACTTGAATTGTATGAAACTATTCGCTTAATGATTTGATTTTGAAGCGCCGAAATTCAATCTACTCCCCCAAATAGAGTAATTCATATTAAATCATATATCCCCTAAATCGGTGAATGCTTTAAAGTTTCATCAAACCTTCAACAATTCATCTTGATAAACATTTAAAAAAATTTATACATGTTCCTACACTTTAGTTCATTTTACGCGCTCAAAATCAACCAGTAAATTATGGGGATGCTTGCCAGTGAAGTATATACATATATATGTTTGAACCTTGAAGAATTGCATTTAATAATATTGTGGGCGCGTGCCATTGATTTGATTAAGTACCATGGCACGCGTTTGTTAAGCCTTCTTTAATTATTTTCAATATTGGCATGGTTCGTGAGACGCCATGACTTATGACAGCTCTGAAGATTGACAAGGATTCCTCGAGAATTCGCGAACGAACTAATTAGAACAAGAGAAACGCCCAGAAATATCGCTGGTTTTGTGCCAAGAAGGCTCGAGAATGGCAAAATTCGATCAAACGTTTGGGCTATTTGCAAAGCATTGACCGTGACGTATTTAACACACAATTTCGCAAAGTAAATAAGTCGGAAGATAAAAGATTATCCAGTAACAAAACTCTCGAATTTCAATCGAGTAAAAAGGTCCAAAACACTTCTAAATGTTACAATACAACTTCGGTTTTGTTTGATTTGAATGAATTTGTTACAATGAAACTTCTGGGAATGCTTTTCGTTCCTTCAAACAATCGAAGCGTTTTAGGCGGTTGTGGTTGCATGTGGGCTTTGACAAATTAGTGTACTAAAGAATTAGTTTAAAAACTTCACAAAGCCACAAATATTCGTGAAAGAAGCGTAGCAAAACGCGCATAAAGCCAAAGGTTTCTGCGACGAATGTAGTTAAACTAACAATTAGACAAGTGTCCATGTTCTAATTAGCAAAGCATGTTACTAAATGTTTTCTTTACAAAATTATCCGTCTGGCACAAGTATCGCTTGGGTAAATCCACAAACGAATGTTTTTGCCGTTTCCAAACAAGCGTTAATTGCCGAAGGCAAACACCGCCCCAAAATTGCTAGGAAATAGATGTGGATTTACCTTGATAAACGAAGCAGGCGAAATAATTAAACATGTCATTCGGATACAACCATCGCAGAGTAGAATTAGTTTTGTATTTGCAAATTTGGGGTGTTTGTAAACCCTATTCAATATGTATTCACGACAAAGCAAATATCACCTAACAAAGAGTGTTTTAATATAAAAATTTTTCTATATATAGCTTGTATACAAATGTGAGTTTGATAAAAGATTTAAAAAGATTGGATCTCTTCTTTAAAATGTACAAAATTTGCTGGTCGCAACTTTGAGTTTCTATCGAGTGAGGACGATATCGACTGAGCGTTGATTGGCAATCAACGGCCTTCGTGTTTATCTCGTCCACAGGAAGTTACCAGAAGCATATAGCATGCAATGTGTATAATATACAATAATATATTCTCAATATCTCTCAATAAAATATATATCTCTAGTATTCTGCCTGGCAGGATTGGTGTCCGTTTACTAAGCTTTAGCGAGGAACTCATTTAATTAAACAATATTATAATTATAATCAATGATTATAATTCTTCAATTTCTTTTGTATCGCTTCCTGATGCCACGGCAAACTTTGTCCAATCGATTGCTAACATAAAACGCCTTCAGAGCGTTCATAGATGCATTGAATATCACTGTTTATACCCGCGAAGATAAACATCCAGTTCAGCGTCGTTAATACCGTAATCAAAGTCCTAAAGACAACAAAAAGCAAACAAGTATTAAAATCCGTTTGATCCTCGCAGAGCGAGAAGGAGTCGCATTAGAAAAGATTTAATCGTTCTGTAAGCGTTTGACTAACATTGCCACAATTACAAAGTCGTTAAGCGCATATGTAGCACATTAAAATCTTATCAAGAAGCGGTGTGTACGTGTTTGTAATAGTTTTGTGTGAATTTCATGTGGCTATTAATCGTGTTGCAAGTTTGCCTAATAATCTCCGTATACGCAAGTTCTTGAAGTATACCGAAGTTACATTTTATGTTCTGGATTTTTGGTGTGGAATAAAAAGCGACGTATCCCCGTTGGTTGTAAACGAATTTCGTGAAATAAGAGCATGCAAACATATGTAATTTAATAGTCAAACTTAAAAAAGATACAATTAATCATAGCCTGTAGCCTGTAGGAACTTATAGCCGAGCTGCAGGGTAGGCAAGAATGTCCAACTATTAGTGTTGCAATTAAGTTGAAAAGTTGTTACTTTTCGATTCAATTTTGTTCCTAAATATAGAAATTGCAAAATAATTCTGCCGTGAAGTCGGTCCACGCTTGATTTTACGGGTGGCTGGATAGTGGAGTTTCTTTTATCTAAAGCATATGAATAAGCTTAATCTCACCTCGTTTGAAGCGGTGTCATAACAGGCATATTGTGTGTTCGGTTCAGGAGATAAGCAATCCTCTAACGTGGGACTGCTTGGTTCCTGGTCGCCAGAGCTGCAATCGATCAACATTGACCTCCCGTACAACATACTCGAATATGCCGACTGGCTACCGTAGTTCATGGCTTGATCGAAGAACATTGGTGCTGTCAAAGCAGTCATCGTGAAACTTGTTGCAGAATTTGCGCTTTGCAGACATTCGCTGAGGTCTGTGATGTAGTCGATTGCTTGACGGAGCACCTCGATTTTCGAAAGTTTTTGCGGATTTTGTCTGTCGAAGCAGGGTACTTTTTTGCGTAGACTTTCCAGTGCGCTGTTGAGGACGTGCCGCCGTTTTCTCTCACGGGCACTGGCTTTCAGACGTCGCGTTTTGTCGAGTACCACCCACTTTCTGTAGCGCGGTTTTGCTTGGAGCTCCTTTGCAACCTCCTGAACGCCATTTGTGTCCTCGGCATCGTCGACACATGGCGAACTCAACGATGTTTGGTAATCGTTCATTGTTAAAGCAGCACTTGCTACGAATTGGGGCTGTTGCGACGCAGGGAGTGTGTGTATAAACGAGCCAACACGCTGAATGTAACTGACACAAATGATCTCGCGGCTTTGTTCCGGCGCAGTTATAAAGAAAGCCTTGAGTACACGCGCCTGCTCTCTGGCCTATGAAATGCGCTCTCAAACAATGGCTCGCCTGTCAGTCATAATGACAAAGCGTCAAGGCCGCCCCATTCATTCAGTAATCACCAACTAAATTGCCAGCACGTGCCATTGAGAACTCAATGTCATTTTGCGTGAATGGGTCTTAATTGACTCCGCAATACTTAAGCATGCTCAAAAAGCATGCTTTTTAACAATGGGCTCGTCGGACTCGGGACTGTGTAGTATTTTATAAATGCCTGTCGTTCGGTTATCGGCATGCGTCGCTATAATTCGCTACAATACAATGTTTGCAACTTTTTCCAATGTCTGGCGAAACAAGTGCCATTATAAAAGGAATTTGTAATTATATGAAGAGGAATTTTTGTTTTTTTATCATCACGTTTGTAGTAAAAAAAAGTATAAAAATTTGGGCGAATATAATTTCCATATCGAAGCGCATGAAATGATGTTAAGCTAGACTGTGTCTGTCTTAACATAAGATCACTTCAAAAAAGCTTATATTCATTAATACTAATAGGTAGTCAATTTACAATCGTTACATTATCAAACCCGGTTGGCTTTGCATTAGATACAACAGCTCCTAACGACTAAAGTTGTTTGAAATTAGTCTATATTCAAAGACCTGCAGAATCGTTGCAGGATGAGCACCCATGCTTCACTGACCCAGGAAAAAATTTCGTTAACTCGTCGAAATTTGAAATAAGTAGGTGTTGAAGACCACGTGGTAGGCTGTTACATGAACATGAGGAGTTTTTTAGGCTGGTGAAAGACATGTGACAGCACGAGTTGTTGTACTGAATATCACCGTGTGAACAGATTCGGCAGGCTAGCCCGCTTTGCCTTGCCCACGTGTAGTATTAAACGATAATTGATATGTCTGTTGGAAACACGGGAAGTCGCTGTCAAAGCCTATCATACCAATTTAAGCTTCCCAAATCAGGAAATCACGGCGAATGCCATGCAGTAATCTCCGTAAGGAAGTTATCATCTCGAGCCGGCTGTAGAAGTTTATTTTGATCGACGAAACAGCGTTGTTACATGAATCCGATGATAACAGTGTGTCGAGTTGTTTTACCCAAGTGTGAATCACGCCACATATTTATGGGGTAAGGATACTGCCCCATAACTTCCCCCTCGCTCCCACCTCCGCTCTTCGATCGGGGGTGAAAAGAACTGGAAGTTTTGAAATTGTTGCAAAATCCGGCGTTTAGTAAACGTGTCTAAATTAGTAAAGCATGCGCAACTGATTAGCTGTAATCTACAAGCCTCATGTCGTAACATTTGATACCATTGAGAATACCGTTTACTCATTACCGATCCCCTGTAGTACACAACCGATCCACTGTTGGCTTACCCTAACTATCCGTTAAGTTTCTTTGCTCAAAGACAGTAAATGCGAACTATATCGAAGCTTTCCAAAACGAAATTTCGAAGGCAGAAGACTGCCAAATTAGTTTCATAAATGCATGGTCGATGTTGCGTTGTAAGGCTGCAAGCGTGTTTCAAAGAGCCCTTTTTCGGAGAGCAACTTCAACCGAATTATACGTGTTGATTCAAGATATGCGAGAATTCAGTTTTTTTCACTTGATATAGCTATGTAAACATGTCAGTTTTATTAAACAGGCACTTAATTTTTAAATTTGAAATGCGTAGTTCGCCGTAATGAAGAGTATTAGTCTTGGGCAGGAAGTTATGAAAATATCCTTGTATATAACAATCGTAAACATCCGGCTGACGTGTTTGGTGTTTTTTCTAAAACTAATTATCATGAGCAAAAATTTAGGAAGTTATGCCTCCTGTGTAAATTTAGGTGATTCAATTTTAATACACTGCCGATATAACACTACACGTTTCATGTTACTCAGTCAATGGACAGTCAGGACAGATATGAAAAAAAATCAGTTACAGGAGAGGACCTTATTTAACCAGTGTTACTATAGGAGGAAACCTAAACTAAACTAACTTTATTTATACTGGATAGCTCTATGAGTTCTGAACTGTTCTTCCTAAAGGTCCAGTAAGGATCATCTCTTATTGATCCAGTGTTACTACAGGAGGAAACCTAAACAAAACTAACTTTATTTATACTGGATAGCTCTATCAGTTCTAAACTGTTCTTCCTAGACGTCCAGTAAAGATCAACTCTTATTGATCCAGTGTTACTATACAGGAAGAAACCAAAAATATAGTAAAGTTATTTATAAAGGATAATATTACCGTTTTAAACGTTCCTTCCTAGAGGTCAAGTGAAGATAAACTCTAGCGTCGACAGGGGGGTGGGAAAGTGGCATAATTATCTATGGATAAAAGGGACCCCGGTCTGTTCGAACTGCAAAAAGATGCGTGCTCCCCGCCTTTAGGGCTATTCCTAATGGAGAAACGTCCCCGATCTTGGTTGGATGAAACCCAAGCCACTTTCTGCAGTGTGCGCGCGCGGTGATGCTGATTGCTGACCCGTCGCCAGTCTGTCCGTCTGCAACGCTTAATAAATGTGAGATAAAATCTTTTGACGCATTAGTGCACCTTCGTGCACAAATCGGGCCTGGTTGAAACTAAACAAATTAGACCATATTACTTTTCGAGAACTTAGCGAGTGTCAAATTGTTTGTTGACACTGCCAAATTAGCAATTATGTAGTTTATTTTCTTTTCCATTGTTTTGTTTGTTTTACAAGTTTAAGTGCCGTGAAAAAATCTTAAATAAACGCGAACGTATTTATGTTAGATTGCTATATCAAAGCTCATTACATATTGATGCAATGTTGATGATGCATAATTACTACAAGACGAAACCTAACCTGAAATAACTGAAAAGCGCTATCATTTCCAAATTGTTTTTCCTATATACTAGTATATAGCTTCAGTGTTACTGCAGGAGGAAACCTAAACTAAACTAAAGTTTATTTATAGTGGAAAGCTCTATCAGTTCTAAACTGTTCTTCCTAGAGGTCCAGTAAGGATCATCTCTTATTGATCCAAACCTAAACTAAACTAACTTTATTTATACTGGATTACTCTTGTTCTAATCTAAACTTTTCTTCCTATAGATGTCTGAAAGAAATTATAGTTGTTTGATCCAGTGATAATATGGAAGGAAAAGGTAAAATATAGTTTGATTTTTACTATAATTAACTCCCTTAGTACATTCTTCACTGATGCAACCAGTGACCGGGCCATCAAAAGAGTGCTTTAGCAGTGACTACGAATAAAAGATTCGTCCAAACTACGGGGCTTCCCGCCCCAAACTCGGTGCTTCCCGCCCCAAACTCGGTGCTTTTGCGTACGCCATCTACCTCGCAAACCAGGCTTTTTTCACCTTCGCTTCTGAACGACGAAGTTAATCAACAAACTCGTACGTAATGATTGGCGATTTACGAGTTTTGGCTGATGGCGTGAGCAAACAACGCGCGAAAATGACGAATCTTAGTCGTATTTCTAGTCATTGATAAAGCTCCCTCCTGAATACATTTACCACGTCAAGTGTACCACGCCGTTGAAAGGTTCAAGAGGCGGGGAGGGAGGAAGCTGCAGCCTCTGAGATTTAGTGATTTAAATCCGGCAATTTTTGATGAATCATACGCATAAATCTTTAATCGAATTTGCATGATTTACAAAAATTAACTTGTGTATACCCAGGTTCTCCAGGCTCTCTTTGATAAAGTAGTATAACAACTTGCTAAAATAGACAAAACACTTCTCGACGTTTCGACTTGAGGGCCTTCATCAAGAGAGTTTGTAGTCATTTTTCATACTAACTCTCCTGACGAAGGCCCGCAGTTCGAAATGTCGAGAATTTTTTTGTCTATTTTAGCCAGTTGTTTTACCACATTTGATGCTAAGTTGTTTGAAGACGCTGCGACGCTGCTCCCTGGTAATATTGGAACGTATCTCTTTGATAAAGGTTATTTATATATCTATAGATGCTTTGTCGTCTTTATAACGTACACAGAAACGGCCAGTCTTCTCGATAATTGTAGAATATCATTATAGTTTAAATCTAGTATTTCATTAATAGATTTAACTGCTCTTAATCCCCGATTGATTGTTATTCTCGTTACATGTTACATTCTGTAGTAGTGCAATATTCTTTGTTTTAGTTACAATCACCTGAGGCTGAACACGCGTCAGATGCCGACACGAGGTCATTTCAGTTCAAGGAAAAAAAATCACGTTTCAGGTTAGTAAATAAAGCATGGGGTCATTATGGCAGGAAATATTTAAGAAATGTAGGCTAGTTCATTAGATGCTAGCGCTTTGAGGAAAATTTTTGACTTCATTATGCTTGATTTGATTTCTGTAATATGCAGTTGTCTGATTATAATTTCACCTCAGTCACATGTGAGAAGAGTGTTTCTAGTTTGACTCTACCAAACACAGTGGTTAGTCCATGTGTCTTTCATCTCTGTGACTGAGGTTTGATTCCTGTAATATGCAGTTGTCTGATTATAATTTCACCTCAGTCACATGTGAGAAGATTGCTTCCAGTTTGACTTAAATGGAGTCAAAAGGCCACCGGTTGATAATGCTTATATATAATAACGTTTGCTTGCACACATTATTTTTTCTGGATAAAACGTAATGGGGAAATAAGCAACTGCTATAAAAAATACGTAAAATATTCCGACATTTAATCCTAAGGATTTTTATCTACACGACTGAACTATGCTTTAGTAACATCGTCTTGCCACTCTCCTGAATTGAGGAATGACGAACATAGCCATAGGTCCACGAGCCGCCGACAGACTTTCTTGTATACGAAAATACAATTCTCGAAGTCCGAAAGTATTTCATAAGAGGATTTTCGAAAAAATAGCTGAGTTATTCCGGAAAGCGTGTTCATTACCATTCTAGGAAGTCCCTACTTGACGAGCGGCACGTGTTCGAAACATGATACTTGACTTTCGAGTAATTAATTGCGGCCATAAAATTTCGCTTCAAAAGAACAGAAACTATAAATCAGAACCCTCGAGGTCTTTTATGACAAAAACAAACATTGTAGACAAGAGCCACTGGCCGACAGGTTCTTCAAAGACGCGCTTTAACCGACGATAAATATATATATTAATTATAACAATCTGCTCTGGTGAGGTAAATATTTTAGTATAGGCACGTTGCCAGCTTTAACGCATTAACATTGTTGCAAGGAAGTCGTAAAACACGTGTAGGACGTTATGAAGACGCTAAATATAACAATGAGTGTCTTTGAATAAAATTATATTTCCTGTGCATAGGATTAGTGCGAAACTTGTGGTATTTATTTCCCTATAAAGTTTGTGGTTTGTGAAAGATTTGTCCTTCCCATCTCAACCTTGCTTTCCTCATTTCCTCTGCAATATCTACCACCTCACATCTTCTTCTGATCTCTTTATTTCATATCTCTGACCAGCTCTCCTTCATCTCTTCTTATTACGTGTCGATATCATCTCAACCTTGCTTCCCTCATCTTCTCTGCAATGTCTACCACCTCACATCTTCTTCTGATCTTTTTATTTCATAATATCTCTGAGCAGCTCTCCTTCATCTCTTCTTATTACTTGTCCATATCATCTCAACCTTGCTTCCCTCGTCTTCTCTGCAATATCTACCACCTCACATCTTCTTCTGATCTCTTTATTTCATATCTCTGACCATCTGTCCTTCATCTCTTCTTATTACTTGTCCGGCCATATCATCTCAACCTTGCTTCCCTCATCTTTTCTGCAATGTCAACCACCACCTCACATCTTCTGATCTTTTCATTTCATAATATCTCTGACAAACTCTTCTTCATCTCTTCTTATTACTTGTCCATATCATCTCAACCTTGCTTCCCTCATCTTCTCTGCAATGTCTACCACCTCACATCTTCTGATCTCAGCTCTCCTTTATCTCTTGTTACATACCCTCACCTTCTGAGCGATGTTTTCCATTCCAAATCTTCCCATCCCTAAATCCACAATACATACGACCAACCCTACCCTTGTTAGGCCACAATGAGATCACGAAACCCGCTGATTGAAAGGATCGCATGTACACACTGACTGCGCAGTTTATAATACATACGTCACACAGCCATGAATTATTTAAGCAACATTAACGGCTATCTTATTTCCCGATACAAGTGCTATAATTACCGCCAAACACGATATGGGATCGTACAGGTGTTAAAATATCTCATAACAGCGAATCGTATAATTAAAATTTTGTTTTTCTAACCTTTTGCGAAGCTCTGAACTAACTTTGACCCAAGCAGTTTTAAAATGCCTTTGGGAAACGTGATTGCTTATGTTGCTCATGTAAAAAATGACTCCAAAGCGCCGACTTTACCCAGTTCAAATGTCGCACTACGGTGTAAAAGGGCTTCGTTGTTTTGAGTAACGTTTACCCTGTAATTTATCAAAATGAAAATTTAATAATATGCGGGCGAAGTATGTACTCCAAGGCATATATTCCTTGTCTTTGAATTATGAAATATGAACATTAATTTGACATTGGCAGGCTTCGGTTTTGAACGGTTACGCTTCGATATTTTATCATAAAAGTTCGGAATATGTTTTGACTTTTTAAAAGAGCGATTATTTTTTCGTCTTTCCGCGTGTATTTACACAATTTCATCCTTAATTGTCATATCTGATTCAGCTCGGATGAGAGCAAAGAGGCAAGTCTTATGATGAAATATCCTATATCAGTCATTTTTATATCCTCGTTGACCTGAACCGATAATCTCTGGCGCGGTTAACTTTTAATTTTGCCAACATAGGTTAGTTTGTTCGAGATATTGTCAAATTTCCAAACGATTCGGCTCGCGTCACCGGCTGTCGCTTTTCAAAACAGCGGCGAACAGCTGTGCTTTCCTTTTGCGATTGTGAAAAATTACATATACTGCATTAATTAATTTTAAAAGAAGTTCATTACTTTTCCCGCTTACTGTATCCCATGGGGAAGACTAGATATTAAATGTCGTAGGGCTAAATATATATGGATAAATTCAATGTATATTTGTAGCTATATTTTTAAAGATGATGCGTTTTTCAAAGCAGACCAGATGCTTGCGTCATTCACGCTTGTTTGAGATTTCAAATGATAGTTAAGTTCGATAAATAGCTGACGTTGATAAATTGAGCACTAGCTGCTGTTATTTTAGTTTGCATATTACGAACATGATTTTTCCCCACCGTTGCCATTCGTAACGAGAAATAATATGATTTATAAATTGATCTATACGGTATTGCCGTTTTTAATAAATATTGAGTTTCATGCAAAGCTAAAGACTATATATTCTTTAACTATATTGTTGCTTGACTTAAGACTGAAAAGCGTTCAGTTAAGGAAAGGCCGATTCTTTTTCCAAAGATGCACCCTCATGCGGCATATGGAACAATAATTTTCCGGGAAAGTTGAAAATGAAGAGTTGACAAGCTAAAAACAGCATTGTCCATGTTTTTTTTGGAGAGCGTCAACATTAATATCATGCATTTATGCTTTTTTCTGCCACCCGTTATAGCTTTGCAAATTGCAACCGAAAATAATACCTTAGCACACCACAGGAGACGATAAAGGTCAGTGCTGGCTCCGTAATACTCATTTCCTGATAAGAGTTCCATGCATGACTGGTCCACCTATATTAGTCCAGTAGGGATCGACTCTTATTGATCCATTGTTACTTCAGGAGGAAACCTAAACTAAACTAACTTTATTTATACTGGATAGCTCTATCAGTTCGAAACTGTTCTTCCTAGAGATCCAGTAAGGATCATCTCTTATTGATCCAGTGTTAATACAGGAGGAAACCTAAACTAAACTAACTTTACTTACACTAGCTGGATAGCTCTATCAGTTCTAAACTGTTCTTCCTAGAGGCCCAGTAAGGATCATCTCTTATTGATCCAGTGTTACTACAGGAGGAAACCCAAACTAAATTTAGTTTATATTATTTATACAGGATATCTGTGCATGTCATTTCCAAACTGCATGTGTTTTCCCTGAAGGTCCACCAAGGATAATTCTCTATTGATCCGGTTTTACAAAACCAAACCTAAACTAAACCAACTATTTGTCATAAACTGTTCTTCCTAGAAGTCCAGTAAGCATAATCTTGCATTATAGTTGAAAAAATATTCCGGGTAACATATATTAGGATTTTAGAATTTTGCGTTTTAAAGCCCTGTTCTCATATGCATCGCAGACAGTCGGCGACGTAGTGTATAAAATTTATTCAAAATAACAAAGCACTTTATATATTCATCAGTGATCACCGACAATATAGGCATCGCCGACCGTCGGTGATATATGAGAACCACACTAGCTCCTAAGAATCGGGGATCCATTGTCTTACTTTCCGACGGACAAAGCATTTTATGCACAAGTGACCTCGGGCAAAAGGAATTCCAGATTCTTTGGACAAGTGTGGATCAGGCTTAAAGAAGTAAAATTATACTGAATATAATTGGATATAGGTCTGTATTTCTGTTCATTTCTCACAAGATTTTTCTCACTAATATATTTACATGCTGATAATGTCTGTATTGCTTTGCACAATATTACGTGCCGTTTAATAAAATAATTTTAAATATACAATTGGCAACAAGCAGTAGATTCAAATTGGTGGAAAAACAAGCCTATATGCATGCAGCCCTTGGTAATATACAGCGAAACTTTACCGCCTCGAACCAAGGTGCGCTGATGCGTCAGGCTGTCAGGCTAGTGTTTCATATAGTCAACATATTTTCCCTAGAAATTCTTCCTACGAGAGCGTCCCTCGGTTTGCAAAGCGTTCGTGCAATGCGACACACAATCCGCAAACTGCTTGAGAGATCTTGCTGATGTATCACTCTCGGCCAGGTTAGAAAGCGCGGAAATGTAGTACGTCGCCAGCTTCAGTATCGCTAGCTTCGAGAGTTTTTGATCGTGAGAATAACTCGGCACAGCTCGCCGTAAGTTTTCAAACGCGTCGCTCAAAATATGAATCCTTGAGCGTTCCCTTGCGTTAGCTACCAAACGCCTCGATCGACTATTTTGTTTCCAAGAGCTATCCTTTTTCGTCGCCGGTGAGGATTTTACTTTTTTCGTCGAATCGCCGGACATTTTTTTACGAATTCCACGCTTTCCGCAGTGTTTTATTTGCGCACTTGTCTGTTCCACCTCTTCGAGTTGCTCGCCGTCATCTCCTAAATGGCTCTCTCCAAACTTTCTCGCGACACTTATCGCCTTCTTTCCCGTATTCGATGATTGCCCGTTCGACTTCGAGCCTGTTGTGTTCAGATAGCTCAAGGCGACTACATCGGGTTCGTCTTCGGTCGAATGCCGTCTTTCGTAAGACCTTTTCTCAGCCGCACTTGAACTATGGCTTGCTTTGCCACGCTTTGCATCTTTGCCAACGCTCTTAGTTCTTTCAGAAGCGGTGTTGTCGCTTCCCCTGGGACGTTTTAACGAGTTCGAACCACTTCTATCGAAACACTTTGCTTTCGAACGAACTTTTGAATCTTCAGAGCGACTCTGTGACGATCTTTTGCCTGATCTTTCCGAGTATAGCAACGGTATAACATCTGTTTCAGACGTCGAGCTTGTCATCTCCTGAAAACCTTTCGGCTCTATCCTAAACAGCGCGTGAAAATATCGCTCACGTTCCTTCCTTTTTCAGATCTTTCTTTTTCCGTTCTGAATGCCTTCAAGCCGCGAATATATCCTCTTCGCTTTTGACGGGGCTGCAGATTTTAATAACGACACAGGCCTCTTTTGATTTCGTCCTTATAATGTGCGTTGTTGTAACACCTGTTCATTTCTGGCGATGCACACACGCATGATGTCAATATATTCATCATAACGCGCCCTCTAGACCGGCGCATCTAAGCGAAATAGGCCACAATACAAAACAGTACATATCTTATTTACATACATGCTGCCAGTAGCCACCTGCTCGCGTTCAAAGAAACAAAGCATCGTGTACTCATTACAGCTCGAAAATCATAATGCTATTACAAATTATTAGGAAAGAGCGAGAATTTGATGTTAAATAAGTCTCGAGACGCCGAAGAAACCTTTTTATTCGTTGTCGCAAATCTGTACGCGTCCCGTGCCGGCTTAAATTATTAAGCCGTACGTTTTTTAAAGCGATGTGTGCCTTTGTATTTTTTATTTTATTGAAAGGGAAAGGGATCTTTTATTTTCGCTAGTATACAGCTGTGTTTTACGAAAGAATTACAGAAGCATGCATTAATACTGCTGTTGATCGCGGAGAAGTAATAGATATTTTCGGCTATATTTTAGGTTGATATGAAGCGAGTTTGCCGTATATAGACTTCACCCAAAAGTCTAGTGGCTTTAGAACAGAGCCTTTCCTAGTAACGGAAGCTTTTATATATGAGCGGCTTCAACTTCAAAATCGAAGGACAACTTTAATTATGAAACAATGTAATATTTTGGTGAGAGGGAATTAAAGACCGATTCTATTCGTAGGAGTTCCCACGAACAGCCATACGGCTTGGGGGAGTTTGACGACGGATGTTTTGCACCAGATTAAAACAAAATGCTTTTCGGAGCGATGTTTTCCATAGATAGCTATCAGCGCTATATCGCTTGACAGTCTTTAGGTGAGAGTGAGAGCAACTTTCACAACAAGGATCTCAAGAAATCCCGCGATGTATACTAAAACAGAACCCTTTTATTCCACCGACCGAGGGGGATATTCTTAAACAAAAAAGACGACGAAATGTTGTCGATTTCTGGAACAAAATTCACACGGGACAAGAGGCCTATTTACGTGCAGATGTGAGCACTCTGAAACGAAGGCTTGAGAAAGTTATTCGTGCCGGACAGAAAGCAATGCTTTGTTCAATACTTTTCGACCTCTTCAATTTGCTCAGCCAGAACAGGTGTTTTAAAAACCGGCCATGTATAATGAGGCATATTTTTTAATTTTCGTAGGGAAAAGAAGCGGGGGAGCGGCGCTGCATGGGGAGAAAATCAACTCTTTGTGTTTTTTCTTTTCTCAGAACGAAGATGCACATATCAGGGAGATGAATAAAGTCAAGGATTCGTAAGTTTGTTACAACGCTGAGCTTTCATCGAGTTTTCGATTATTCTGGGCAATATAAATCAGTTTGCAATCAGTTTACACAGATGTCAACACATTTGTGAGTGTGCCATTTTCATTTGAAAGAGTGGAAGGGAAAGATCTTGAAACGGAAGCGGGTTTGTCCTTCATAGTCTCCGGCGATTGGGTACACAGAAGAATAGTATGCCTGTTTGCGGGTTAGCCTTCCATCATGCAACGCGAGCATCCTCGTTCCCAGGTTTTCTGCGTACTGCGCAAAGTCAGTCCAACGAGCGACTGGGACTGAGACGAATTGTAGAAGATTTGTAGAAGATTGAGGCTACGTTCACACGGGACGGGACGAATTTGGGACCGTGCTCGAATTTGCCCGGTTTTTTCGTTTGAACACGTAGAACTGGTCAAATTTTCATCCATTTTTACCGTTTAAAGCCTGAACCAGACGAGAACCAAAGCACTGTACCAAATTTGTCCGTTTGAGAACTTGAGAACCTAAGAACTTACCGTAGTTCGGAATCAAACATTGCAATTTTATAACTTTTAGTTTGCTCTTTCCAGCTGTGGTGGTTTAATTATTTATTTATCCTTGCCTAAAAGAAAAAAGTTTATAAAATCGATAACATTTTTATCCCAACACTCCTGTGGTCAACTGCGATCAGCCGTTTGATACTTATACCAATTTAAGGTCGACAGAGAGTCAGAGCCCGAATAAATATCAATTGATTGGCTTGCGAAAATGATACTTTTTCCACGTAAAAATATATAACGTATTTTTACGTGTGTTTAGTTAAATACGATTTTTCTTGGTGGCGTAAAAGTCTATATAAAAATTGCGCCCTGTGATTAGTCGTATACCATTCGTATACTGGCGTATGTAATCGAATAAATGCGTGTAAAGATGTCACATTTAAAACTTCGTTATAAATTGATGAACACAAAGAGTGACGTCAGGATAAAAATCGTATACGACTAATCGCATTGTGTAGATCGGCCTTAATCCAGACAAGAATTCCACAAGTTTGAATTGAGCGGCCCATAATGAAAATATAAAATATATAATGGTCTCATAACAATCGTTTAATTACCGTATCGAGAGGACTTGAGATACTAAACTGTTTTAATTTTCGATTAACCCGTGCGTGAGCAATGAGCAGGTTCGGTACTGTGGCTTTGATGAAAGCCAGCTATTGCTTTTTAAAAATAGCCCGCTGACAATGCAATTAGTACTACTACAATAGCACGAAATTTGATTCCTAAAAGCCGGTCCTTTTCTACCCCAAACCTTCAGCTCTAAATTTCAAATATGTGGACGTCGGCAACAATTTTCAACAACGAAGTGTTAGTTATTTGTTTTTCACGCGTTATTCTTGTTTGAATATTTCGCGCAAAAGCGCAAAGTTTATTTGCGACATTTTCGACCAATCAGATACCGCCGAGTTCATTATCGAGCGATGAACATGGAAATTCTCCCAAGGTGTCGTGCAAAACAAACGGGTACTATATTATTCACTTCTGTTAAAAGCCTGTGATATAGACACCGCTTTGTTGAGCATTTCACAACAAAACCGGCAACTATCTGCCGATCGGTTGCCATTTTACGATAAAATGGACTGGCTTTTTACTTGGACTACGCTGTGTTTCTTCCTGGGATGCACGATTCGCGTGCGAAGCGGGGATGTATTCACGGCATTGATCGAAATGGAGAACTTGGTTTACCGTGAAAAAGAGATGATCGTTGGTTTAAAGGACTACTTGTATCAAGAACAAGCCAGGCTGGATAAAATAAAACAGTTTACGGAAAAACTAGTTCAAATACACGACGTTATACCCGAAGGAAGAGTGGAAAACTATTTGGGACATCCTTCAAATGCCTACTTGTTGATCAAGCGGTTTGTGAAAGATTGGTCAGCCATCGAATACATGGCCAAAAACCCTTCAACAGATGGTATGCAATAACCTCGATGTGTAATAGTTGTCAATCTCTCGTTTTACGTGCTAGGATGAATAGATTCTCAACTTATTTTGCTTGAATTTCTGACCTGAAGTACTACTGCGCGTTTCGATCAGGAGGTGTCATATTTTACTGTGTTCTACCAGACTCAGTTCTTATGTCATCATGCTGTCCTTGATAGTTGACAAGTAATGTTGAGAATTTGCATCATAAAAGTTGTCTCGAATTTGATCGCGTGTTTTTTTGCATTAATAATAGTTTAAACGTTACCAGCACCAGATTTACAAGTGAGCTCTTTACTTGTTAATAGTTTAATAATAATAGCAGCCAACAATGGGGAAATAGTATTGTTAATCCATTCATTCAGGCAGGTGGTCTGACGATGTTGGCAGCTACTTAGTCCAGCATTCTTTGACTTGAGAGTAAAAAGGAAATACTCAATCTGCACTTTCACAACCAGAATTGCATATACATTAAATGTCAGTTGAAAGCATTTGCTTGCAGACTATGCACAGAGAATGCCTTGCTAAAGTGTAGTATTCTGTCTAAAGCCATGTTTACACTAGTGCTTTGGCCTAGGTGTAAATGTTGGCCTTGGTGTGAATGTTGTTTATCTGGCCTAGGAACTGGTCTAAGCGAAAAAATCCAGGGCAATAAAGGAGGTGGCCAGCACCAGGCCAGACCTGACCTGAAGCATGATTTTTGTCATGTGGACAGGCTTTACCTAATCCTGATCAATTTTCAACTTAATAGTATAATCTGTATAGAATCCATACTGGTATTTCCCTTTTTTGCCATGTTTGGGATCTTCCAAGTATTTTGTCAATTATATGTTGGCTATTGGATATCATCAACAAGAAAGACAGTTTAAACATGGCATATATTGCCTAGACTTGTTTTAGACCTGGTCCAGGCCAGATCTAGGCCTTTAGTGTAAACATGGCTCAAGTAATAGCAGTCCATTCTAGTTCACAGTTGGAAAATACTGTTGAAAAGCACTGTTTTCTTCCAAATACCATCTGGAGAGTTTTCTCTCCAGCGAAAAATGCTGATTTCAACTACTATATGAGTTGACATTCACAAGTTGTTTTAACACATTGTAGGTTTGTTGGAGATTTTGGACAAACATCGAGGCTGGTTTCCAGACATATCTGATTTCGAAGGTGCAATCGATGCTATATTCCGTGTGCAAGACATCTACAAAGTCAAGGCATTGGATCTTGCAAAGGATTTGGTTCCATCTTCAACCAGAGGTTATCCTATGATTGCAAATGATGCGTTTGAGATTGGCAAGGTCGCATATGAAGCAGAGAAGTACAAAGAAGCTCAGAAATGGTTGGCCGCGGCAGCCATACTTTGGAAGGAAGGAAAAAGGAGTGACGAGGATGACATTGCTGAGATATTGGATTATTTGTCATATGTTGAATATAAGGTTAGTGTATATATTACATTAAGAAGCTTTTGTATCCTGAAATTCACTTATACTGTGGTATAGGAACTTCCACGCTATTAGCTTTCTCTAATGCCAGATATTTGTGCCAACAAATAGAGCCAAAAGCTTCTGAAGCTGTCCAACTAACCCATAGGCAGCATTTTACAAATTTATGACACTTTGCCTTTCCTTTTTAGCTTGGTAATCTACGGAAAGCATATAATCTGACTTTAACAATATTGATGTATGGTAAGGAAACTTCAAATATTTTAAAAAGCATCCTAAGGCTTGGGGGATGGGAGTGCATCACTACCTCCCCCCCTGTCCTTACTAGGCACTAACTTCTGGTTAAGAAAGTAAGCATTTAGTAACACCTGTAACCCCCCTAACTTTCTACCAAATTTTAATGTTTTCAGAATTGATTTCTGAAATGATTTGGCTGAACCTTCTTCATTGCCCTCTTGTAGCTATATAATGCCTTTGTCTCTTGTAGACACATCTTGCCAACATATTTTGAATTGCAACTTAAAGTTTTGTTTGACACAGCTTAGCCTTACCAAATTTTTTTTGAAGAAATCAAGCTCTTAGAGTTTTAGTGGGAATGCAATTTCAATGTTTGTCATCATTTCTTCAGATCCAAGTTTTCAGCGTGCGCAGAAGAACCTCAAGTATTATGCAGATGAGCTGAAATCCACTGGTCAGTTGACAGGTCAGAAGGGTTTGTTGCGTCCGGACGACACTTTGCTACAAGTTGATAATGATGATGATGATGAGGATATTCAAGACACGGCAGAGGAAAAAGATTGGAAAGGATCAAGAGCATTCAAACGTTATTCCAAATTATGTCGATCAGATGCTGATGCTTTATTTAATTTTGTAAGTTGAAACTGATCTTTGTTATAGTACTATTGTTAGGATAGTTGTTTTAAGTTATTTTTCCCTTAAGGTCCAGTAAGGATCATCTCTTATTGATCCAGTGTTACTATACAGGAGGAAACCTAAACTAAACTAACTTTATTTATACTGGATAGCTCTATCAGTTTTAAACTGTTCTTCCTAGAGGTCCACTAAGGATCATCTCTTATTGATCCAGTGTTACTACAGAAGGAAATCTAAACTAAACTAACTTTATTTATACTGGATATTTCTATCAGTTCTAAACTGTTCTTCCTAGAGGTCCAGTAAAGATCATCTCTTATTGATCCAGTGTTACTACAGGAGGAGACCTAAACTAAACTAACTTTATTTATTCTGGATAGCTCTATCAGTTCTAAACTGTTCTTCCTAGAGGTCCAGTAAGGATCATCTCTTATTGATCCAGTGTTACTACAGGAGGAAACCTAAACTAAACTAACCCTATTAATACCAGATAGCTCTATCAGTTAAACCATTTCCTACAGGTACAGCCATTTCGATTCTTCTCTGATACAATTTACATGAATTTATAGACAGTAAGTCAACAACAGCAGCTGAAATGTTGGTATGTCAAAGACAAACCATGGCTGTATCTTCGTGGAATCGGAGTAGAACGTCTCCATGTTTCACCGGAAGTTTTATATTTCCGAAATGTCCTTACCGATCCAGAAATCGAAGTCGTAAAGAGATTGGGAAGACCAAAGGTAATTTTCAGATAATATTAACTGAAGAATTATGTGTTTTTGTGTCGATGTTTCGTGAGAGTGGTGAAGTGGAATGAATTATGATGGATGGTTGAGTTGCTGGGTTTTGGGGGAAGAAGATGACATGTTTACAATTATAATTTTAAATCTGAAAGCCTTTCAAGGTGGAAAGGCACCCGTAGGCCGTATGGCCGTAGTAAACAATTTCGTGTACACATCTTTTTTAATTTAAAAAAAAGCTATGATTATTCTTAGAAAGTCCAAACGAAAAACTGGTTAACCTTATTTTTTAGTTTTGCGATTAGCATTATCATTTCAAAATACAAAATATCGATAAATTATTAAATATATCGGCATTCGACTTCGACAACAGGGTTGAAAATATAATCTACACAATGACTTGTTTAACAGGAACCTGTTATCTTGTTGTATTTCGAAACCTTTTGAAAGTGAAGTCGTGCTTAAAATCACTTTTAATTGACAACATTTTTAGCTACAACTTGTTCAACTTGTTTACTAGCTTGCTATATATATATATACATTATCTTGTTTATCAACTGACGACATGGTCAGATGAACAAGCTGACGACAACACGTTTTTTCATGTTTACTTTTGGCCGTTTGGCTAGACGAAAACACTTGAAAACCATTTGGTGCGTGAAATTCGTTGCGCTGGAAGAATCGATATAATTAAACGAAAATTAAAATATAAATTGTGAAAGTAAACACGTTAAGTTACGTGAGTAATTTCACGTTTTCTCAAATACAAATTTTTGCATGGGAATGCTTTAAAGTCTCGTCAAAACTCAGAAGGCAATTGCAGGTGTTCGTATGTAGATGTGTTGTGCTGTTAATGGTTGTAACTTTGAAATTGAAGGTTGTTTTGTATAATGAATAATATGAAATATAAATGAACCTAATTTAACGGTCCAGCGATAAGAAAACAAACTCTCCACATGCATGGCTTTCAAAATAACTCTCCACATTTCGATCAAAATAATGGCCAAACTTTGAGATGAGATAATCCATAAATAATCATGCATAAACGTTATTTTTACGACAGTTAAAAAGAGCCCTCATACGACATATTAGGACCGGAGAGATTGAGGTTGTCCCATACAGAATTAGTAAAAGGTTTGTACGAAACCTCCCAAATTAAACACTAGGTTACCTAAATTTAGCCTGTCTATGGGGAGGAAAATAGAGACTTCGTATAAGCGCTTTCTCGCCATCCGAAACGGTTTTTGGACGAAAACATTACAGTCTAATTTCTTTTAAAAGTTGAATGAAGGACGCGTTTTCCCTTTCGGCAGGAATCTAATATTTACTTTAGGCACCTTTGTAATACGTAATTTGTTATCTAAATAGTTGCAAAGGGCCCAGATTCGTGACGGACAAACAGGAATCTTAGAACCAGCCCTGTATAGAATAAGCAAAAGGTTTGTGTCACAGCTAAATTCGAAGTTTAAATTTAGTTTAAATAAAAACTCGCGCGCCGTTTTACGTACTTTTAGTCAAATATAAGGATTGCATGGTCTGGCCTATGAGAGATGTGGGAAAGGTGTTTGGTTTTTCATAACTTGTGTTGTAACGGAGAGTTGGTGTTTACTATTACATACGTGACATTCAGTATTGTATCCTTATCCTACCACAGCTTACATTGTTTCCTTTATCTACCTCTATTTGCTTTAAACCCTTACTTACTGTACAGATGACCGTGCCTAACTTCTAACACTGCTTTGGCTAAACGTGCAAGCTTGACTACACTATTTTATCCTACTCTGCTCAGCTCTATTACAAATTTTACTCCTCTTTGCTCTTTCTATCCTTCACTTGCTTCCCAACTATGCTAGTCAGTCTCTTTCTACCCGCTATTACCCCTATTTCACTACTCTCCTAGCTCTACTCCGTATATACCTTTTTACTCTATTCTACCCCTCTCTTGCAAGATCTTTTCAATTCAACTAGCTCCTCTTCTTTTAACTACTTTCTACTTCATTTTGCTCCGATGCGCTCTCTGTATTAATACTGCATGTACTCTCTACACAACTTCTTCATTGTAGTCTACTACAACTGCACTCTACTTCACATTTCTATCCCTAGCTCCGACGAGCAGTAATCTTCAATGAAGATGGGTCTCTTCACACCGTTGATTACAGAATAAGTAAAAGGTTTGTTGTTGTACATCGCAAATCACACACGCATTCATTTTCATTTCGTGTGCTGCTGAGGTTGGATCGTTAAATTTCGATCATTAACAATGGGTTTGGAAAGTGTTGTGTGTTGAATAATGAGTTAACACCCAAGGTGTGAATCTTCTAAATTTAAATAGGTAGAAATAAATATTGAAAAATGAAAAGATATCTTTTAAAATTGATGTCTAAAGGCAAGTAATATACCCTAGTGTAGAGATTGTGATGTACAGCAATGAATCTATTTTCTTTGTTACCCTTTCGACACGTACTTTCTCTATTTGTCGGCAGTACCATCCTTACTATGGTCGATTACCATGGTACCAACCTCACTATGGTCGATTACCATGGTACCAACCTTACTAACGCTTCTCCCTCTACAGACCAAACTATTACTCTAAGTTACCGTTTCATGCCTTACCATACATTGTCTTACCACTAGTATAACCTAACTTACCATGTTACACCATACTTTACCAAATTGTACCATACCTCTACTGTACTGTACCACAGAACGCATATCATACCTTACCAGATCTTACCATACAGTACATTTCCTTGAGATGCAATACCACACCATACAAATCCTTATACCATACAGTTGTACCATACCTTACCTTACGTACCAGACTTAACTTTATTAAACTTTGCCTTTACGTAGTATACTCTACTATACCTTCCTATATCTTACCAACATGCACCTACAACAGACGATACAGTTGTACCATACCCTACCATACCTCACCATACTGATGTTTACCTTTACATAGTATATTCTACTCTACCATACTGTATCTTACCAACATCGCACACCTATAACAGACCATACAGTTGTACCATACCCTACCATACCTCACCATACTGATGTTTACCTTTACATAGTATATTCTACTCTACCATACTGTATCTTACCAACATCGCACACCTATAACAGACCATACGGTTGTACCATAACCTACCATACTTCACCATATACTGATGTTTACCTTTACATAGTATATTCTACTCTACCATACCGTATCTTACCAACATCGCACACCTATAACAGACCATACAGTTGTACCATACCCTACCATACCGACGCACTAAACTCTGACACAACTTAACACCCTGATCTCCGGCAGCTGATCATTGCAAAATACTTCTTTTTCGTTAGCTAAAGCGAGCGGTTATACAGCATCCTGAAACAGGGAACCTAGAACCAGCCGATTATAGAATCAGCAAAAGGTTTGTTGTTGTACATCCATCTATAGTCACAAGCATCCACTGTTTCCCCCCAAAAACAACAGATATCCACCGTTAAATCTTTCGTAAAGGTCAATATATAAAATATTTCTAAAATTTGAAAACTAAAACATGATTTTACAAAATATAATTAAAATATAAAAGTCTGAATCCGATTAAGGCGATAAATATGATAGTCTTCAGAATAACAAAATTAACTATTTACTAGTTAATGATAGCCATCAAACGTAAATTAAACTCGAATTAAAATTGAAATTTAAAGATTTAAAGTCTTGTGTTAAAATATGTGAATGTACAGCAATGATCAGGGCTTCACCCCCCGGGATAAACTTATAGTCTAGAGTAAAATATTCTTTCAACTTTCAAGCGTAATAACTTATTACTATAATGATTAATCATTAACCACATTTATAAAACCGGTAAAGATATACTTCAGGGGCCAGTTGTTCAAAGCTAGATTATCGCTATTATCATAAATTTAATTTGCTTTTAAGTGCTGTTTTAAAATATTTCTGTTTGCCAGTTTATTTTAAAACTTATAACTTAAAATTCTTTTGGATACAAATTGTTAAAGTTCAGATATAGCTGCTGGTGTGTTTCATTTCAAAACCTGGTTGAACAAAGTTCTTCTGGTAATGAACTACTGGCCCTAGGGGTTATTCATAACTGATATCAAAGACTAGTACACTTTAATGAATTAACCAAACTCACGTTAAATCATTCCAATCCTTTGTTACATTCATTTATTCTGCATGAACTATCATTAAAGTAGTTACCAGGCCTTTGGTTGAAGCTTGAAGAATCTCGTGAAGTTAACAAGCTCAGCCTTTTGTAAGGCGATGACGAGCAACCCTCCCCTCCCTCCCCCTTATTTTAAGACCATAGCATTTTGGTGAACCCCGTTTGTTTTTCAAAATATCAGCGGTTGGTTGAAAGATTCCGAGGATCCTGTGATAAGACGTATCAGCAAGAGGAGCGAAGAATTAACTGGACTGACATTTGCCACGGCAGAAGAATTACAGGTTAGTCATACCGAACTATATAAGCTAACTTTTATTCTTTTGAGCTGGCTAATGTCGTTAAAATACATTTCGACGGTCTCCGTGTTTAATACTACAGGAGAAAACCTAAACTAAACTAACTTTATTAATACTGGATAGCTCTATCAGTTCTAAACTGTTCTTCCTAGAGGTCCAGTAAGGATCATCTCTGATTGATCCAGTGTTACTACAGGAGGAAACCTAAACTAAACTAATTTTATTTATACTGGATAGCTCTATCAGTTCTAAACTGTTCTTCCTAGAGGTCCAGTAAGGATCATCTCTTATTGATCCAGTGTTACTACAGGAGGAAACCTAAACTAAACTAACTTTATTTATACTGGATAGCTCTATCAGTTCTAAACTGTTCTTCCTAGAGGTCCAGTAAGGATCATCTCTTATTGATCCAGTGTTACTACAGGAGGGAACCTAAACTAAACTAACTTTATTTATACTGGATAGCTCTATCAGTTCTAAACTGTTCTTCCTAGAGGTCCAGTAAGGATCATCTCTTATTGATCCAGTGTTACTACAGGAGGAAACCTAAACTAAACTAACTTTATTTATACTGGATAGCTCTATCAGTTCTAAACTGTTCTTCCTAGAGGTCCAGTAAGGATCACCTCTTATTGATCCAGTGTTACTACAGGAGGAAACCTAAACTAAACTAACTTTATTATACTGGATAGCTCTATCAGTTCTAAACTGTTCTTCCTAGAGGTCCAGTAAGGATCATCTCTTATTGATCCAGTGTTACTACAGGAGGAAATCTAAACTAAACTAACTTTATTTATACTGGATAGCTCTATCAGTTCTAAACTGTTCTTCCTAGAGGTCCAGTAAGGATCATCTCTTATTGATCCAGTGTTACTACAGGAGGAAACCTAAACTAAACTAACTTTATTTATACCGGATAGCTCTATCAGTTCTAAACTGTTCTTCCTAGAGCTCCAGTAAGGATCATCTCTGTAATTTTTTGTTCGTTTGTAGGTGAACACGTACGGTATGGGGGGCCATTATGAGCCGCATTATGACCACGCACAGGTAAGAGAAGTTGAATTTTAAAATTCATATATTTCATTACAGTCTTGGCTAGACCTATTTCCTCCTCATAGAAACGATTTTCATTCGACATTTTGGAGAAATTCCAAGCTAAACAATCCATTCATTTAAACCATTCCCTCGATGGAAAAAAATAACCAAAACATATTTTAATATATTTATCCAAATAACTGAAAAATAATTTTCAAAAGCAGTAAATTTCATCATATATTAATTTAATTACTGTCGAGTTTTTGTTCGTTAAATTGTAGCTAATATAAATATACGTTATTTATATATGTATTCTCTTTTATTTATGAGTCAAGTCTGAGTTTAATGCCATTGCATATAACATTTTTAAAACACTTAAAAGTTCATTCTTATACGGAAAGTTTTAAGTTCTAAGTTAAAGTAATTGATGTAAACGTTTATCTATTCAGATCCTACGTGATTAAGTTAATTAACTAATAATTTGTTCTAATTAACACTGATTAAATCAATTAAACTAATTTTCAGGAGCACGAAGATAAATTCTCAGACTTGGGAACTGGGAATAGGCTTGCGACATTGCTTTTTTATGTAAGTCTGTTAACTACGGTAGCGACGTGACCCTTTGTTATCCAGGCACTTTGTCTTTCAGGATGACGAGGAAAAATTTCCCAGTTTGGGGACTGGAAATAGAATAGCCACTCTGCTTTTTTATGTAAGTTAGCTCGAGTGAGAAGAAGACTGGTAACGACACGCTAGGTGATGGATCGGAGTGACTGAAAAGACACGGTTTTAACCTGTGTCAACGTTTGGCTTTTGTTTACCTGGGCCGGCTGTACGGAGGCTGGATAGCGCTATCCACCGGATAGTGTTTTTTTAACCGTTCTAAAAATGCTCGAAAAGCGATAAAATTTCATTTTTGGAACCAACAATTACAAAAGAGGATCCTCGATTTAGGAATACTAAGATTTAATGAAAGCTCTAGCAAACGACGCGCAATTTTATTAAAATATCATATTATATATGTGGTCCATCTTATTCCCAGTAATCTTTACCTGTCCTTTCATTCCAGATGAGCGACGTTGAGCTGGGAGGCGGAACAGCATTTATCAACGTCGGTGCACTAGTGGAACCTCGAAAGGTTTGAAAAAAGATTCGTTAATTTTTAACATCTCTCCTAAAACAATACATGGACGATACATATTGATGATCCAGTGTTACTACAGGAGGAAACCTAAACTAAACTAACTTTATTTATACTGGATAGCTCTATCAGTTCTAAACTGTTCTTCTAGAGATCCAGTAAGGATCATCTCTTATTGATCCAGTGTTACTACAGGAGGAAACCTAAACTAAACTAACTTTATTTATACTGGATAGCTCTATCAGTTCTAAACTGTTCTTCCTAGAGGTCCAGTAAGGATCATCTCTTATTGATCCAGTGTTACTACAGGAGGAAATCTAAACTAAACTAACTTTATTTATACTGCATGGATAGCTCTATCAGTTCTAAACTGTTCTTCCTAGAGGTTCAGTAAGGATCGTCTCTTATTGATCCAGTGTTTTCACGTGCGATTCTCTCATGAAGGGGATACCTCATTCATTTAGTTCTAATCAATTCTTCCATTTCATTCATAATCAGGGCGATGGAGTTTTTTGGTATAACTTGCTGAAGAATGGGAATGGTAATGACAACACGCGCCATGCCGCATGCCCTGTATTTGTTGGAACAAAATGGGGTGAGTGTAAAAACAATGCGCGAAGGCGGGAAAGGCCTGGAACTAGAAACACAATCAACCATTTTACTCTATTTAATCACTTTTATTCGAGTGTTTTTGATAAAGCAGTCTTCACTTAATAGCTTCAAAACGTTTTGACATTCTCGGGATAGCAGTTCACTTGTCCATTCTTCGTATAAAAAGAGTATCGCTGCAAATTTTCTGCATGAAAAATATTTTCCAAACGGATCGTTTATTTTTTTTATTAGTGGCAAACAAATGGATTCACGAAAAAGGACAAGAATTTCTCCACAAGTGTTCGTTAAATCAATGGGAATAAATAATCTATTTATATATTTATATTTTTCTAAGCTGCCGCGAAACACCAAAAATTTATAGCAATGTACAATAACAGCACGCATGCTCAAACGACTCTTGTACGCAGGCTACGCGCGGTTCGGGCTACATAGTTCTATAAGACACCTATACGACAACGATAAAAGATTAAAACTCCTCCCCCAGGAAATTTAAATTTGCAGTCCGGAAAAAGCCATTTCTTTATTCTTGCATTTCATATAAAAATAAGTAAAACGCACTTAGATCTTGCCTTATGCATACAGAATTAACAGAATTATATAATTTAAAATTATAATTTAACACTGCTAAATATTATATTGCGAGGTAAATGCCGTTGGCAAATTCATAGTATATATTTTGTAAATTAATGAAATAACATTAGAAATAATGAAATAAAGCTAACTTTTTAAACCGCATTTCATATTTTCATCTAGAAAATTTTTGTAATGTTCGAAATCTGTTAGTTGTGAAGAACTACTTTGTGATCGACCACTAAACGTTTTGTAGAACTTAACTTTTGTGATGATTACTAAATGTTTTGTAGAACTGGGTGAATCAATTATGAGGTTTGGCACTTCACTCGATGCAGGTAAATTCTCAGTGGCAAGACCGTAGGCCAAGACCAAGGCATAACGTATCTTACCAACATTACACACCTACAACAGACCATACAGTTGTACCATACCCTACCATACTTCACCATACTGACGTTTACCTTTACATAGTATATTCTACTCTACCATACCGTATCTTACTACCAACATCACACACCTATAACAGACCATACAGTTGTACCATACCCTACCATACCTCACCATATACTGATGTTTACCTTTACATAGTATATTCTACTCTACCATACTGTATCTTACCAACATCGCACACCTACAACAGACCATACAGTTGTACCATACCTTACCATACTTCACCATACTGACGTTTACCTTTACATAGTATATTCTACTCTACCATACCGTATCTTACCAACATCGCACACCTATAACAGACCATACAGTTGTACCATACCCTACCATACCTCACCATATACTGATGTTTACCTTTACATAGTATATTCTACTCTACCATACTGTATCTTACCAACATCGCACACCTATAACAGACCATACAGTTGTACCATACCCTACCATACCGACGCACTAAACTCTGACACAACTCAACACCCTGATCTCCGGCAGCTGATCATTGCAAAATACTTCTTCAAAAGCGAGCGGTTATACAGCATCCTGAAACAGGGAACCTAGAACCAGCCGATTCTAGAATCAGCAAAAGGTTTGTTGTACATCCATCTATAAGTTAGTAAGTTAAGTGGTAAATCTCTTAGTAAATCGCCCTTGGAAGCTCTACTAGGAAAATTTTTCTATCTCGTTCCTTGACACACATCAGCGAGATGAGGTCACATCGACAGTCGGTAAATTTCTACCTCAAACAGGACGAGACAACGAATGCTGACACGAACCAACCAACCACACAACCAAACTCAAACTAACCTAAAACATTCAAACATATCTTTAGGCGGCGACGAAGCTCCCGAGAGCCCGGGTGGACGACGTGAAAATCTCTCGCTCGACGGCGAGAACTCGCCTGTGGAATTCTCGACGGTGAGTCTTTGATGATTCAGTAAACTTCGAAGATTCCTATCCTTTTCAATATTTCATGTTTGCAGTTCCATTGTGTTCTACTTTGCATAATTGTAGGCTCCTACTAAACACTGTCCGAGATGACTGCCCGGGATGACTGCTTCAGATGACTGCCTGAGATAACTGCTCGAGATGACTGCCCGAGATGACTGCCTGAGATGACTGCCTGGGATGACTGCCCGAGATGACTGCCTGAGATGACTACCCGAGATTACTGCCTGAGATGACTGCCCGAGATGACTGCCCGGGATGATTGCCCGAGATGACTGCCCGAGATGACTGCCTGAGATGACTACCCGAGATTACTGCCCGAGATGACTGCCCAGGATGACTGCCCGGGATGACTGCTTTAGATGACTACCCGAGATGACTGCTTCAGATGACTGCCTGAGATAACTGCCTGAGATGACTGCCCGAGATGACTGCCTGAGATGACTGCCCGAGTTGATTGCCCGAGATGACTGGCCGAGATGACTGCCTGAGATGACTGCTTGAAATGACTGCCTGGGATGACTGTCCGAGATGATTGCCCGAGATGACTGCCCGAGATGGCTGTCAATTTACATCCTGTGGACAGGTGCTGCAAGGCCAACGCCATCCAGAGTATGGAGTCCTAATCATTTTGTTCTATTATTGCTAGCCAAAGAACTGCCAACGATGACCTTCTCGGAGCAGAACAAAAACTATTCGGAGGCATGTCATTTAGTGTTATCAGTTAACTGGACTTTGTGAGAGTTTTCTTGCAAAATGTTTGCCAAGGTAATTATTTTAAGAGATCATAAAGACCTTGTAATGTTTCTCATGGTATACTGATCTGTGTTGTTTTCTGTGATTAAGTGATGTTTTTCTTCATGTTATTTATCACTGAAGCTAAAGAATTGAGATACAACAATCTTTGACTGACTTTAGGTGTAAGACGTTCGCCCAGCTATTGTAGACCGCATGGAATCGATTCAAGTCCTTTAAAAATTTGTGAATCAAGATGAGAATGAACTTAGTGAATCTGTAATTGCTGCTATAATGTTTTGGCTAAAATATAAAAAAAACTGTTGTATGTCTCCAAAACAAAGGAGCTTATATTTATGATACCAAAAAGTACAGGATTGTTTGACATCAGAAATACAAAGAATTCGGCACACAGCGACAATTCACCTTTTAAAACGAAACCAAAAAACTAGAAGCCAGAAACAAATCGTGCTTCAAAACAAAACTAGAATGCACTGCTTTTAAAATGTTGAAATATAGGAAAGGACAACTTTTTTCTAGGCTTTTAGTGATTCGTTTACAGTAACATCGCTCACGATGATGTTCGGAGTTGATCGGCATGTTATCGTACATTATCATACCACGTGATCTGCTATGATCACATGGTAATTATTGCCTAAAAAACTAATCTCAACGTTAAAAAAAAATTTCTTTAGATTGGTGGCGATCGAAGGTGGACAGCAAGATCGAAGCTCAGCAAGATTGAAGATTGTTCGAGGAAGAAGGAGTTCGCCGTTGACTAAAAGGTGGGTTCCGGCGATTATATGCGTAATCTGCGGTTGCTTTGTCCGACCCCAGTAGGGGGACCGTTTGCCTAGAGCGTTTTGGTCCCCCGCACGCTGCTAGTTCCCACTTGTAGGCCTTTACACTAATCTACGGGAAGGCCGTAGGCCTTCCTTAAGGAGTACAGTGTAGCTGAGCCGAACCCTTTTTTTTCGTTGTATATAGGTTTATCTGAACAGCTAGTTGTCAAGATGAAGGTGACTCGCCCGGCCAAATTCAAAATGGCGATGCCAAAGAAAACCATCCACGTGGACCGTTCGCGGACCTTTCTGAGCAAGATTGTTGTGCTGTCTGGTCAAAGTTAAGTATTTTACTTTGATGTTTGTGTGCCTTCTGCTAATTGTTGGCCAGAAATAACAAAAAGCCATATACAATATGAAATATTCTGCGTACAAGGTTATCTAAAGTTTCGAGCTTAATTCTGCCTGCAATGATGATAATTTTTTACTGAAAATTTATGTCATGAGCAATTTCCGCACCCATAGACTGAAGCAGAACTGAACATTTTGTCATTAACGTTTATCTCAACAGCCAGTTATCAAGACGAACGTCAAGAGAACAGTTGAAATAGAAAATAGAAATCAGTTCAAGACTCGCCCGGCCGCCGAATTCAAAATGGCGATCCCATCCACGTGGACCGTTCGCGGACCTTTCCGAGCAAGATTGTTGTGCTGTCTGGTCAAAGTTAAGTATTTTACTTTACTGTTTATGTGCCTTCTGCTAAAACTAGACAATAATTAAGATAGTTAAAAATGCAATTTTATATTAATAATGTCTTCTTATATTCAAGATTTTCCTTGGTCAACATTGGAAGTGAACAGAGGTAATTCGATTGTTCCTTCAAAAGTTATATCAGCCTTGCAGCTGAAATTCTTGTAGTGACCTTGTAATACATATCAACTGCCCGGTTGCTGCAACTAGGATCTTTTTTTGGAAAATCGTCAGGCAGTCACAAATTTTGTTAAGATTACTAAGTTAACATTGCTTCTATGCTCACTATATGTCACCAGTAATAAATTCCTGTGGTGGTCTTTAAATAAATATAGCAACCATAGTTATATGTAGAGGGATGAAGTATAACCATAGAATACCTGACCAAAAACTAGACAATAGTTAAGATAGTTGAAAATGGAATTTTATGTTAATCATGTCTTATTTATATATCTATATTCAAGATTTTTCTTGGTCAAGAGTGCAACATGAGCTGTGGATATGAACTTTACTGTCAGATGAACATTGGAAGTGACAAGATTTCTTCACAGAGGTAATTTGATTTTGTCATGGATGGTCAGCATTTGATTTTAAAAAGCCACTACATTGTTGAGATGACAACTATGAAATTGAAATTTGCTTCTATGTTCACCATGTGTGAAACCAATGATGAAACTTGATGCTATAACAGCTGAATCAGTCTGGCTGCTTACTAAATTATTATTATTACGGATTATTCCTGTGGTGGTCTTACAATAAATATCCACGAAAAAGTGGGAGAACTTGGGAGAAATTTTTCTAATTTCCCTGTGATTTATATTCTGTAGTACTCAGAAGGGTGATACCCAGTTTTTCTGTCTTCAAATAAAATAGTGACATATGTCTGGGTTGAATATATGCATGTGACACATTCTTTTTATCGAAAATGGCAAAAATATAATTGGCATAAAAGAGATGACTAAAGTAAGATAATGAGTAATATCTTTTAATAATGATGTCAGGTTGAAAATACAAACTTTGCTGCCACTTTTTGCCTAAAAGGATTGATGAAATGCTTTTTCTCTTTAGAATGAATGAAGTTGAAGAAAGTTGAAAGGCACCCCTGAAGAACCTGAATTATTTTAGCCCTATCCTAGATTCATTAATTAATATATTTTAGTGTGTGATAACATGTGTGAAATGTGATCAATTATGTGACAATTTTCAAAACTTGGATTTATAAAGAGAAATTATTCTTTGTAAAGTTTAAGAAGTAAACCTTTTTTGTCTGGTGGTGTTAGTGTTTTGATTTTGCATGTTTTTCTGTGTGCTTTCACAATTGAAAAGATTTTGGCAGTTGCTTCTAAATGTTTTTTGAAAAGTTTAAGAAGAAACTTGATTTTTGTCTTGTGGTGTTTGTTGTTTCGATTTTGCATGTTTTTCCGTGTGCTTTCACAATTGAAAAGATTTTGGCAGTTGCTTCTAAATGTTTTTTGAAAAGTTTAAGAAGAAACCTGATTTTTGTCTTGTGGTGTTTGTTTTGTTTCGATTTTGCATGTGTTTCCTTGTGCTTTCACAATTGAAAAGATTTTGGCAGTTGCTTTGGTTTTTTCTTATACTTCTTTTCTCTTTAATTTCTTCTTAGTTTTAGTTTTTGTTCTAAATATATTTTCTCTTATTTTTTTGATGAAATTTTTTTTTTTACTTTAGTGTTGAAGAAAGTTGAAAGGTACCCAGATTCATTAATTAATATGTTTTAGTGTGAAATGTGATGAATTATGTGACAATTTTCAAAACTTGGATTTATAAAGATAACTTTTTTCTTTGTAAAGTTTAAGAAGTAAACCTTTTTCATCTGGTGGTGTTAGTGTTTTTATTTTGCAAGTTCTTCTGTGTGACTTGACAATTCTAAATTAAACCTACTAATATTTTTTAAGTTAAAAAAAAACCTGTTAGTATTATCTTCTATTTATCTAGTTTTTTCTTTTTTTTCTCTCTAGTTTTCTTTTCTAGTTTTTACTTCTATTTCTCTAGTTTTTTTTCTACTTAGTTTTTTTTCTCTAGTTTTTTTTCTCTCTAGTTTTTTTTACTCTAGTTTTTACTTCTATTTCTCTAGTTTTCTTTCTATTTTTTTACTTAGTTTTTTTTCTCTAGTTTTTTTTTCTCTCTAGGTTTTTTAATCTAGTTTTTACTTCTATTTCTCTAGTTTTCTTTCTATTTTTCTACTTAGTTTTTTTTTCTCTAGTTTTTTTTCTCTCTAGTTTTTTTTACTCTAGTTTTTACTTCTATTTCTCTAGTTTTTTTTCTATTTTTCTACTTAGTTTTTTTTTCTCTAGTTTTTTTTTCTCTCTAGTTTTTTTTACTCTAGTTTTTACTTCTATTTCTCTAGTTTTCTTTCTATTTTTTTACTTAGTTTTTTTCTCTAGATTTTTTTTCTCTCTAGTTTTTTTTACTCTAGTTTTTACTTCTATTTCTCTAGTTTTTTTCTATTTTTCTACTTAGTTTTTTTTTCTCTCTAGTTTTTCTTACTCTAATTTTACTTCTATTTCTCTAGTTTGTTTCTATTTTTCTACTTTGTTTTTTTTCTCTAGTTTTTTTCTCTCTCCAGTTTTTTTTACTCTAGTTCTAGCTTACTTCTATTTCTCTAGTTTTTTTTCTATTTTTTTACTTAGTTTTTTTGTCTAGTTTTTTTTTGTCTAGTTTTTTTCTGTCTAGTTTTTTTTCTCTAGTTTTTACTTCTATTTCTCTTGTTTTTTTTCTATTTTTCTACTTAGTTTTTTTGTCTAGTTTTTTTTTTCTCTAGTTTTTACTTCTATTTTTCTAGTTTTTTCTATTATTCTAGTTGTTTTTTTCTATTTTTCTAGTTAGTTTTTTGTCTAGTGTTTTTTTCTAGTTTTTTTTTCTCCAGTTTTTTTTTCTAGTTTTTCTTCTATTTCTCTAATTTTTTTATTTTTCTAGTTTTCTAGTTAGTTTTTATGTCTATTTTTTTCTCTAGTATTTTTTTCTCTGTAGTTTTTTTTACTCTAGTTTTTACTTCTATTTCTCTAGTTTTTTTCTATTTTTCTAGTTAGTTTTTATGTCTATTTTTTTTCTAGTTTTTTTTCTAGTTTTTTCTATCTATTTCTCTAGTTTTTTTTCTAGTTTTTTAGTTTTTCTTCTATTTCTCTAGTTTTTTTTACTAGTTTTCTAGTTTTCTAGTTAGTTTTTTTGTCTAGTTTTCTAGTTAGTTTATTTGTGTAGTTTTTTTTGTCTAGTTTTTTTTTCTAGTTTTTTCTATCTATTTCTCTAGTTTTTTTTTTATTTTTCTTAAATTTTACAAAGAAAAAAGTCAAGCCACACACAGGTAGCCCAAGACAGACACAGGTAGCCCAAGACATAATACTTCGTAAAAAAAATTTTCGGAGAATATTAAAGAAATCTTTTTGAGGACGAAAACTTTTTTAGACGAAGTATTATGTCTTGGGCTACCTGTGTCTGTCTTGGGCTACCTGTGTCTGGATTGACCCTTTTGGCCAATTAAGAAGCCATTTTAGCATTATAAGACAGTTTTTGAACAGTTCAAAAAGTGGTCAAAATTGACCAAAATGGTAAGGGGTAAGCCTTACCATTTTGGCCAATTTTGACCACTTTTTGATTCTTCTAAAAACCAACCAAATATGCTCTAAAAATAAAAGATATTAGTCTTAGGAAGCCATTTTGGCCAATTTTGACCACTTTTTGATCGTTCCAAAAACCAACCAAATACGCTCTAAAATGAAAGATATTAGTCTTAAGAAGCCATTTTTAGCATTTTAAGACAGTTGTTGAACAGTTCAAAAAGTGGTCAAAATTGACCAAAGGGGTAAGCCTTACCATTTTGGCCAATTTTGACCACTTTTTGATTCTTCTAAAAACCAACCAAATATGCTCTAAAAATAAAAGATATTAGTCTTAGGAAGCCATTTTTAGCATATTAAGATAGTTTTTGAACAGTTCAAAAAGTGTCAAAATTGACCAAAATGGTAAGGGGTAAGCCTTACCATTTTGGCCAATTTTGACCACTTTTTGATCGTTCCAAAAACCAACCAAATATGCTCTAAAATGAAAGATATTAGTCTTAAGAAGCCATTTTTAGCATTTTAAGACAGTTGTTGAACACTTCAAAAAGTGGTCAAAATTGACCAAAGGGGTAAGCCTTACCATTTTGGCCAATTTTGACCACTTTTTGATCGTTCCAAAAACCAACCAAAATATGCTCTAAAATGAAAGATATTAGTCTTAGGAAGCCATTTTAGCATTTTAAGACAGTTTTTGAACACTTCAAAAAGTGGTCAAAATTGACCAAAATGGTAAGGGGTAAGACTTACCGTTTTGGCCAATTTTGACCACTTTTGATCGTTCCAAAAAAAAATATGCTCTAAAATGAAAGATATTAGTCTTAGGAAGCCATTTTTAGCATTTCAAGACAGTTTTCGAACAGTTCAAAAAGTGGTCAAAATTGACCAAAATGGTAAGGGGTAAGACTTACCGTTTTGGCCAATTTTGACCACTTTTTGATCGTTCCAAAAACCAACCAAATACGCTCTAAAATGAAAGATATTAGTCTTAGGAAGCCATTTTTAGCATTTTAAGACAGTTTTTGAACACTTCAAAAAGTGGTCAAAATTGACCAAAATGATAAGGGGTAAGACTTACCGTTTTGGCCAATTTTGACCACTTTTTGATCGTTCCAAAAACCAACCAAATATGCTCTAAAATGAAAGATATTAGTCTTAGGAAGCCATTTTTAGCATTTCAAGACAGTTTTTGAACACTTCAAAAAGTGGTCAAAATTGACCAAAATGGTAAGGGTAAGACTTACCGTTTTGGCCAATTTTGACCACTTTTTGATCGTTCCAAAAACCAACCAAATACGCTCTAAAATGAAAGATATTAGTCTTAAGAAGCCATTTTTAGCATTTTAAGACAGTTGTTGAACAGTTCAAAAAGTGGTCAAAATTGGTAAGGGGTAAGTAAAATTTACGACTTCTTCAATGTTCCAAACACCAACCAAATATGCTCAAAACCAAACAGATTAGTCCTAGGAAACAGTTTTAGAAAATTTTGAAAAGTCGTCAAAATTGACCAAAATAGTAAGGGGTAAGGCTTACCTTTTTTGTCAAAATTGACGAATTTTTCAATGTTCCAAAAACCAACCAAATATGCTCTAAAATGAAAGATTTTAGTCTTAGGAAGCCATTTTTAGCATTTTAAGACATTTTTTGAACAGTTCAAAAAGTCGTCAAAATTGACCAAAATAGTAAGGGGTAAGCCTTAGTGCCTTACTATTTTTGCCAATTTTGACCACTTTTTGATCGTTCCAAAAACCAACCAAATACGCTCTAAAATGAAAGATATTAGTCTTAAGAAGCCATTTTTAGCATTTTAAGACAGTTGTTGAACAGTTCAAAAAGTGGTCAAAATTGACCAAAGGGGTAAGCCTTACCATTTTGGCCAATTTTGACCACTTTTTGATTCTTCTAAAAACCAACCAAACATGCTCTAAAAATAAAAGATATTAGTCTTAGGAAGCCATTTTTAGCATATTAAGATAGTTTTTGAACAGTTCAAAAAGTGTCAAAATTGACCAAAATGGTAAGGGGTAAGCCTTACCATTTTGGCCAATTTTGACCACTTTTTGATCGTTCCAAAAACCAACCAAATATGCTCTAAAATGAAAGATATTAGTCTTAAGAAGCCATTTTTAGCATTTTAAGACAGTTGTTGAACACTTCAAAAAGTGGTCAAAATTGACCAAAGGGGTAAGCCTTACCATTTTGGCCAATTTTGACCACTTTTTGATCGTTCCAAAAACCAACCAAATATGCTCTAAAATGAAAGATATTAGTCTTAGGAAGCCATTTTTAGCATTTTAAGACAGTTTTTGAACACTTCAAAAAGTGGTCAAAATTGACCAAAATGGTAAGGGGTAAGCCTTACCATTTTGGCCAATTTTGACCACTTTTTGATCGTTCCAAAAACCAACCAAATATGCTCTAAAATGAAAGATATTAGTCTTAGGAAGCCATTTTTAGCATTTCAAGACAGTTTTTGAACACTTCAAAAAGTGGTCAAAATTGACCAAAATGGTAAGGGGTAAGACTCACCGTTTTGGCCAATTTTGACCACTTTTTGATCGTTCCAAAAACCAACCAAATACGCTCTAAAATGAAAGATATTAGTCTTAGGAAGCCATTTTTAGCATTTTAAGACAGTTTTTGAACACTTCAAAAAGTGGTCAAAATTGACCAAAATGGTAAGGGGTAAGACTTACCGTTTTGGCCAATTTTGACCACTTTTTGATCGTTCCAAAAACCAACCAAATACGCTCTAAAATGAAAGATATTAGTCTTAAGAAGCCATTTTTAGCATTTTAAGACAGTTGTTGAACAGTTCAAAAAGTGGTCAAAATTGACCAAAGGGGTAAGTAAAATTTACGACTTCTTCAATGTTCCAAACACCAACCAAATATGCTCAAAACCAAACAGATTAGTCCTAGGAAACAGTTTTAGAAAATTTTGAAAAGTCGTCAAAATTGACCAAAATAGTAAGGGGTAAGGCTTACCTTTTTTGTCAAAATTGACGAATTTTTCAATGTTCCAAAAACCAACCAAATATGCTCTAAAATGAAAGATTTTAGTCTTAGGAAGCCATTTTTAGCATTTTAAGACATTTTTTGAACAGTTCAAAAAGTCGTCAAAATTGACCAAAATAGTAAGGGGTAAGCCTTAGTGCCTTACTATTTTTGCCAATTTTGACCACTTTTTGATTGTTCCAAAAACCAACCAAATATGCTCTAAAATGAAAGATATTAGTCTTAGGAAGCAATTTTTAGCATTTTAAAACAGATTTTTCAACAGTTCAAAAAGTGGTCAAAAAGTGGTCAAAATTGACCAAAATGGTAAGAAGTAAGCCTTACCATTTTGGCCAATGGTAAGGGGTAAGCCTTACCTTTTTTGTAAAAATTGACGACTTCTTCAATGTTCCAAAAACTAACCAAATATCCTTAAAATGAAAGATATTAGTCTTAGGAAGGCATTTTTAGCATTTTAAGACAGCTTTTAAACAGTTCAAAAAGTCGTCAAAATTGACCAAAATAGTAAGGGGTAAGGCTTACCATTTTGGTCAAAATTGACGACTTTTTTAATGTTAAAAAAACTTACCTAATTTGCCCTAAAATGAAAGATATTAGTCTTAGGAAGCAATTTTTAGCATTTTAAGACAGTTTTTGAACAGTTCAAAAAGTCGTCAAAATTGACCAAAATGGTAAGGGGTAATATTCTGGATGGCGTTGGCCTTGCATCACCTGTCCACAGGATGTAAATTGACAGCCATGTCGGGCAGTCATCTCAGCCAGTCATCTCAGGCAGTCATCTCGGGCAGTCATCTCAGGCAGTCATCTCGGGCAGTCATCTCGGGCAGTCATCTCGGGCAATCATCCCGGGCAGTCATCTCGGCCAGTCATCTCAGGCAGTCATCTCGGGCAGTCATCATCTCGGGCAGTCATCTCGGGCAGTTATCTCAGGCAGTCATCTCGGGCAATCATCTCGGGCATTCATCTCGGGCAGTCATCCCGGGCAGTCATCCCGGGCAGTCACCTCAGGCAGTCATCTCGGCCAGTCATCTCGGGCAATCAACTCGGGCAGTCATCTCAGGCAGTCATCTCGGGCAGTCATCCCAGGCAGTCATCTCAGGCAGTCATCTCAGGCAGTCATCTCAGGCAGTCATCTCGGCCAGTCATCTCGGCCAGTCATCTCGGGCAATCATCTCGGGCATTCATCTCGGGCAGTCATCCCGGGCAGTCATCCCGGGCAGTCACCTCAGGCAGTCATCTCGGCCAGTCATCTCGGGCAGTCATCTCAGGCAGTCATCTCGGGCAATCATCTCGGCCAGTCATCTCGGCCAGTCATCCCGGGCAGTCATCCCGGGCAGTCACCTCAGGCAGTCATCTCGGCCAGTCATCTCGGCCAGTCATCTCAGGCAGTCATCTCGGGCAATCATCTCGGCCAGTCATCTCAGGCAGTCATCTCGGGCAGTCATCTCAGGCAGTCATCTCGGGCAATCATCTCGGGCATTCATCTCGGGCAGTCATCCCGGGCAGTCATCCCGGGCAGTCACCTCAGGCAGTCATCTCGGCCAGTCATCTCGGCCAGTCATCTCGGGCAGTCAACTCGGCCAGTCATCTCGGGTAGTCATCTCGGGCAGTCATCTCAGACAGTCATCTCGGGCAGTCATCTCGGGCAGTCAACTCGGCCAGTCATCTCGGGCAGTCATCTCGGGCAATCATCTCAGGCAGTCATCTCGGCCAGTCATCTCGGCCAGTCATCTCAGGCAGTCATCTCGGCCATTCATCTCAGGCAGTCATCTCGGCCAGTCATCTCGGGCAATCAACTCGGGCAGTCATCTCGGGCAGTCATCTCAGGCAGTCATCTCGGGCAGTCATCTCAGGCAGTCATCTCGGGCAATCATCTCGGGCAGTCATCTCAGGCAGTCATCTCGGGCAGTCATCTCGGGCAGTCATCTCAGGCAGTCATCTCGGCCAGTCATCTCGGGCAGTCATCTCAGGCAGTCATCTCGGGAAACCCATGCATCTTTTGCCACACTGAAACCTTACTTCCAAAACTTACACCTAATAAATCAATCGAAAAATCAACTTCTTCTATTGACACTTCACATGCTCAAACCACCACCTGCCTAGTTACCAGTCACTTGTCTTAGCCACTACACCATCATGACTGCTCTTGAATTCCATACACCTTTTGCCACACTTAAACCTTTCTCCCAACACTCCACTCAATCCTGTCTCCCCTCCACTTACAATTTTCCTTCTTCTCGACTTCGAATCCTTTTCTGACATATTACAAGTCAACAACATGAAATGCTATTACTTTAAAAGTCCTTTATTGTTTAATGAATTAATTGAAACTTCTTTCATTGTCATAGAGAAAACAATTCTTTTTTGCCTATGGAATTGTTAAATGTTCATGAATTTTGTCAAAGCATATAGAAAATTCAATTACCGTAAGTATATTCAGAAATATCACAAAAATTCACCTAACTTGTCTTCTTAGCACTATTATTAGATCTTTGACGAACAAATGCATTGTAGTAAAAATTTGAAAATAGGAGCATCATGCTTAGTGCATAGAATGGGCCATAAAGGCAAAAGCCATGGTACAGGTAGCCACATGAGGTATGTGCCAGTCCAATAACAAACTGAAAGATTTGTAATTGAGTAAGACGCTTTTTCCACAAAGGGCTTTGTCCTGGAAAAAGTGCTGATTGACCATAGTAGAGGTACAAGAATATATGGACAAATGAGTTCATACAGAGAATGAAACCAACTGGCGGCCATCGGTAGCCACGGTAAGCTAGATCACTCAGAAGCAACACTGAACAGTGATGATAGACCTAGGAAGATAATGGTAGAACCTTAAAGGTGGGTTACAGCCGGTAATGTAAACAAAAACTGTGTTTACATATTGAATCGCTATATCGCTTAAAAATGTCCTGCCCTGTTGAAATACTTATTAGTATTTCATAATTCACTTTACTTCTAAATGAGTAAGAGAGAGAGAGAGAGAGAGAGAGAAAGTTTATGTTCCTTGAAATTCAAAAAATATTGTGAAATTTGGACAATTTCTAAATCATATGGAGCCCCCCAATGTTAAGCAGAACCGATGTGCAGAAGCCCTGTAACCCGTCTTTAAAACTACCTGCTTCAATTATGCCCAATGTATGTTCTTATATGCACATAAATATTTGTAATATGTTTTAAATAATTAATGTATCTTATGATAAAATTAATGAAATATTGTGCAAAATATTGTACAATTAACCCTGAAATGGACTAGAGTTGCAAAACACCAGTGAGTAGGTGGGTGTGGTACCAGAGGGAATTTTGCCATATTCATGAAAATTCATGTAAATATAGCAGTATTCAATATAACAGTCATAGCAACCTAGGCTACGACTTTGCAGCCAGGGACCGATTGTTTGAAAGCTGGTTAGCTTAACCCTGGGTTAAAGCAAATCTTTACATTAATTTTTTTTCACCACTTGTTTACAAAGTTGAATATTTTTTTTTCATACATATTTTCTGGACCAATAGAAATAATATTTTCTAAAGTTTTAAAATGAGTGGTTCAGAGGCACGTAAACTAAAACACTGGATTAAAATCCAACCCAGGGTTATAGTGCTAACCTGGCTTTGGTGACCAGTAAATTTAATAATAGAACTAAGTTACTGGAAATTTTCTATCCTCTTCTCGTTACATGAAAATATAACCATCAAGAAAAATATACAGATCAGCAATAATACATCACATAACATTCAAAAGGATCAATCTTTATATGGATTGATGCATAACCTTCTAGAGGAGGGTTATAGACGTTTTAGAAATGGGAATATATTTAGCATCAAATGTGGTATAACAACTGCCTAAAATAGACAAAACACTTCTTGGCGTTTCGACCTGAGGGCCTTCGTCAGGAGAGTTATGAAAATGAGTTAGTATAGTATGAATACTAACTCTCATGACGATGGCCCTAAGGTCAAAACGGCGAGAAGTGTTTTGTCTATTTTAGGCAGTTGTTATACCACATTTGATGCTAACTGCTAAGTTGCTTGAAGATGCTGCCACACTGCTTTCTGGTATATATAGAAACTTACATGAAGAAATGATATCTGCCTTTCCTTATGCCGTAAAATCATGAACACCGTATCAAGAAGTTCTATCCATTTTGTGATGAAATACATGAACAATGGATGGGCTAGATCCTTGTGATTGGTCATGTCGAACAGATCCATAGTCGTGATAAATATAATAACGAAACGAATAACAGTATAGAGACTGAGCGCACTGCAGAAGAAGTTATATACCACCATGACCTAAAACAAAAACAAATATTATCAAAGAGAAAATAAAAAAATCACTCAAGTTCTGTTTTGTAAGTTAACATTACATTAATAAGAGACAATCCTTTGATTGACCTTGATTCTTACTGGACCTCTAGAAGAACAGCTTAGAACTGATAGAGCCATCCAGTTTAAATCAAGTTAGTTTAGTTTAGGTTTTCTCCTGTAGTAACACTGGATCAATAAGAGATGATCCTTACTGGACCTCTAGGAAGAACAGTTTAGAACTGATAGAGCTATCCAATATAAATAATGTTAGTTTAGTTTAGGTTTTCTCCTGTAGTAACACTGGATCAATAAGAGATGATCCTTACTGGATCTCTAGGAAGAACAGTTTAGAACTGATAGAACTATCCAGTATAAATAAAGTTAGTTTAGTTTAGGTTTTCTCCTGTAGTAACACTGGATCAATAAGAGATGATCCTTACTGGATCTCTAGGAAGAACAGTTTAGAACTGATAGAACTATCCAGTATAAATAAAGTTAGTTTAGTTTAGGTTTCCTCCTGTAGTAACACTGGATCAATAAGAGATGATCCCAACTGGACCTCAAGAAAGAACAGTTTAGAACCAACTGTTTAGCTTTCATATGTAGTTCATGGATATGCAAGCTCATACATATTATTGTTTTAGTAAAATTCAGAGCTGAAAACATACCATATTTAATTGTAATGGTTTTACATATTTTCTCCATAATGGTGAGAGGAAAACCATAATCAAGTATCCAACAGCAACTCCAAATGTTTGAAGATTAACCAAAGTTCCCAAGAAAATAACAAATCGGTCTGGAATTGCATGTACATGAAATTGTTTAAATATACCTATAATGTACTGCAGTAAGAGGAGAAACAATATTTTTCTTCAGGCAGTTCTTAAACACAATTGATGTGAGTTGTACTTTAAGTTTAAAGGAAACAAGTTAATAATATTATATAGGAAACTGCCCCAATGGCTTAGCTTTATTGATCAAAGAGCCCCACATCAGCCACCTGGCCATGTGAACTTTGTTTTTTTTAATTTTAGCATGCAAAATAACCGTTGTCTTAGCCCAACAAAAAATCGATCATTTGAAATTAACCTAATTTATTTAATTTAAGTTGGTAGTGTTTTACAAGACAAGTAAAAAACCATGTTAACGAAACCCAAATTATGTATCCTCAACAATGTTTAGCTCCTTAGTAAGTACAATATTATTGAACTTAAAGCAGGGAGAATTTGATATATTTTAGCACCCTCTTCCCACGTGAGAGGTGATCTAGGGTGTTTACCCCCAACTCTTATAACCCCCAGAAATATACACCAAAAACAACCTTTTGTTTTGCAATTTGTTTTGCATTTTGTTTTGCAACAAATTGTTTTGCGTTTGCAATTCTCTGCAAGGCTTAACCGTAAAATATCTGTTGTGCAATTTGCATCAAATAACGTACATAAATTATAACATAACATCCATCTCCCATATCATATGGCGGCATGGCATGGCGCCAATATTCAAAGATTTTTTCTTACCTGCAAATGTAGAAGATGCCATATTTATAGACGATAAACACGACCTTTAAACGACCCCCAAAATCCAACAGAAAAATTACAAAGAATATTCCAGAATGAGTTATATAATTATTATATAAAATAATTGCAAGTATTTGCAGCTGAACTTTGATCTTTGTTTTGTAAGTTTCGCAATGGCACCACAGGCGGCCAAAAAATTGCTCGAGAAATATTTCGGGAGTAAAAAATTGCGAGAAATATGCCTTATATTGACAAATTATCGAAAAATTTCTCCCGCAATTTTGGGCCCGAGATTTTTTACTCTGCGAACGTTATGCCATTCTCCCCCCGGGGCTGGGGCACACCACCGTCACCAGGCGGGGTGGGGGGGTCCGGAGAGGAGGGGCGTTCTGATAATGGTGCTTTTTAACAAAGTACAACTGCTGGAGAATGTGACACTTGTGGCATGGTCCAAAAATACTCAAAAATATAAACATTTAAGTTGTGAAAGAGGTTTTTATTCTACCATTTTCTAACTTGCAACAAAAATCATTTAAACTTCACAAATCTACACTATTTATAAATTAACTCAACAACTATTTAAATTCTAGCCTACATTATCTATATCAACATTGGAAATAGTTACAGTGGTCAGACAGACAAGTGTGAGAAAGTCAAGTGAACTGTGAACACACAGTTGCTTTACACTTTAACAATAATGCACTATCTCAAAAATACCATGTACAAAATGATGTGAAAGTTGGCTATTGATTAGCTCAGGGCAGCACTGACAGTACCCATATGTACAAATTCACTTCAGTGTCTTGCATAGTTCAATTACTTTTTTCTTCTTGTGACGAAAGCAATAATTATGTGTGAGAAAACACCAAACGCATAAATTCACGCCAATTAAAATAAAAACATTTTAAGCATAATACAACATATTGACTATGCACTCACTCTATTGTTTCATTGGCCGACTATTTTAAGCTTAAATGGAATTTTCCCTCACAGGGGGCAAGGGGATGTGAAGTGCAAGCAGTGGAAGACCCAATTAATCCCTCAGAGAGGGCAGAGTTCCTCACAGGACCACTGCAACATGCAGACATCTTCATGGACAGTGTAGATTTACTTTTATCAATATCTAAAGCATTATTTACAAGGGTACAATTCATGATTCGGCAACAATGGTTGGTTGCTCTACATCACCTACACATTCACTAGCCACCTTAAGTTGAACGACCTTCTTCAACGAGGATTCACTCATCGCCTTACTACCAGTTAGGCTACTTGTGCTTACTCTGTCGTGTTCGCCGACCTCTAGTGACGGGCTGGGATTGTCCGAGACATTTATGTTCAAATTCTCAATGCTGCTTGCGATGCTCACCGCACAGCTACGAGGCCCAGGAATCATGGAGCCACTATCCTCACGTCCACTTGGCTCGATATTGCTACTTGCAAGACTATAGCATTCTTGGCTCAAACTCACGCTGGGCTGTTTACCACTCTCCGCGTCTATAAAAAAACAAACAAATAATATTTACCTGCTGTAATTTGCAAACCAAAATGACAGGCAACTACAAACACAAAGTTAGTCTTAGGTGATTTCAAAAAATTGATATAACATTAGTTCACTGTATAACATGCAAAATAGATTGTTTTTTAGGTGATCAGTTGAAGAGAATTAAACTATTGGTTGAAACGCTGCTAAAATTGTTGGTGCTGCTGAAAGCAGCTAAATTTTACTTGATGTCTGTTATGTAAATGAAAGGCATCCATTACCTGGTGCTCTTGTGTTTATTGTCGCTACAACAGTTACGACACTGTCAATGTTCTCATCTGCAGCAGAGCTTGCCTCATTTGCAGTCGATCGCTCATTAGGGTTCGTAGCCATGTCGCCCTCAGAGTCAAACTCCAGGTTCACGCCTCTGCCGTTCTTTAGGGTTGTCACTGAGGCACAGCCACCACTGCGGCACAATGAGATTGGCACAACCCCATAGATGTAGCCAAGGGCGATGGGTACCCCCACACCTACGGTCAATGCAGCAAGCATGGGCGAGACCAAGATGGATAATGTCACTCCACTGACAATAGCAATGTTCCTCTTCTTCTTGGTATGATATGGCCGGTTGTATTTCTCATGCATCTGTAAAGTAATATGAAAATATTAATAAAGCAAACCATGAACTAAACTTATTTATACTGGATAGCTCTATCAGTTCAAAATTGTTCTTCCTAGAGGTCAAGTAAGGATCATCTCTTATTGATCCAGTGTTACTACAGGAGGAAACCTAAACTAAACCAACTTAATTTATACTGGATAGCTCTATCAGTTCTAAACTGTTCTTCCTAGAGGTCCAGTAAGGATCATCCCTTACTGATACAGTGTTACTACAGGAGGAAACCTAAACTAAACTTTATTTACACGGGATAGCTTTATCAGTCCCTGAACATATTGTAGTTGTTTAGCATACCTGCCGCCCAACATAGACTGGAATACCAATCACCATGGCAGGGAGTACAACCCCTGCAGCTAATGCAATCCCTAATGGAGCACCAATCAACGTGCCCATTTGCCACAGAATTTTCTTCTTTCTACTCCATGGCTTCTTTCCCCAAAACGTGCAGCCAGATGGACTGAAATTTGAATAAGAAATAAATTTCAAGTGCCAACTCATTATCTTATAATTTATTCCAATGCACCCACTCAATCATTTTCCTATAAGCAAAACGACTTCCTTTCTTCAAAAGAATTACTCAGCATTGTTTTATATTAGGCTGAGGAGAATAGCAAAGTGAAAATATTAGGACTCAAGTTGATTACATTTAATTTCCTAAATTGAATTGAACTTCACTCCCTTTGACACTTTACAAGTTTATTTCCTTGCTGTCAAAATCATCTCTATTTTTATATCTCAACTTAATAACACAATATACTGAATATGTAAGATATTAATCACTTTTGAAATCAGATTATGAAAAGAGGACATATAGTGTCATGCTTTCTTTAATAACAAACGTATTGGCCATAAGTAGTTTTGGCTTTCACTTATATTTGGTATTCACAGGGCTCGCATTCCCATTTTATATAGTATGTCTCTGATATTTTTGTAACGCATGTTTAATATTTTGTTGTGATGCAGTAGCATTATAATGAAAGTACAATTGGGTACTGATGAAGCTTACATTGGCCTGTTAAAATCAATAATGCACAAGATTAATTTAAATCTTAATCTTGACAGGAATAGACAGCAATCAAATACATTTCAGCCAATATCAGAAACGCAAGTCATTATTATACACATATGGATAGGACAAATTGTGTGATTCATATATAAATGGTATAAAAGGCAGTAGGCCAACAATGTTTTCTAGGAAATATCAAGAGTTGAAAGCATTATTTTATGAACATTAAAAAAATTTGTGATAGGCAAGTTTGATAAACACTTTAGAAGTCAAGGTTTAGGTGACAAGTACTCTCCCGAGGGCAGCATCTCTGAAGATTTTTAACACATAAAGTCATCCTATTTGCCAACTATCTGTTACTTATAACAATGGTTAAATAAATGAGTGAGATATTTGCAACAGATAAAATGCATCTTGCTTTATTAAACATTTCAATGTTGCAATTAAATGCAAATCAGTACTTTAGTCTAAATGAGATTGCAGGTGGTCCATATTGAAAGACAATATTAATGTACTTTGTCTTTGAAAATTTTTTTGTTTTCCTCCCATTAGGCATTTCAAGGCTGGCCGCTTTCTGGAACATTTTTAAACGAGCGAGGAAATGAATCATTGTAGCTTATTGTGATACTACTCTTTTACCCCATATTCTTTGAAGTAATATTTCTTGAAAAATTCAGGCAAAATATAAGCCACAGCAAGTCCTGGCAAATCCCTATCTTTGCCAGACAGATACTAGAGATATAAATGCTGTCTATTCTACAGAATTTCCCATACCAGAGATTAGTCAGGCCTACCTTAAGTAGTGAAGATCCGAGATCTCTTTCATACACAACCAGCAGAACTCGGCACCACACACAGCACAGGTCATATGGTTACATGTACCATCATCTAACTTTATGATAAAAGCACCACACCTCGGGCAAGGCTTCATGTCTTCACCTGATAAACTTTTACCATCATTCATGGGCAAGGTTCGAATATTTGAGGCTCGTCTCTGCCTAGCCATGTCACAAGTCAAATTTGGATGCCAGATTTGTTTACAATGATAACAGAACTCAGTTTTACATTTCTCTCGTTGGCATGTCAGTTTCGGGCAGCTGGCACAGCCGGCAGCTATTACGGCATACCCGCAATCCGGCGCAGGGCACCAACGGCAGTCAGGATCCGATACCAAGGTTCGCCTCAGGGTGAACTCGCTGTATTTGTTCATAAGAGCCTCATCATTGAGTACGAACCTAATATCGTTTGGGTGAAATCGTTCTGAACATTCAGGACATGTTAAATTCACCCTAGATTCATTGATTTCAATAATCATGTATTGTCTGAGACAATCACCACAAGTTCGATGCTCGCAGGTCGAAATATCTGGAAATAAGGATTGCGGTTTAACGACATAGCAAACAGGGCATACACAGACAGCTTCTGACGCACTTTTCCGTAAATGTGATGAGCTGGATTCCTTTCCTGATTTTGTTTGTCCGCTTTCGTCATGTTTACTGGCCTTGCTACTTCGGCCAAAAACACTCCTCATCGACGAACGAAAACGACTGTGTTTCTTCGGCGTCTGACTGCTGCTTTTAGGCGGCTCATTCGAGGGCTCCTCAGTCGCCTGTTTCACTCTGTCAGTCATTTTAAGGTCCTGATCTTTATCTCGCGTAGGTTTGACGGGTCTCGACGAGGGCTTTCAGCAATATTAAAATGTCTTTCGACAAAATTTGAGACTTCTATCACGGATACAAAATCGCTTCCAAGTGTCTGTCTTCATTCAGCTGTCAGTCAGCGTATTCAGTCGGCTATCCTGAAAGACGAAAGGAAACGGGTTTCACTTTAGAGAAAGATTCAATTTGCCCGAAGGCCAAAAGAACTTAGTACAAACAAGAACCCTTTTGTATATAAATTATAAAATGAGCTGGGAAAGTTTACAAGTTGTGACCACAGATGTAACAGAAACCTGTTAGCGGGAAGGAAGAGTACAGCTATCACACACTGTTATAACGTTTCTTCCTGAGATGCCGAATCCCAAAAGCGGCTCTCGTATTCATATATAATACAAAATATATAAAGGGGAATCAGCTATCGAGTTTCGCCGCTCGTTGACAAACGCAATTCATCAAAACAGTCACTGAATCACGCACGAAACACAAGTAAACGAAACCCACACAAAGCAGTAATGGCCAAATCGTTAGTACAATACGTAGAATACTTACATAATGCGTAAAATTCACGAACAAAGCAAAAATACAGAACATATATCGCGGCTTTCTCGTTGTCTTGCTTTCCTTTCGTCGTTTAAAAAACAATTGTCATGTGACTAAACAGACATCATGCCCATATATGGCACAGCTAGACCCAATGCACATTAGTATGCAAATTCGCTCGGCCTCGTCATGTTTTTGATCTGCGCATGTGCAATTATATGGTCCTTTCTTCAAAAGCACCGTCATTTACAATTTACATACGGTAAAGTTCAGAGTGTAAAAAATATATATATATCGCTGATCTGTACCAGTGAACTGATCTGTACTAAGACTTGATAACATATTTTTCATGATATTACAAACGCTAGTACAAAGACTGACTACAAAAAATACAAATCCGTTCCCAGGCTATTCGCTTTGGCTTGCGAGCTTGCGTAAAATTACTAAAATATGCAAATCTTCAGGAATATTTATAAGTGTAATTCAGTCATAACTAATAACATTGATTAGATCCGCGTAAATATATTTACAAAAAAGTGCATTATTTATATCTTACAGTTCTTTGTGTCTGTGACAATGCGTGCATGTTATTTTAAAAATATTATTGATTAGATATCGTGTATTTTGCAAAGTTCTAGTGTATGTTTGAAATAACAAGATTGAATAATGAGTGCGTATATCTTTACGTTTTGCTAAAGTTTAAAAAAGTAAATGCTGCCAACTCATTCTATTGGCGGTCGTTTACTTATCTGGTTCAACCTTACTTTTCTTTCTTGCCGCCGTTTGCGTTGGGCGTCCAAGCCCGCAATCTCGAACTCACCCTGTTTCTCGTCCCGCGCGACTGTCATCTCGAGAGCGGTCGCATCCCGTGTCTCCCCGACGTTCATGCTCATCATTGAGACTTGTTTGCTCGGACTTTTTGTCGGACTTTTAGGTGAGATGATCATCGTCTCGGACTCGGGAGTCTTCGACCTGTGTTCGATCTCCAACATTGTCACTTCGCTACTGGTCGTACGCTTTCGTTCCCTTCTCGAATCCTGCTTGAACCTGTTCAATGAATTTCTCAATTGTTAATGTCACTGAGGGGGAGTAGGAGTGGGGAAGGGATGCACAGGGTACATGCCCAAAAAACTATGGTGCGTCAACCAGGAATAACAATATTAGAAATCTTCTTACCCAAATTTTGATTGCACGCCAAATGTCGGTGAATTAGTTCCAGCGCTCCTGGGAGAGGCGGGAGATATCATCCTGGGACTAGAGGGCGACGTAGACTTCGAGCCTCGTTTGGGACCGATCGTCAACTGCGAAGTCATCCGTGGGGAACTGGGACTAGTGACGTCATACGAACTTGAAGACGTGGATTGCGCGCTCGTCTTGGTGATGGCAATTTGTGTAGTCGATGTTTCTCTGGTTTTGACGCCGAGTGGCAGCTCCAATGTGCTCCTAGCGACTCCTGGTTTCTGTTCTGGCTCAAACTTCAGCAGGAGCTCACGGTATGATCTCTGACTATCGGACAAATCTTTCTTAATCACTTTAACTTCCATTTCTAAGGTCGACACATGGTTTTGTAGCGTGCTAATTTCTTCGTTCTTGGACGCTTCAATTTCCTTGTATTTCTTCACTTCAATTTCCAATGTCGTTCTTTCTCTTTTCACAGTGTCCAACTCTACTTTTAATGTTGAAATTTCCACCTTCGCGTTCTCAACTTCAGCCGTCAGTTCACTCTCCCCAGTCTTCGCATCAACACCGTCTGACTCAACTTTAGCTAACTTCTCTTTAAGCTAGTATGGAAATAAAAAAGTGACGGTAAATGCTTGGATAGGACATCAAGTTTTTATAAACTAAGTTTTCTTTCGGTGGATAGCTCTATAACTTCGAGATATGTACAGTTCTTCCTAGGGGTCTAGTAAGGATCATTGATCAATGTCTGATTGATCCAGTTATTTACTACAGGAGGAAACCTAAACTAAACTAACTTTATTTATACTGGATAGCTCTATCAATTCTAAATTGTTCTTCCTAGAGGTCCAGTAAGGTTCATCTCTTATTGATCCAGTGTTACTACAGGAGGAAACCTAAACTAAACTAACTTTATTTATACTAGATAGCTCTATCAGTTCTAAATCCTAGAAGTCCAGTAAGGATCAGCTAGTTAACAGCGACATATGAATCTTACATCTTGCAGTTGGTACTCAAGCTCTTGTTTTTCTTTCCCAACAATAAACTCCATCGTCTTATATCCCTCATCACCACCGCGTGTCCTCTCCATAACTTCATCTCTTAAAGATTTCTTTTCAATCTCGCATTTCTTGTGAAGCTCTTCCAAATCGGAGTGTTTTTCCAGAACCAACTTCAGCTCGTATTCAACAGCTTTGCGTTGCCGAGCTTCCTTGCTGTTTGCCTTCTGCAACCTATGGTTGCACAATTCAGAAAAGATATTTTAAAACCATGAGCTCAAGTCCTATATGAGCTGAGAGTCCATGGCTGAGAGCCAACGAAGCGAGGGCAATTGCAATTACTATAGTTGGCCAACAGCCATATGACGTGAGCAAATGGTATAATTGTTTTAAGGCCAATTTAGACTACGCGATAAGTTGTATGCAATTATCATTCTGACGAATGCAAAAGAGTGCCTATGACACAATCTTCATTCAATTTTGTTCAGGTTAGTATTTAAAGTGTCACATTTACACGTGTGTTCATACGTTCACATACGCCAGGGTATGAATCCTATACGACCAATCGCATAGTATAAATGGGCCTTTAGAATACAGGCGAAATTTTTAGAATTTTAATGTGCAAAACTATATTAGATTCTCACCACAAATTCTCACTGTATTGCTGGCTGCTTTCTGACTGAGTATCTCAGCAGATAAGATCTCGTACCAGTTCATATATGCAGTGAGTATATAGCTATGTCTAAAAACTTCAATAGGGATATTACGGTGTATAGTTTGCTGTCTGTTTCCAGTAGAAATGAATATTTTTATTAAGCGGCTGAATTATATCTTAGACCGCAGGCTGAGATGTATTTTAGCTTATCCTGAATTAAAAATATGACTCTTGTCTTATCTAACCAACTCTCATGGAATCACATCGACCAGTCCGACTACTTTGATTCACAACTTTCACAATACAAACTGATTTACATATTCTCTTATATACACTCAGTAAGACCACTTGGTTTTATTCCTTATGCATACAAAAGAATATGTCAATCACGTCAGCTGACGCAATCGAGTCAGAATATATCAATGACGTCTTTGTTATAAAGTGAAAACGGTCAATTACCTCTCAATTGTTTGTTTGTTTTCCGTCTCTTCTGCTCGCAATATTTCAAGTTGTTTCATCTCATTCTCGTAGTTTTGCGTCATCAAGTCCAACCTCCGTTTCAAGGAGTCGATTGTCTCATTTGTCTCTTTCAATTCATGTTCTAACTTTCCATTTTCAATTTTCAAAGCGCCGTATTCATGTTCGAGCGAGTCTCGTTCCCCCTTTTCGTTGCCAGCTTGCGATTTCATCTTCTCGACTTCCTGCGTGAGGACGTTCAGTTGGACGGCCATTTCTCGGAGTTCCGCTTCTTTGACAGTTATCTACAAAGACAAAAGGTTTAGTTATATTTCCTTCCAAAGATGCAAGCTATTCTAGAGAGCAGCAATGCTACAAAACTAAACATTTCTCAGAAAGTACAACTTATTCAAGTAAATTTAAATTTTCCTTTTGAACTGTCTTAGCAAGTTATAGCAAAGCGGCCATTTAATTGTTCTAAAATCCACCAAGCAATTTGCAAAATAACTGGCTTAGCAAAATTCTCTAGCATCCAGCCATGTAAAACATTTTGGAGAGCCAACCGAACCTACCTTTAATTCCAAATTGGATTTTTCTTCTTTTTCTCTGCCAAGATCTACGTGCAATTGAAGATTCTCTTCTTTCAAAGTTTCGTTGAGGTGTTCCACGCTCGAGAATTCGCCTTGGTCTCTCTCGTTTCGCTTCACCAATTCTTTATACTTCGCTTCGGACGAGCTCAACTTCTCTTGTAACTGTAGCTTATCTTTCTTCTCAATTTCCAAAGCCTCAATTTGATATTTCATCTGGGTTAACTGTTGTTTAAGTTCGGATATTTCCTGATCGAATTCCTTGTTTCGTTTTGATGAATTCTCAAAGTTCTTTTGCGCTTCTGTCGCCTTCTTTTGCCAAGTATCTAAGTCATTTTTCATCGCGTTTCCTCGACTGTGCTCTGTGGTCATAGCACCTTTAAATAAAGAAAATCTATCTTCACTGGACCTCTTGGAAGAACAGTTTAGAACTGATAGAGCTATCCAGTATAAATAAAGTTAGTTTAGTTTAGGTTTCCTCCTGTAGTAACACTGGATCAATAAGAGATGATTCTTACTGGACCTCTAAGAAGAACAGTTTAGAACTGATAGAGCTATCCAGTATAAATAAATTTAGTTTAGTTTAGGTTTTCTCCTGTAGTAACACTGGATCAATAAGAGATGATCCTTACTGGACCTCTAGGAAGAACAGTTTAGAACTGATAGAGCTATCCAAGGAAAACAAAGCTCCAGACCTTTAAATGACCTTTCGGTACAAATAATGCCGAAAATTGAACACAAACCTTCGAGCTCTTGCACTTTAGCTTTCAATTCGCCAAATTCTTGTTTTGAAGCTTTCAAATCATTCTCAGCATCCTCTTTTTTCTTCCTGGAGTTCAAAATCTCGTCATTCATGCTTTTGTTTTCCTCCAACAGCTTGTCGCATTTCGAGATATGTTCTCGACATTCTCGCTCAAGTTCGGAGACTCTCTTCTGCAGTTGAGCCAGCTCTTGTTTCATTCTTACGTTCTCTTTTTCAGAGTCGGACGAACTTTCTGTGAGGCTGCAGACGTTTTTGTGAGCTTCAATCATCTTATTTCTAATCTCATCGTTTTCTTCACGAACAGCTTGCAACTCCTTTTCAAGATTCTTGTTCTTTGCCTCGTTGCTTGCCAAAAGCCTGTAGATTCAAAATGGATATAATTTATTCATGCGGACAAACACATATATTAATGTAGCCTTAATTCACGTTTTTAAGATAGGATGTATTGGTTATACGCCTTTTATTTTTCATTTTTATACAAAAGTTCAATATAAAACTACATATACCTTTCGGAGTCTTCTTCGGCCTTTCGTAGTATTGTGATTTCGCTTTGTAACTTATCATAGTTCTGGATGGTTGTACGAAGTTTAGTTTCAACCGATACTTTTTCGTTGCGTAGTGTCTCTATCATCTTTGTTTTCTCAATTATTTCTAGCCTAGAAAAGAAGAGGAGAATTATATCATGTTTGGAATTAATTTATTAAGTGAATACAACTAAAGTTAGTTTAGTTTAGGTTTCCTCCTGTTGTAACACTGGATCAATAAGAGATGATCCTTACTGGATCTCTAGAAAGAACAGTTTAGAACTGAAAGAGCTATCCAGTATGAATAAAGTTAGTTTAGTTTAGCTTTCTTCCTGTTGTAACACTGGATCAATAAGAGATGATCCTTACTGGACCTCTAGGAAGAACAGTTTAGAACTGATAGAGCTATCCGGTACATATCCAGCAATACATTAATAAAGTTCAAACCTGTACGTCTCTATCTTTGTTGTGACTTCCTTCAACTGCACGTCTTTGCTGGAAGAAATGGACAAGTCTTGTTTGTACTTTCTTTTGCTTTCTTCAAACTGAGCAATCAACGTAGTTTTTTCCTGAGAGATATTTGTTATCTCTAATTGTAGTTGAAAGATCTTTGCTTTCATTCTGTCAAGCTCGAACTGCTTTTGCGAGTTATCTACATTCAGATCCTTCATTCCTTGTTCCTTGTCGGAAAGTTTCCTTTCCATTGACATCAAACGTTGTTGTAGTTGGTCAACCTTTAAAAGTTAGATCAATTCATTAGTATATTCGTTACGGTTCTTTTCGTAGAAATTTCCTTTTAAAAGTCCGGTAATGCTTCTGATGTTGCCACTACAGGTGCAAATCTTCATTTGTGGATGGAGATATGGATCTATCAGTTCTAAACTGTTCTTTCTAGAGTTCCAGTAAGAATCATCTCTTATTGATTCAGTGTTACTACAAAAAGAAACCTAAACTAAACTAACTTTATTTATACTGGATAGCTCTATCAGTTCTAAACTGTTCTTCCTAGAGGTCCAGTAAGGATCATCTCTTATTGATCCAGTGTTACTACAGGAGGAAACCTAAACTAAACTAACTTTATTGAATTATAATTAGCTTTATCAGTTCTAAACTCGTTACTCACTTGATTAGAATCCAAACTCTTCACCGACTTCATTCCTGCCAACTCTCTGGAGACATCTTCATAATCCTTCCTTAACGTCTGAAACTTTCCAGAATCCTCCTCCCGGGCTCGTTCCCACGCCTCCATCTGATCTCGTTTCTCCGCCAGTTCTTTCTCGGAAACGGTCACTCTTTTGTGCAGACTCACAATCTCCTCGCGCAGCCCGGATTCGATGTCCTGGATTCTTTTGTACCCAGTCTCCAGGTGGACATTACGCTCTCTTGTGGCGACGAAATCACGTTCCAACTCATCTGCGCGATTCTGAGAAACTTGGAGTAGTGCTTCCAGCTCGGAAATTCGTTGCTCGGCTGATATCAAATCATTTTTCACCTCAGCGCAATCATCACGAAGTGTTTCCATATTGGTTTCACATTCATTGACTTTGATGGAACTTTGCTCCAAATTCTTCAACGCGATGTTCTTCTCTCGTTCCAGGTCGGAAAGCGTCGTCTCTAATTCGGTGCTTTTCGCTGTGGACTCGGCCAGTGCCGTCTCGAGTTGGTCACGTTGTGTTTTGAGTTGCTCGTCTTCACGAACTTGTTGTTTCAAAGACGCCAATTCCTTTTGCAACTTTGCGCGTTCCGAACGCAGTTCTTCCAACTCCATCATGGTGAATAGATCCATCTCATTGTTTGAACTAGCAACCTAACACAAGGAAGTTGGACGAGATTTTAGAAAACCTAGTTAGCTTAAGGTAGTGTTAAAAGGTTTGCAATGTTTGCCGCATCGATTCCTAGCCTTTGAACTATGATTACAATTCATTTACCTCCTCCACGGTACTCTTCGTAATGACATTGGACTCGAGAGAGGTTTGAAGCGTCGATAAATCATTCTTTACAGCGGTCATATCCTTGCTTAGTACTTCATTTTCTTTTCTAATTTCTTCCTTCTCGTTCTCGTGTTCCTTGACGATCAAGTTCAGCTGAATGACGCTTTCCTCCAAGCTCGTCTTCTCCGACAATAAACTCTCGTAGTCGACTTTCGTTGTGGAAATCTAGAAAATCAGAGATTGGCTCAAACGATACCCATATGAGAATTAAGAGTATTTCTAATTCCATCCTGCCAAATTCTCACCTCGTGTTTCAGAATGCTAATTTCTCTTTCAAATCTCACAGCTTCTTCCTCAAGTGAATCGACTTTGCCCATCATTTCTGCTTTTTCTGAGAACAACACATCGCAAGATCGTTGCTTCTCCAAAATTCGTTCTTGTAGTTGTCGCACCTAAATGGATAAATTGCAAGTTAATTGCACGGTTAATAATAAAGCCATCCTAGTCGACACGATGGAAATTGAAATCTTGGCAAAGAAAAACGGACTATACGGCTTACTTGTTTACAAAACATTATCGGCTGTTTGCAAATGCTGAATGCATATCAATCTGCTTCCTCTCACCTGAATTTTATATTGTTCATTCTTGCTCTGAGATTCTTCTAACAGCCCGTTGACTTGAGCGATGGCTTTAAGCGTCGTCTGAACTTCGTCTTCCATCTCATTTGATTTCTGGTTTGCATGTAGCAGTTCCTTCTGTAGCTCGTTACGTGTGTTGACGTAGCTCTCGTAAGCAGCTTCGAGTTCGGAGATCTTTTTATAACACTCAGTCAGCTCTTGTCTCTGTTTTTCCATCTCTTCCCGATTACCGTCGATGACCTGAAAATCAAAATTCCTTCTCAGCATATTTACGTTTCAGGAATATATCTTCGAAAACTTCGAAACCGTTTCTAAGATGAAAACAAAGCTATCTCTATTTCCCCTGGTTTCACAAGGTCATTGGAGAAGTTATCTATGTTTAATTCGACACTTTCCGAAATGGAATTGTATAGTCAATGAAAAAAAAGGGAAAATGCTGCATGGATAAAACCTTTTGTATCGTCACCAACAGGACCTTACGAGCCAAGCCAAAATTCAAGGTTTGGAATGATCCACAATGGACAGAGTGAATACCCCATCTTTTTCATCTTTTATTCGATGTACGCATTCATTATTTCACTTATCCGAATTCGGTTTGGGGCCGGTGACAAACTACCCACTTTCCCTTTCCCACATCCCTTTCCCCTCTTCCTTCCTGAGTGGCCCTTTATAGATTGATTATTGAAAATATCTATCTAACCTGATGAAGTTTTGCGCATTCTTTTTCCGTGTCGACCATCTCGTCTGAAAGGTGTTGAGATCGTTCGTTGCTGGTCTTCAAGGTTGCTTCGAGCCGCGTTGCCTTGTTACGAAACTGCGCCAACTCTCGTTCAACCCGTGTCACGTTTTGTCGAACACTTGCCAGCTCTTCTGCTGCGATGCGTTCTCTGTTCTCGCTGTCTTTGAGATACAGTTGAAGCTCGGTCATCTTATTTCGTAGAACAAACATTTCCTTCTCAACTGCATCCTTGTCTTTCCGAGATTTCGCCAACTCTTTCTCGAGACTTGAAGTCTTTGCCTGCATTTCCAAAAATTTCGATTCAAATTCGTTTCTCTCATCCTTCGTTGTTTCCAGAGTGCCTTTGAGCTCAACGTATTTTCTGCTGGCGATATCTTGTTCCTCGCTTGACTTGCTTTTCGCTTTGACCGTCGCGTCCAACGAGGATTTTATTTGTTCATTTTGAGCGCGTGAATCAGTGATTTCTTGCATCAATCTGGATTTTTCCTTTTCCGTAGAATCAAGAAGGATCTTAACTTCCGAGTTTTTATGTCTCATTTCGTTCAGCTCCGTGACCTGATGAAATAAAATATGGAAACAGAATGTAAACACTGTTCTCAGAAGGATTCTTCAGTTGGATAGCTCTTTCAATGCTAAACTGTTCTTCCTAGAGGTCCAGTAAGGATCATCTCTTATTGATCCAGTGTTACTACAGGAGGAAACCTAAACTAAACTAACTTTATTATACTTGATAGCTCTATCAGTTCTAAACTGTTCTTCCTAGAGGTCCAGTAAGGATCATCTCTTATTGATCCAGTGTTACTACAGGAGGAAACCTAAACAAACTGACTTATTTATACTGGATAGCTCTACAGTTCTAAACGTTCTTCCTAGAGGTCTAACTTAAATTTATTTCAACAAGTTACATTTCTAAAAAGACACGCTACGATTCTGATATACAAGAACCCTTCATGTGAGCCACCATATCAAAAGCGTGTCATTACAACCTTTCAAATATAATCGAACCTGTTTCACTCTTGTTTCCTCCAAACTTTCATATTTCGTTTCAATCTTCACCAACTTCTGTTGCACCAGCTGAACCTCTCGTTGTGATCCTTCGTAGTCTTGTTGAAGTTTCTGATTCTTGCCTCGAAGTTCGCTTATCAAATCTTTAAGTTTCAAAATCTCTTGTTGTAACCGATCATTTTCCTGTTTCATCATTTGCATTGAGTATTCCAGTTCTGATACCTTCGCCTCTTTATCCTGGAGTAACATGTTGTCGGAATAGTGTTGACGCTCGAGGAACTCAACCTAAAAGATCAGCAAATTTGTTATTTTGTGCAAAATATGCTCGATATCTCTTAGGTAATATTGGTAAGCAATACTGGTAAGAACTATTCCTCAACAACTGAAATTCCATTATAGCACAGTTATATAGAATATACATGGTTTGGACTTTGGAGACGACATAAAACTACAATACAACTGATTAACTATGTTGAGGTAGATTTATGCAAAAAATTATTCCTTTCTCGTCACATGTCTATTGTATTTTGCACAGATAAACCGAAATCTTATAACACATTTTTCAAGTCAAGGTTGAGGAGCTTAGCAAGACGAGTGCCTTTCATTTGGTAAATTTGGCTAAAATACAATAGACAAGTGATCATGACGAGAAAGAACCATTTTTTGGCATAAACCTGGACAATAACATAGTTAATGAGTTGTATTGCATTTTTATTTAGTCTCCAAACCATGTATATTCTATTAACTGCGATCATAGTTATTACATCTACCAGCTCAAATTTTGATAACAGGTGATGATGTTTTCCATCGTGAACCTTCAACATTGAAGGTAAATTACCGTCTTCGATAGTCTTAAAAAAGCTCTTTCATGCAAACTACCGGTCCTGTATCATGTTCAAACATGAAAAATGATGTTACCTGTTCTTTGTGAGCGACCAGCTGTTCTTTCGTAGAATTCACATCCTTTCCAAGAATCTTTTTCGCGGTTTTCAAGGTTTTAACGTCTGCGTCTTTGTCGAAGAGCTCCTTCCGTTGCATTTCAACGATGGTGTCTTTCTCTGCCAAAATCCTTTGCAGATTTGTCATCTCATCTTTCGTTTTATTCATTCGGTCCGTCAGCTCTTCAAGCTCACCTTTTGCGGCAGCGTTTTGTTTCTTTATCCTCTGCATTTCGATGTCATTGTCGGCCAAATCTTTCTGACACTTGTCTAATTCTTCACTGAGGTCTTCGTTTTCATCTCTGAGAGCTCCGACTTCGAGTTCGTATTCCGAAAGGCGTTTCATCATTCCAAACACTTCCTGGTCGCGCTCTTCGAAACGAGTTTGAACATTTTTGGCTGAGAGTTGGACAATGTTGATCTAAAATAAGAGTCATGAGATGATCCTTACTGAACCTCCAGGAAGAACAGTTTAGAATGATAGGGCTATCCAGTGTAAATAAAGTTAGTTTAGTTTAGGTTTCCTCCTGTAGTAACACTGGATCAATAGGAGATGATCCTTACTGGACCTCTAGGAAGAACAGTTTAGAACTGATAGAGGTATCCAGTGTAAATCAAGTTAGTTTAGTTTAGGTTTCCTCCTGTAGTAACACTGGATCAATAAGAGATGATTCTTACTGGACCTCTAGGAAGAACAGTTTAGAACTGATAGAGCTATCGAGTGTAAATAAAGTTAGTTTAGTTTAAGCTAATATTAATTTATTTTCAAATAAAAATATACCTCTTGACGCAATTTGCTATTCTCCTCAACCAAAGCATCCTTCTCTTCTCGTATCTTCTCAATTTGCTTCGTTTTTTGTTCCGCATCTTTGGCCAATCTTTCTGACGTCACTTCCTGTTGTTTTGCCTTCTTATTCCCGTCATCCACTTCGGCGAGGAGTTCGGTAACCTGCGCCCGCAGCTTCTTTACCTCTTCTTCATCCTGGTCAGCTGTCTCCTTGACCACACTCTCCCTGGCTAACGTGGAAACCTTCTTCTTAGTCGAGCTTAACTCCACTCGAACGTCGTCCAACTCCTTCTCTGCGCTTTGTAAGTTTGCGCGCAATTCCTCGCATTCTTTCTTAACCATTTCGCTTCCACGTTCGGCAACAACCTAGCAATTGGCAGGTAAATAGACCGTATGTATAATGACGTATGAAGCCGTGACGCCTGCAGGGAATTCTGGTTTTAGCAGTCACGGCGAAAAATTCAAACTTCAAAATTTCCCGCCGTGACTACTAAGACCAGAACTCCCTGCGGGAAACACGGCTTGTTACGTCATTATGCATACGGTCTATTAGTCAACAAGATTGGCAGTTTGAAATTCCGGACCACTGTTTCGGACTAGCCACACATCATAAAGGCATGTTCATCAACATACGCAATATCCGGTCCAACCTGTCAATTAGCCATCTTAACTTGGTCTCAATACTACCCTTAGTCAATACTAAGAAGTCCTCTACGGCCGAATGTATCCCATTTTGTCCCATGAAGACCCAACTTAAACAATTGTCTACAAGAGCAAACTAATTGTTGCGGAGAATTTGCATGTTTATCGATCAAAAAAGATTACAAACATTCATCGTGTAACCGACTTGAAGGAGTTTTAACCATAAAGTTAGCATTGATAGCGATCATAAATACGACTTTCTAAATGCAGTTTTTTCGTATTAAAAGTTGTGAATAACTTTTTTATACAACGTGTAATTCACTTTTTACTTCGCTTAACGGTCCATTAAACCTAGTAGGTTTAAACCTAGTTAGTATTATTAATAATATACTATTACTATCTCCTATTGTGATCTGCTAGTCTGTAGAAAATTACCATAAAGCCAACGAAAACAAGAACAAATACCTTTTTTTCGTGGACGGTTTCATAGTGAGCTTCCAGCTTTGAATACTTGCTCTTCACAACGATACAATCCTGCTCTAAATCTTTCTGCTTCTCTTTCAAACTGGCGTGCGCCATTTCCACATCATGTAGCTTGCTCTTCAGGAAAGATACTTCCGTGTCTCTGGATTTTGCTGTCTCCTCCAGATCCAATGCAGACTTTTCAGCCTGTTTTTTCTTCTGTGATGCCGCACTTAGATCTTCTTCAATTTGTTGTACCTTTTGAGAAAAACGATTGAAATGCTTCAACTAGCTATCAAAACAAATAGGAAATTTTTAATTTCTGTTTTTTGCTTCAATTTTTGGCTTCAACCAAGTATTACACTGAAATAGTAGTTAGCATTCCAGATTTTATTGCAGTTCATGCTGTAAGAGCCAAGACACTTATAATAGTACTGCATAAAAGCGCACCACTGGTACTAACCTTTTGCGTCAACTTCGTGACTTCCCGTTCTTTGCTCGTCTTATTTTCGCGCAAGGCGGTCACTTCCGACTCCAATCGGTTCAACTCGCCGTTAAGTCGACCAACCTCGGTGGTAGACTCTTCCAATGTTCCTTTTGCCTTTTCAAACTTTCCCGAAACGTCCTTTACCTCCCGTCGAGCGCCTGCAAGCTGATTCTTGTAATCTACCGTTGAACGTTTGAGTTCGCCAATCACTATCGCCAATCTTTCGTTCTCTTCCAGTACCTAAAAATTGCAATACAGTTGAAGATGGGTATGAAGTGTGAGTTTGGGAAATTTTAAATCTATTTGACAATGTTTTGAAAGTAGACTATGGTAAAGTCCTAAAGCTATGCTTTGGCATCCAACACGAAGAAAAAGCTAGGGGGAAAACGGCCCCAAAACCAGCCTCAAGCAACTAAAGATGGATAACCGAATGAACTCAAATTTTTCAGTAAAAGAAATTTATTCAAACTAGAATTTAAACTTTTGTTTTCATGCTCAACTCAGCTGGAGAGGAGCGCTTAGAGAGTCTTTAATCAGCGCGCAAAACATAATTGAATTGTAGAGATCTGTTGTTTCATTTGATCTGCGTATTTTACCTCATCCAACTCGACTTCCAAACTTGTCATTTTCTCCATCTTTCGTCTCAGCTCCTCTCGCATCCTGTTTTCACTTGTTTCCGCTTTCTTCACGCGCACCTCGAGCTCAGAGACAGCCTTGTGGGCGTCCAACACCTCTCTCTGAAGCTTCTCTTGCAACTGCGATTCTTTGTTGCCAGAATCCTTGCCAGCAAACATGTTCTCCTTAAGGGAAATCATCTCATTTTCAACCCTCGCTTTCATATCCGTCAAATACTTGACTTCTTCATCGCGTTCTTTCAGATCTCGTTGGCTCGATTCAAGAGAGAGTCTTAACTCGGAAGCTTCGCTGTTAATTCGAGAGTTCTCTTCCAAGCATTTCTCGTATTTTTCACCCAGTATCTTCACCTGTGCCTCCAACGAATTACCTTCGCTTGTCTTGCTCTCAAGCTTAAATTCGAGGTCGGAGATTTCATCCTGAAGCGCAAATACTCTTCCTTTTAGCTCCTTTCTTTCCGAATCAGCCGTCCTGAATTTCGTCTCAAGCTGAAGAACTTTTTGTTCGAGCATTGATTTGGCGGTTTCCTTCTCACGTTGAGTTTCCACCCAAGAGCGACGCTCGGTTTCGTATTTCTCATTTTCTGCAAAGCTTGTTCTCAACTTCGATTCAAGGTCTTTAACTTTCGATGTGGTTGCCTGGAAAAGCTTTTCCAATTCGTCGTATTTGATGGTGTGTTCACTCAGGTCCGAAGTCAAACGTTCCACGTCTTTCTCCAAACGCTGCGTCTCCGATCTCAGCTCGTTGTTTGTGTTATCTCGCTCGCTAATCTGTTCATTTAGTTGATCAATCTAATAGAAGAAGAACAGTTTAGAACTGATAGAGCTATCCAGTATAAATAAAGTTAGTTTAGTTTAGGTTTCCTTCTGTAGTAACACTGGATCAATAAGAGATGATCCTTACTGGACCTCTAGGAAGAACAATTTAGAACTGATAGAGCTATCCAGTATAAATAAAGTTAGTTTAGTTTAGGTTTCCTTCTGTTGTAACACTGGATCAATAAGAGATGATCCTTACTGGACCTTTAGGAAGAGCAATTTGGAACTGATAGAGCTATCCAGACTTCTAGGAAGAACAGTTTATAACTGATAGAGCTATCCAATTATAAAACAGCACTTTTAGTTTTACCTGGTTCAAACTGTCCTCGCAATTGTTTGTTTTTTCAGAGAGCTCTGTTGTCAACTCAGCCAACCTTCGTTGTATTTCCTCATTCTCCAGTTTTACCTTCAACAAGTTCGCCTCAGCTTGTTTACCATCCTCTTCCTTCTCAGAGATCTTACATTCATGATCTTTCAGTATTTCATCCAGCCTCGCAACAGTGTTTTGGCTGTCTTGTAATTCTCGCGATGTTCTATCAAGATTCCGCTTGACCGCGTCCTTCTCTTTCTTCAATTTTTCAATGGTTGACTAAGAAATGAAAAAGAATTTCATATGAGAAAAGTTTCTATTGTTCGATTCGATCACTGTATCACAGGCTATCTGTTTCAATAAAGTTAGTTTAGTTCACGTTTCCTCCTATAGTAACACTGGATCAATAAGAGATGATCCTTACTGGACTTCTAGGAAGAACAGTTTAGAACTGATAGAGCTATCCAGTATAAATAAAGATAGTTTAGTTTAGATTTCTTCCTGTAGCAAGACTGGATCAATAAAAGATCAATAAAATATGATCTTTAAACTGGATCAATAAGAGATTATCTTAAATGAAGAACAGTTCAGAACTGATAGAGAAATGCGTGTTTTAACTTACCTCAAAGCTTACAACTTTGTTGCGTGTAGCATTGACTTCGATCTCTAGTTGCATATTATTATCCCGCAATGATCTCACTGTTCCTTCAAGATCCACCATTCTCTGCTCCATAGTTCCAACTTCAGCGTTCAAATCTTTATTCTCATCTTCCAACTTATCAGACGCAAGCTTCAAGTTTGCCTCAGACGCTGTCAAGGTTCCCACCAACTCTTTCAACTGCATCACTCTCGCCTTCAGCTCCTCGATGTCCGTCTCCTTCTTACCTAAACTAGTTTTAAGCCTCTCGCTTTGCGATTCTGACTCCTTGCGTTTCCCGGAAGCTTCGACGAACTCCTCGCGAAGAGCGGTCAATTTCAACCGTCCATCTTCGAGCGAGGCCTGAAGCCTCTTGCGTTCCTCTCTGCTAACCTCAAGTTGTGATTCGAGCTTGCGAATTCTTGTGTTCATCCTTTCCACTTCGTCTTGCAAAACACGTTTCTCTTCAGCGAGTCCTTCGACGTCACTCTCAAGTTCTGTGATTCTATTTCGGGCCGAGATTAGTTCATCCTTGGCTTTTGTTTCCGATTGTGTGGCTAGTTCCAGTTTACCTTTATGCATGGAAACGCTCTCATCTTTCACATTTAAATCCTGTGCCATGGATTCCAGTTCATCCATCTTGCTTGCTGTTATTCGTTCCAATTCAATGATTCTTTTGCGGCTGTTTTTAAGTTCTGAATCAAGCTCGTCTTTCTTAGCCGAGACTTCTGAAAGGTTTTGTTCCAATTCCTTTTGTTTGTAAACGGTCTGTTTGAAACCTCGACCAAGCTTTGCGTACTCTTTAGCTTTCGATCTCAAGGTTGTGTCCAGCTCTGATCTCTTCTTGTCTGTTGCGTCAAGGCTTGATTTCAAATGGTTCACCTCGCCGGTAAGGGAAGATACATTACCCTAGACATAAAATAACCAACAACGATAAACTACTGTCTAAATGATAAACTACTGTTTCAACGATAGGTTAATGTCTCAACTCTCGACGATAAACAGCTGTCTGAACGATAAACTCCTGTTTCAACTACAATCTACTGTCTTAACTCTCAACGATAAACAGCTGTCTCAACTATAAACTATATTTTTTAATTATGTTCATTATTTTGCTGCAGACCATGCTAGAAAATTCCTTATTTGTTGGACTAGCAGAAATCTACGATCCCGCCCAAAGACAGACCCTTTTTGAAGTTTCTTTTGCCACTTTTTTTCACATAATACCGAACCTTCATTTTTGCCGCCAAAACTTCGAGAGTCACAGTGCGACTTGAGAAGGAAACGATCTACATGTTAACAAAAATTGAAGGCAAATGTACCTGAAGTACTTTGTTATCTTCGTGTGATTGGTTGAGTTCAGCTTTCTTAACATTCAATTCGTCTCGGACAGTATTTAGAAGTGATTCCATCTCAGACTTCTCCCGTTGAAGACCTTCCAGTAAATCTTCCTCATCGCTGACCTTTTTCTCATAATCCTATTGGTAGTAAACGATATTAAGTTTGTTTCAAGGAAAGACTTGATCTCTCGCACGTCAGTCACATCGTTTGTATAAACTTCGGAAATTTCAATACAACGGCGATGGGAATATATATTTTCCTTCAGAGTAAAAAAATTACCTGTAAAGCGCTGTACTGTTCCTCAACGGTCGATTTTACGATGACAAACTCGTTCGACACTCGACTGAAGTCTGCATTCTTTTCATCCAACTCATAACTTAATATCGACGACTTCTTCTTCAATTCTTGCAGTTCACCTTCGAGTTTCTCATTTCTTTGTTTGGACAAACTGAGATCCCTTTGAAGCAAGATATTCTCTTCTTCCATATTTCGACAGTTGCTTTGAAGCTCGGAGACTCGCTGGTAGAACGAACTGACTTCGTCTTTCAAAGTTTCGTTGTCTTTCAGTAAGGTTGTGTCGTTGATTTCAAACTCTCGTAGTTTTTGTTGGAACAGGAGAAGCTCGTCGTGAAGGTATTTCTTCTCTTCCTGCGCGCGGGCAAATTCGTTCTGATACTTCGTTGTCTCTTGCGACCTTCGAGTAAATAAAACATTTCAATTATTTCACGAGAGCAATGCCTGTATACCAAAAACTCACTCACACTCAAACTCATTGAGTGGGAGATCTCAATCTTCTCAAAACGCTTCCTTGACGGTATTTCCACTTGGATAAGAGCTTGATTTTACCTCAAATCTTTCCATTGATTAAGAAAAAAATAACTTTCTCTCATCAGTAAGAGCAAAGTTTCTATGTCACATTCAATGAGAGTTCGCGTGAGTGAGGTGTTTGAATACAGCCGTAAAGGTTTTTCGATGTAAACATGGTTAGGTAAATACGTTTCTAATAAATTGTTTATCTTCAATGAGGTTACTCTTCCAAACTATTTATAGGAATATTGCATTTTGAACGTTTAGATAAGCAATTCATACTAGGTATATACTAAACCATGATGCAAAAAGTTATAAAATCATTCTCAAAAATATTTCTCACCTTGAATCCAGTTCGTCTTGAAGCAGAGTAACTCTACCACGAAGCTCTTCTTTTGTCTTCTCAGCCGAGCGTTCGTTGGTTTTAAGCTTCTCCAAAACCCTTAAATTTTCAGAATACTTTCTCTCGAGCACGCCATTTTCTTCTTTGCTTTGAAGCAGTTTATCTTTGAATTCTTCCAGTTGTTGTTTAAGCCCGTTTCGTTCCCGAGTGATGGTCGAAAGCATTCCTTCCAGTTTCGTAACCTTGCTGCGAGTGTCCTTAACTTCTTGCAACAACTGGTCATTTTCATCTTCGTATGTTTTACGAGAATTCTTCATCTCTGAGACCTGTGGGAAATAATGATCTATCATATTCGCACCTAAATACACTAGACTGTACTCTGAAGTGTCTTTCCAGATGCGATAAACCGAACAATATTCAGAATGCATTGATAAAAAGAAGCACATCTGAAGAATAATTATTCAATGATACAGGATAATTCTAGATGCAATGATAGCAAATTTGTGCAGTGACAAACGTAATATTCATCATTTACCATATTTCGGTATATTCGACAGGTATATTCGACCATGGCAAGGTTGATAATACCATATTCAGGTATATTACTTCATCACTATTATTTATCGTGTCTTAATTTAGACTAGTCTCAATTTACGCCAAATTCGTATTTAATATTTTGTGTTTGTGAAATTTTGACTAATGCAATCGCATGAGTCGCATCAGTCTGGATCCGCTCCTGTGTTAACAAGTCATTTTCACTGATGAGAAATAGTCCGGATGTAAATTCGTCTTTATTTCTGTATTCAAATCGGTCATTGTTGACAGCACCCACACATAGAAATATTCTATTACATCAGCCACCTTGACATGTTCACGACACTAAAGGCCCTGTTACATGGTGCAATTTTTCTTGCAACTTGCAATGCAATTCTACTTATAAGAGATGTAAATTAGTAAAGAGTCTTGCAGAAGAAAATGCATGAAGTATAATAAACACAAAAGTTTGGTGTTACTAAATTTACATCTCTCAAAAGTAGAATTGCATTGCAAGTTGCAGGAAAAATTGCACCGTGTGACAGGGCCTTTACGACTAAATGTGTAAACCAGGCATATTTGTCCTCAGAGAATTATACGATATGCTACACACCTGTTTCTCAGCATGCTCCAGCTGTCGCTTTAACTCATCTTTCTCCCGCTCCAGAACTTCACAGATGGACTCAAGCTCGACAACATTCCCCTTCGCCGTTGCCAATTCCTTTTCCAACTTTGATATTTCGTCTCTATTCTCGCCAAACAGTTCCTCGAATCGCGCCAGCTTCGCTCGTGCATTCTCCAGTTGTTTTTCGAGATCAGCTATTTTACCATAAGCCTCTTCGCACCTTGATTCCAGGTCCAAGATCTTCTCCTTTGCTGAATGTTCGCCCCTACCAGCGTCGTTCAACTGCGCTAAACAAGTTTCGTGCTCTTTGAGAACTTTCTCTTTATCGTTCTGAATGTCCGAAATCAAAGTTTCCAGTTCCGTGATTCTGCTCTCAGCGCCACGGAGTTCCTTGTCGACTGTATCTTTTTGCTTCTTCAACAATTCTCCGGCTGTCTCGTTTCGCGAGAGTTCATCAGCAAGCGTTTCGATTTTCACTTCCAAAACTTGGGCCGACGATTCCAGGCGTTCAATGGTTTCGCGTTTCACACTTGAAAACGAAACAATTTTAACAATTCTGAACTCTGCGTGTGTCTTTTATTAAAATTTAACCTCAGTAACATTTGAGAAGAGTGCTTCTAGTTTGACTCTACCAAACACAGTGGTTAGTCCATGTGTCTTTCATCTCTGTGACTGAGGTTTCATTTCTCTAATATGCAGTTGTCTGATTATAATTTAACCTCAGTAACATTTGAGAAGAGTGCTTCTAGTTTGACTCTACCAAACACAGTGCTTAGTACATGTGTCTTTCATCTCTGTGACTGAGGTTTGATTTTTGTAATATGCACTTGTGTGATTATAATTTCACCTCAGTCACATGTTAGAAGATTGCTTCTAGTTTGACTCTACCAAACACAGTGGTTAGTACATGTGTCTTTCATCTCTGTGACTGAGGTTTGATTCTGGTTTGATTCCTGCAGTATGCAGTTGCCTGATTATAATTTTATCTCAGATGAGAAATGAGCGCGTTCTGGCATGACCAGGGACCGCGGAGCAGGGTGGCTGTCTGGGCTTTAGCCCCACCAATAATTTTTCCGTAATTAGTCTTTAATTTCGAATATTTTTTAGTTCGCTCGAATTTACAAGCAATACAAGCGCCAAAATGCTGGAAACTTTATATAGAGCAAGCATTTGACCATTAAAACAGCATGGTTATCCATTTCAAAATATTTGACATCATAACCAAAGCATGGTTATATTGTTTAATGTTTGTATATGAGCGCCAAACATGCTGGAAACTTTACATAGGACAAGCATTTGACCATTAAAACAGCGTGGTTAACCATTTCAAAAAAAATTTGACATCATAACCAAAGCATGGTTATATTGTTTAATGTTTGTATATGAGCGCCAAACATGCTGGAAACTTTACATTGGACAAGCATTTGACCATTAAAACAGCGTGGTTATCCATGTCAAAATATTTGACATCATAACCAAAGCATGGTTATATTGTTTAATGTTTGTATATGACCGCCAAACATGCTGGAAACTTTACATTGGACAAGCATTTGACCATTAAAACAGCGTGGTTATCCTTTTCAAAAAATTTGACATCATAACCAAAGCATGGTTATATTGTTTAATGTTTGTATATGACCGCCAAACATGCTGGAAACTTTACATTGCATGGACAAGCATTTGACCATTAAAACAGCGTGGTTATCCATTTCAAAATATTTGACATCATAACCAAAGCATGGTTATATTGTTTAACGTTTGTATATGAGCGCCAAACATGCTGGAAACATTACATAGGACAAGCATTTGACCATTAAAACAGCGTGGTTATCCATATAAAATATTTGACATCATAACTAAAGCATGGTTATATTGTTTAATGTTTGTATATGAGCGCCAAACATGCTGGAAACTTTACATAGGACAAGCATTTGATCATTAAAACAGCGTGGTTATCCATGTCAAAATATTTGACATCATAACCAAAGCAAGGTTATATTGTTTAATGTTTGTTATGAGCGCCAAACATGCTGGAAACTTTACATACTATCTATTATTTTCCATTAACCCTTAAATTGAGAGGCATTTGCGGCGATTTCAGAGGCCTATATTTCAAAATTTTCCCGGACTTTCCTAGCAGGTGCGCGGTTCCGAGCCCCAGCAATACGAAAAACGCTCCGCGGTCCCTGATAACCCCGTTCTAGTAAACACAACGATCTTACCTCTTGCCGAAATCCGTCACAATTCTTTTGATGATCGATATAGTCTTTCTGCAACTCAGAAAATCCGTGTTTACTCTGTCGAAGAGCTTCTTTAGTATCGTGCAATTCCTTCCTCAAACTCTCCTTCTGTTTCTCCATGCTTTGGATCTGTGCTTCCAACGTGGTGACCTTCACGCACCTTTCTTGATTTTCCTTCTTCAAATTCTTTTCCATTTCTTCATAACTCGCTTTCAACTCTGATGTTTTAGTTTCAGCATCCACTTGGGACTCGAGCATCGTCGATTTTTCTGCTTCTAGTTGACGATAAGTAGTCTCCCATTCTGTCTGTTTTGAAGAGTGCGCTTGGAGTTCTCCTTCCAAATCAGTAATCCTCCAATCTTTCGCATCCAGTATTATCTTGTAGTCAGCGACCTCTTTTCTCAAATCATTCAGTTCATTATCAGTTTCTTGGCGTGTTTCATTCAGCCTAGATGAGTAGGGGAAGATAGATAAGAACAGATGGGAATCTATACAGAGATTGGTAGAACGCTGTCGCTGTCTGCTATAGAGATATAGAAAGGGACAGACGAGAGATTAAGACTAATAGAGATACGATCGGATAGATGTGGATGGAGACCGATAGAAATACAGATAGTGTGATAGGTAGATTGATGGAGATAACTCAAAATAGAGGCGAGGATAGACAGAGACAAATAGAGATAGACTGGACATAGAGAAACGTGCCTATACTGATAGAAAGACAAAGATATCTGAACGTGGACAGACGAGAAAAAAGGATTTAGAGAAATGGATAGTTAAAAGACAGACGGTGGAGACACATGGAAACAGACGGTGACTGATAGGGATAAATAGAGACAGAAGGAGATAGATATAAACACACATAGATAGATTCAACGAGATATACTAAAGGTGGAGATAGAGACAGATAGGGACAGATAACGAATGAGACCGGGACAGATAGGGACAGATGGAGATAGATAGAGAAAGATCTTGCAGAAGGCAGCTGATCTAGAAGTAGGAGAAACGCAACTGGACGACTAATTTAAATCGAAGATCAAGGGTCGAAGAGTTTAGTTAAGAGCATAGCATGCGCACTCGAGTATTTTTTTTACCTCGTTATTATATTCTGCAGTTTCTTTGCATCACTCCCAAGATTTTCAGTCTTTAGCTCGCCGTCGGTGACTGTCTTCTGCAAACCTTGAATCTCATCCAATCTCTTCTTCAAATCAATCCTGGTCTCCTTCAGCTGCTGTTGTAACATGTCTCGTTGCAATGTCAGATTCGAGATGCTCGTCTCCAGTTTCTTTGCTTCGTTGGAGTACTTCACCTCGGCGTCGGCGAGATCTCCTTTCAGTCTTTCGGAGAATGCCTCAATCTCAGTGACCCTCTTCCTCGCCTCTGATAACTGCTGTTGTAAGTCCAATAACCTAATGCATTGGGAAAGACGTTGATACATGAACTTACATAAAATAGCGATTGTATCCGGGATTTCCGAGCTCATTGGGTAAAGTATGAAGTTTGAAGACCACACTTTTGCGCTTATTCGCTTGCGGCAAAGTCCAGAGATTGAAATTTGTGGACGTACTTAATCAATAAACAAGAAACCAAAACTAGCTATGAAATATACCTAGATGGCATTTGAATTTGTGTACTGATACTTTCCGCATTAGGTAAGACATCTATGTGGCTATGGAATACTGAATGTGCTGTGTCAAGTTTGATTCTATGTCAAGTTTGTCAAGTCTCATTCTATGGTTCCTAAACACATCTACTTAAACCATGGCAAATCAAGAGGCTATCAGCCATCGTCCATCGGTTATCACTACAATACGAACACCGTAGATTATTTTGTGGTGTTACCATTTAAACGTGTAATTTAATTCGCCTGTTTCATTTTCCCTCAACGACTGAATCATTCCATTCCAACCTACACATACAAACCTTGTGTCGGCTGTCCCAAGCATATCCTCATTTCGCACCATCTCTCCATTCAATTTCGCTATTTTTGCGTCACGTCTGTTCAACTCCTCTGTCACCATTGCTAAATCTCTGAACAACTTCTTTTCCTTCTCGCGATAGTTCGTTTTCACTTCTTCCAATTCTTCAATTTTCAACTGAAGCGTCGCGATCTCTTTCTTGCACTCAACAATCTGCTGGGAACGTTTCTGGGCTTGAAGATCGGCCTTCACCAGTTGTTTCTTGGTCTCGTTCAGCTCTAAATCTCGTTTCTGTATTTCCACGTTCTTGTCACTTTCGCCAGACCTTGGTGGAAGAGAAATTGTGATGATAATGATTAAGAGAATGATGAAGACGATGAAGACGATCATGGTCATCGATAATCATTGATCTTGAACAATGATTATCGATAGTAATCAATCGGTGATGAACGAAGATTATCATCGATAATGATCTATGATGATGATGATCGATGATCATTGATGATGATGATGTCTAGTCCTATAAAGCTATATAAAAAAGTCGACGTTCCAGTGCCCCTAATCTCAAAACGTCTGCCACAAATCTCGAGGGCGTTGTCTCCCCATTTTTAATCAACTGACTCTCTTATGCTCAAGAGGAAGTTGATTCCTCATGAGATATATAAACTGTCCTTCCAAGTTACCCTCCCAAAAGATATTCGCATCAGCGCTCCTGGGTGAGCAGAGGAATCTCCTGACCGAAATATGACAAATCTCCTTACCTAGATGCAATTTCGCGAACTTTAGTGTCCAGATCAAACTGCAGTATTGTCGTTTCCTCTTGTAGTGCCTCCACTTGACCAGTCTTCTTTTTCAAATCCTTGACAAGTTGGTCGCTTTTTCTTCTCAGTCCTTCAATTGTTCGCGCGGCCTCAAGTGCTTCCTCTTTGTATCTCAAAGCATTTCTCAGCTCTTCCTTCAACGAAATTTCCTTCTTTGTATCGTCTCGCTTTTCTCCTTCGAGCTGTTCCACTGATCTGAAAACAAAGGAAACTAATTGTGGATTGATTGTGGTAGATCGAAAATGGCGGTCAATGATGAAGTTTTGCATTTTTAATTTCTGTTTTCTTAGGTTTTAATGATAACTACTAATTAGCGTTGTGTTTAGGTTTTGAGACTCTGTACGTAGCTAGGCTAAATTCCGTACAGGCGTTGATAAGGTCTAAACCAACTTTACCTCTTCAAAGCTTCTACTTCATCTGCTTTCAATTTCATCTCATGAGTCAATCGTTCCACATCTGCAGTCAGTTTGGTGGCGGATCTTTTCTGTTCGGTAGCTTCGCTTTCCACTCTTTTATTCTCCTGTTGCAACGAAGCAAACTTTGTTTTGAATTCCAGTATTTGCTCCTTCAACCTCTCGTTGTCCTCTTCAAAACGCCGTTGAGTGTTCTTTGCTTTTACGTGCAATGTTTCTGAGTCTGAAAGCTTCTTTCCCAACGAAATAAGGCCACTTTCAACCTGAGACAGATAAACAAATAAAGCCGTTAAACACTGCCAGGGAAATACTTTTAAGACGTTAGTAGACCTTTTTCTATCGTTCTTCTAAGAGAAGAAGAGTTAATCTCATCGGTCATTGTTTTTTTTCATTTTGCAGGTGCAGATTTGAAAGGCGTTTAGCTGGAAGGCTTAAAATCCACCGTTTAAGCTAAACGTCTCTCTAACAACCGGCCCCGAATACGAGTGACACCATGCATTCAAGAAATTCTCAGCTTGCAAGGATTCATCTTTCGCAATGGTATAAAATATCTTCACAATGACATACCTTCACTTTTTCTCTGTCATTGGTATGAAGTTCGACCATGAGTGAGTTATACTCTCGCAATAGCTTCTCGTGTTCATCTTTTTGTGACAGAAACTGAGATTTCGATTCCTCCATGATTTTATCTTTTCTCGTCAACTCCGTTTTGGTGAATTGAATCTCCCTTTGCGAATCGGCGAGGCGACTGTTGAGAAGATCAATGGTGTCTTTACAGCTCTTGAGCTGTGTCCCTATTTCCTCAATTTGCCTTTTAAGTTCTGCGTTTTCTCGAGAGCTTCGCTTCCATTGAGTCTCAACTTTCAAGAGTCTGTTCTGCGTTTCCTGGACGTGATGTTGTGTTTCCACACGCTCGTTGTTCAACCTTTCTTTCGATAGTTCGACAGAAGTCAGTTTCTTGTGCAATTGGATCACTTCATGTTTGGATTCTTTCTTGTCCTTTCTCAATGCATCGTAGGCTGTCTTCAGCTGGTTTAGTTTCACATTTGCCGTCACAAGATCCTCCTCGGCTTTTGATTTTTGTTCTTTGAGAGTCTGGTACGATGCGTTAACCTGAAAGGTGCCATAAATCTCCATTATACTTGAAGTATGCTCTAAACTCTAACCTATGCACTTAGCTCAGTCACAGAGATGATAAACGCAGTCTATTTAGATATCGTCTAACCTTTGTGACTTCTATATTTGCAGTTTTACACGTGTCCTCCAACACTGTCAGTTTTGACGTATGACTACGTTCAGAGCTCTCAAGATGACGAACTTTCTCTTGCATTATTCCAAGCTCTTGTTCCAAACGAGCTTTCTTCTCTCTCAAAATTCCCTGGGAATTCTCCAGCTCTCGTATTTGTCCTCTTGCTGCATCAAGGTCCCTTTTCATCGCCAAATGCTCCTTCGTATCCACGTTCGTCTCCACGACCACCTTTCGCGAAAAGATGAATTTGAAAAGCCCCGTGAGTATCCGTGACAATGCACGAAATCTACATTATAATGTGAGTTCGATGACATAATCCTTCAAAATATCAACTTTTTGAAATCAGTAGGGCAGGTAGAAACTCTCAGTCTTTCAATACTACCCGAGCATGTAAACCAGAGCTACACTCTAGCTCAATTCATACTATAAATTGAAAAGCCCTGTGAGTATCCGTGACAATGCACGAAATCTACATTATAATGTGAGTTCGATGACATAATCCTTCAAAATATCAACTTTTTGAAATCAGTAGGGCAGGTAGAAACTCTCCGTCTTCCACTAATACCCGAGCATGTCTATCGCTGGTATTCAAAGAGCTAACTAACATTCACACTCAAGTGTGACAGAGAAATTTTGTTATTTCTGATCAATGTCAAGAAGTTCTTTCTTAAGCTAAGGAAAGATTTAAGGTAAAACACTGAAATTCAAGCTTTTATTCGACTGAAGATACCATCATGGAAACGTTATGAGAAGATTCAGATCTCTCACTCAGTGAGTTCGGATGAGTGAGTTTTTAGAATATAGGCGCACGCCTCTTAGAGTAGCCTTACCCGTGTATCCTCGCGGGATTTCCGCACTTCCGTTTCCAATGTGGCCAACTTCGTGCGCATTTCAGAGACAACCGTTTCCTTGGTGACGCTCTCTTTTTCATATTTCTCGCAAAGCGTGCGATGCTCTTTAAGTTGTGTTTCCAAGCGCAAAATGATCTGGTCTTTGTCCTGACCGCTGTGAGATTCAACTTGGCTGAGCTGAACTGAGAGAAATTCTTTCTGTCTACGTTCGTTCGCAAGTTCTGCTTCGAGTTTGGAGATCTAAGAAATCAAATATGCCAATGATTAATTTACTAAGTCTGAATTTATTTTTTGGTTTCCTCCTGTGGTAACACTGGATCAATAAGAGATGATCCTTACTGGACCTCTAGGAAAAACAGTTTAGAACTGATAGAGCTATCCAGTATAAATAAACTTAGTTTAGTTTAGGTCTCCTCCTGTAGTAACACTGGATCAATAAGAGATTATCCTTACTGGGCCTCTAGGAAGAACAGTTTAGAACTGATAGAGCTATCCAGTATAAATAAACTTAGTTTAGTTTAGGTTTCCTTGTATAGTATCAGTGAGTCATATTATGAGAGATATTATTCAGTATGTCAATACTTCGCCTAAAGCTTACCTTGCTCTTAGCGGTAATAAACTTCATATTATCAACATGTTTTTCCTTCACGTAGCGGTCACTCGTCTCCTTGACTTTCAGCATTTCCTGTCTCAATCCATCCACTTCACTCTCCAGCGACTCCTTGATCGACTTCAATCGTTTGATCAAGTTGTCCTTGGCCTCCACGTCCTTGGCATACGAGTCGTGCATTCGTTGATGCTGAGCGAGGGTCGTGTGAAGATTTTTGAACTCTTGTATCAGATTCTCTTTCTCTGCGTGGATTTGATATCTACAAGAATATTACACGAAACTCGCTTAATTGGTGGATACATATTAAATAAAGATGCAGTATTCACAAAATGGTCCGCAAGAGCCTGATATAGGAGACCTTTAGCTTAACCATGTAATATGTCAAACCGCGGACAGCAAACAGCTAATTTCAGATAACATTTAAAATTAGATTTTGGCACCGGCCTCAGAAATCTAGCATTTGTTTTGTAAATTCGAAATGAATTTTTCTGTTTGCCGTTAGAGGGTTGTCGTGAACGTCAGCTATACAAAGATCTCTATAATGGAAGCTTTTTCTCGACAAAATGAAAGCAATTCCGTTTTTTTTCGAATTGCAAGCAGGCAAGAAGGAAAGAACCAGTATAGTGGTCGTATCTTGCAAAGCTTTTCTTAAATATTGTGATAGATTAGACTGTAAAGGATCTAGTCAATTTGTCAAACGAACCTTTGCTAAACTGGTCATAACAATCAAGAATTAAAGCACGACTCTGCGACTTACCTTTCAGTAATAACGGATTCTTTAACCTTCTTCTCAATGTCATCCATACGCTTGTGCATATCTCGTATGAATTTACCATCTTTTGGATTGCCGTTTCTCAGATCAGCATTTTCCGCAGACCCGGGGTAACCACCCGACGTGGCCTGATGGCCGTATTCTGCTGACTTTAATAGCGACTCGTACTCCGAGGTAAGTTTTTGTAATTCCTGGAGATTTTCATTTCGACTCACGGAGGATTTCTTCAAAGCACTTTTTCGTGTAGCACTGGAACTTTTGCTGACTTCGTTCAAAGATCGCTCGGCAAGATTTAACTGCGATTTAAGCCAGTCCTTAATAATAGTAATAGGCTTGTTCTAAATGATATCACTTTATCTCTTATTGATCCAGTGTTACTACAGGCGGAAACCTAAACTAAACTAACTTTATTTATACTGGATAGCTCTATCAGTTCTGAACTGTTCTTCCTAGAGGTCCAGTAAGGATCATCTCTTATTGTTCCAGTGTTACTACAGGAGGAAAGTCAGGAAACCTAAACTATACTAAATTAACTTTATTTATACTGGATAGCTCTATCAGTTCTAAACTGTTCTTCCTAGAGGTCTATCAAAGATCATCTCTTATTAATAAGTGTCATTAGCAGGAAACATAAACTAAATTAACTTTGTTTACACTAAGATAGTCCTGTCAATTCTAAGGTCCATTTAGGATCATCTCTTATTAATGCAGTTCAAAACTGTTCCTCTTATTGAGGTAAGGATCATCTCTTATTGATCCAGTGTTACTATAGCAGGTAACCTAAACTAAACAAAGACTAGATAGATCTATCAATTCTAAACTATTCTTCCTACATGTCCGTTAAGGATCATATTTTATTGACCCAATTCAGTCGACTGAAATCGTTTCACATCTAAAACTAACCTTCTCCACATTCAAAGAAGACATATCACTTTCAACCAAATTTAACTTCTCCACAGCGCTGGTCTTCTCCTTGTGAGCTTGATCCAATTTCTCCGCCATATCATCGTTCTCGCGACGAAGTTTTCTCACCAAACTGTCCTTGTTATCTGCCGTTTCTTTCATCTCGTTATATTGTCTCTGCATGAGGTCCATAGATCTTCTCGATGCGTCCAACTCTTCTTGAAAACGGCCGAGTTCGATATCTTTATCGTGAAGTTTACCTTCGAAGTCGCTCGTCAACTTCCCGTTCTCGAACATCTCGAAACTCGAACTGCTTTGGCGGACGTCACCATTTACCCTCAGCTCCTCGCGAAGTTGACGAATAAATGTATCCTGAAATATTCAGAAGCATTCGTCATGAATCTCGGCGGGGTTTTGCATGCAACAGATGGTCGTTAACAAGTTGTTATCAGGGAAAAGAAGAAGTCTAAGTTTTAGGTGTACCAGTCTTAGATTAAAAGCCAGGTAATTATAAGCAGATATTCGCAGAGTGCGTCTGTCTTAATATAAACAGAAAGCAAATAAGGCGTTTAGAATACTGGACTTATTTATATCAATATATTTTCTCAGGATACCGACATCAGCGTAGCGTTTTTCAATACTCAGGCCTCAGGGACCTGTTCTGGGTTTTCGTTAGGTATTAATGTAAAATAACAAAACAGTATATCTAGAAATATAGTACAGTACGGCACATGTGACAATACAATTATTATACAATATACGATGCAATATACGGTATTACACGATTCCATGAAATAAATTTCAAAAACTCTTTAAAATAATGTATTATATTACCCAATAAGCAACAGCCAGCCCATCTTTTAAACTAGGAAAAACTTACGAAGTTATACCTAAAGCATTACTTCTCAGGAAACAAACTGTATGTGAATCCTTATTAAATTCGAACTACACGATTCTTATTGGCCAATTCTGCCACTAACGAAGAGTTGCAAGTTAACTAACTCTTAATACAAGCGACCTTTGGTATTTGAATACCATATTGACAACTAGAAGCTGGCTTATGCAGAGGAATTTGGCTCAGGCCTATGGTTCCTGAGGCACTGCAACTCGCACGTCCTACTTTGGTGATGAAGTTTCCGTGCGACGTGAATGGTTTACGAAATTATCGCTGCGATAAACAGTCTAAGTTCATAACGTTTTTCCTGTGCTAACCTTTCCTTCCAGAGTGGCTTGCATTTCCAACATCTCCAGGTCGGATCTTGCACCGGGATTTGAACTGCCTGTTGCTCCGAGTTCGCTTTCCATCCTTCAAAATCCACAAATGCAACTTGGACAAAAGCTCTTCGATGGAATCTCGCAACAACAAACGTCTTGTAACTTGTATCCACACAAACGCGGAATGTGTATGGGCTTTTCTGTATCAGAACTCAGGAATTATCTTGCTATCACTGTACTCGTTTCAAAAAGAGCCAAAACAAAGCGATTTTCGGTGCAATACAGCAGTTTTCAACCGTTCTTCGGCAGCTGGGAATGACAAAAACCATCTTGCGCACACAACATTGTTGAAACCTTGCAATATGAAATATTTGACGGCTAGACTGACCAAAAGCGTCTCTGGTTTTGACGGCGGGGTGAAATTTGTTTGTTTTCGTTCCTCGTCGAATGGGAGGCCATTAGTTGAGATAAGTTTAGCAGCGGCAAGCCTTAAATGGAATAGAAGAGAGTAAACTACCTGTTGATGGAAACTTTGAAGTAAAATATGCGTGAAAGTTGTCTCGGGCACCTGTTGCAAGGCTGTTTTGAGCTGTCAAAACATTATTTCGGCTGTACTTGAAAACTACCACAATTTCTCATCCTGAAGAGGACTACACGAAAAGAAATTCGATGTGTTATTTTTTAGTAACTTCTACTTGAGAACTAGTGAAGCAAAATTGTCGTAAAAACGACGATATGCAAGAATCTTTGACACGAAAATTATCTGGCGCTATACGAAGTATTTGATACACTCAGTCTTCCCACAAGCCACCACGCGTGTTTTCTGTTCGAGGCAGAAATTGGCTTCGGTTTCAACCCCGCGGCATAGTTCTCCAGACCACAAAGTAGAAGAATGTCAATGAGCTATAGTAATTATCACGCTTTCTCAGTTTCACTCGAAGTGAAAATATTTACCAATCTTATTAAATCAACAAATTGTCTTCAGAATTCAAACTCACAAACGCTGTTAATTGTCCGTCGCTTTTTATTCTGTCTCAAAGATGTAAAAAATCATTTCTACATTACATATAGTCGTAGAGAAACATACTCCAAACCGTACAACATCTCTTCCATCGCGTCGTCTGTGTTCAAAGATAAAGCGAGGCCTAATTTGTGATTTCCTCGCAACAGACTTTGTTATTTTTGTATGCTAATTTTTGTATAAAAACGAAGATTATATATGTAGAAATCAGACGCGTCAAAACATTAAAATTGATCACTGTAATTATGTACTTCACAATATCACGATGAATATCGCTTTTGCGTCGTTGAATTGTGGGGAAATGATTCTAGGAAAAACCGTTAACATTGCGTATTTGTTATGTCAAAAGTGAAAATGCACCAAAACTGCTTCAATATAATAATCTATTTTTCATTTCTCGTATTGCAGCTGTCGTTTTACTGATAACAAAATGAATACGATAGTTTCCGCTGTTTCGCTTTTTATACAAAAACTTTAAAATATGATAAAAATCCACTTAATTGTTACATTTGAAACGTCCGAATAATTGCGGGTTTGACCTACTGTGAATCATTGAGCGTACTAACTGAAATATAGTTTGTTATATAAAGATATTCGGGTTTGAACTATTCGTTTTAAAGTTGTCCTATTGTTCTGTCTGTCTGCATGATTCAATAAACAAAAAGGCCGTTTACATAACACTACAAATCTGTCATAACATTTCGTTTTTTTGGGTGGAACATAATCAATTTTAAACGATGAAAGAACACTTTACAAGGTTAAGAATGACTTTTATTATGCCAGGTAGTACGAGAAAGATCCCCAGGTAATTTAGCGAGTGCAAAACAGCTGTGCAGATTCTAGTTTTTCAATCCAACTCGTGACTCTATTTCAAGCACAAAATCTTATATTGCAATGAAAAGATAATGCTAGTTCTAGGATTCTGTGTAATTTCTAGTAATTCCAAGCGCTTGCCTAAGCCACTCTATCTCAGTCTTCATAATAAGACTGCTAAGTTTTAATTCTCTCAACTCTTGGTTTTTGCGTTCCAAATTCCTGGAATATTCGTCAACGAAGTTCCTATAATCTTCGCAATTTTTATCCAATTTCTCGTTCTCGCTTCGACATTCTCGTAATTCTTCTCTAGTGTCTTCCAATTCCTGGAAAATCTTATCATCCTGGTCTCTACGTTGGCTTGTGACAATCTCTATCAGTTTTGCTTTTAGGTTTTCGACATTTTCGCTGCAGTGAAAGCATGTTTTGGGAGGAGGAGGTATTCCTTCCGCATAGTCTCCAGCGAATTCAAATATGGAATTGCTATCATCTGCGTTTGTTGAGAATGATTCTGAGGGGTCGTTTTTACTCCGAGCTAAGCTCTGTATATTCACATTGTCTGTTGATACAGGGTGAAAAATATCTTCGTCTTCCAAAAGCGTTGTATTACGTTTCACAGCCGAGCGATCAATGTAATCACCAGATTCGTCAATGCATTCACCAATTTCATCACCATATTCTTCACCTTGATCACCCACTTCACCATTACACTCACCAAGTGCTGTTTCTGATGCAGGATGATCTGTGTCTTCGGATACTTCATGTAAATCATTCTCTTCTGCGTACTCACCTTCCTCTTCCTCTTCCTCTTCTTCTTCGTGTATGACAAGAAAATTCCCGTTGAAATCTTTTCCGACAACAATTTTGGGTATCTGAAAATGTTGATCACGAGAAAACATCGATGGATGGTTTAATTCATTATCATGATTATACCCATATTGGTTATCCCCAGATTGTTCACCATTTTTACCACTTTTATCACCATATACACCAACTTTATCCCGATGCTCACCAGAGATTCCTCGAACTTCATTACCATGCTGTGGCATATCACTTTCAAGAACAAGGGATCGGTATAGATTCACTACATTAACTCTATCCTCATCTTCTTCCCGTGTCTTTTCACTGTTGTCCTCGTTCATCAACCGTTCACCATGATCACCCCCATCAATCTCCTCTCCTTCTGAAATCTCTTCAACGGATTCCAACCCAACCCCACGAACATCCGTCGCACCAGTCCCTTGGTGCTCACTACCTTTGAGATTCAAATCTCTATGTAAACCATTAAACTCTGGGTCGGATCGTATGGAATATTGACTTGATAGCCGTGGACTCACGTGAATACTTTTCCAACTTTCGTCCAAATTCTCGACTGTATTTGCAGCTACACCACTTGTAGTATTCGCTTCTGCCTTGCTCGTAGAGTTGCTTTCTTCCTTTCTCTGATCATTTGATGCCTCATCTCCTTGTTCAAGAGACGGATCATGAGGTAATTCATCATCTTCAAGTTTTGAAGCACCCAAGCCATCGACCACATCTTTGCCAGTGGAATCTCCTGCGGAAAAATCGATTTCAGAACAATCCTCCAAGCTATCCTCGCCCAGCGTCCCTAGAGAACCAAATTCGTGTCTACTAAGGCGCTGAAGATTCTCAAACTGATCATCAGCAAGCTCAAGGCTATCCTTCAACGAATGTTTCTTGCGATGTTTCATCTCATCAATGCTCAGCTTATTCACTAATCTTTCCACTTCGTCTTGTTTTCCCTCCAAGGAAGAGTCGACCAGATCGAAACTACCTTTCAGAACTCTCTGCCACTTCACTTGCTTGCAGTTTCGACAGAGATCTTTCTGTAGTTCCATACTGTTCCATGAGTTTCCTCCCAAACTACCAGCCAGCACTTCTGGGCTGGAACTGAGCTCGTATGCTTTCCTTTTATACTCGTCCAATTCCTCTTGAAGTTCCGCCACAGTGCTCTTATTCTTTTTAATAATCTTGTGTAGTTTCGCAAGGACTTCGGTTATCGAATTAAACTCTTCATGATATTCCTCTTCGGAAAGAATCAACATATCTGAAGCCCAGGATTTCATTTCAGAGCACTGTTGATCGATTTTCCTTCGAAGATCATCATTGACCTTTTCGAGCTCCTCATTTTTCGATTCCATCTCAGCAAGCTCGTTCCTAAAGATGAAAATAGTCATTCAGAGTTGGCACTTGAAATAGTTTAATGTTTCACAGTTCCAGTGAACTGACGCGTCTTTGTCTGATTCAATTCATTTCTAACGTATGGAAAATAGTCTGATGTGTCTAGTCTAGTGATAGAAGCAAACCGAATTTACTTTCATTGGTTTGCTGCCTATACATTACAAGCTACAAAACATCTACAGTCTACAAAAACACATTCGTGAAAAGTAATCTGAATCCGAGGAAATTGGAGTGTGGTGCGTGGGGGGGGGCAGGGTTCACAGGATGGGGGGGAGGGCGACACCCGTCAGACAAACATATGACAACGTGTTACCCTTAGTCTTGTGGTCTTGGAGAAAAAAACCTGTAGTTAGTTGGCTTTATAGATCTTCAACATCCTGAAAAATCCCCAGGGTGGCCCTGCTTGATTCTGTGTTGTGCTAACTACTGCTGCATATGATGAAGGGAATCAACGCTACCATCGTTTGCTGTTACGTAATTCCAACTTAAAATATATACTTCGCAATCCATACCTGGCGCTTTCCTCTACACATAAAAATGTCTGGCTTTGACGTCTCAGTTGAGCGCTCAGATCTTTTTGAAAACTTTCTTTCAAATAGCAAACGTCGTCTTCGCCTTGTTCCTTCTCGAATTCAACTTCAGATTCAAGAAATTTGTTTCTCTGCTGTAGTTTCTCTATTTCATTTTGAAGCTGCATTACACATTCTCTGTTCTTTTCCTAAAATAAAAAAAATCTGATTCATTTCACACGAAATTTTTCTAGAGGTCCAGTAAGGATCATCTCTTATTGATCCAGTGTTACTACAGGAGGAAACCTAAACTAAACTAACTTTATTTATACTGGATAGCTCTATCAGTTCTAAACTGTTCTTCCTAGAGGTCTAGTAAGGATCATCTCTTATTGATCCAGTCGTTTTATAGAGTTTGAAAAAATTCTGCAGTATGACGTAGTTTGCCAATCAGGAGCATCCTTTGTCCACAAACTGCGTCACAAAGAAGACTTCCAATAAAGGTCTGCAGGAAGAGTAACCTAAACGAATTTCCACTGGATAGCTCTATACGAGTTCTAGATTGTTCTTCCTAAAAGCCCATCTTAATAGATCATCTAAACATGGATTAAATTACTTACATCCTCCCTTTCCAGTTCTTCCAAAGTTCCGTGTAAATCGTTTGTATCTTGTTTATGTTTTTTTATCCAATGTTGGATCTCCGCGTCCTTCTCTTTACAAATGAACTGGAATTTCGTGTATAGCTCTTCCAAGAGTTTCGCGACCAGTTTCTTGTCTATGTATCCGTTTAAGGCCTCGTTATCGCTCTCAAATTCATCAACGTGTCTTAGCAGCTGCGTAAAGTCCTCGTCGAATGTCTAAAGATAGATCAGAGATCTGTCTGTCCATAGTTATTACAATAGGGAGATTTAGCATGAGGACGTGAACGTCAAAGACGACGTGAAAATGGCGAGTAAATGGCGTGGCATGTCCATATTTGGGCGCATCACACCATTTATTCGCCATTTTCACGTCGTCTTTGACGTTCACGTCCTCGTGCTAAATCGCCCTGATAACTATGTTCTGTCGGTTCTTTTTAGCAGTAGGGAGCTTTAGCAGCGACTACAAGTACGAGATTCGTCACTTTCGCGCGTTGTTTGCTTACGCCATCAACCAAAACTCGTAGTCGTCGGACTACGTCGGACTTCGTCGGACTACGTCGGACTACGTAGTCGTCGGACTTTCAAGTACGAAATTTATCAAAAAACACAGAATGGACATTATACCAGAAGCCTTACTCTTTGCATTTTGCTAATGTTTTCGTGTCCGAAATTTTTCAGAAGCGCACGCGTCATTCTACGCAATTCTACGCCATCCTGCCGGGTGTGTGCAGGAACTTTGTACCCCCATGAAAAAGTTCCTGCACACACCAGGATTGCGTGAGCAAGACACAAATAATTGAATACTAAGCGCCATTATGCTTGCGTGTGTTAATTCGCGTATTTGGCTTGCGTCAGGTGGCGTCACACTCAAAAAATTTCGGACGCCAAATGCAGAGTGAGGCTTCTGGTGTAATGTCTATTCTGTGCTCGAAAGCTCGGCGACTACGAACAAGTTTTGGCTGATGGCGTAAGCAAACAACACGCGAGAATGACGAATCTCGTACTCGTAGTCACTCCTCAAGCTCCCTAATAGGGAGCTTTAGCAGTGACTACGAGTACGACTACGAGTACGACTACGAGTACGAGATTCGTCATTCTCGCGCGTTGTTTGCTTACGCCATCAGTCAAAACTCGTAGTCGCCGGGCATTTGAGTACGAGTTTTTTGATAAACTTCGTACTCGAAAGCCCAACGACTACGAGTTTTGGCTGATGGCGTAAGCAAACAACGCGCGAGAATGACGAATCTCGTACTCGTAGTCGTACTCGTAGTCACTGCTAAAGCTCGCTATAATAGCCTGGGGCCGGTTGTATAAAACTCTTTAACTACATTTTGCATAGTTAAATCCTACAGTTAACTCCGAAATACACGACTCTGATTGGCCAATTCTGTGCTTAACTACAGTTAAAAGTTAACTAGTCCGGCTTTTAGGCAACTGGCCCCTGAACAGTTGAACAAAATGTGTCATACGGATTATATTATGTCAAATACTTGCAATGCATGAATAATTCACGTTTCTTATCGACGCTAATACACCGTTAAAAATGACAGGTCCGGGACATTTAAGTAAATGCAACTAAAAGCATTCCATTAAAATAAAACTACCTGTGACAACACATAGAGATTGTATCTTTTAGACACCGTTTCAAATAGTCAATTAGTTATACCTTTGTTTGTGCAGCATACACAGTACTAAATAAGCTTTTAGATCAACTACAGACATGACAGTTCGCAAATTAGTTTTGATAGAAGCGTATAATTGTCAACTTGTTCATATTTACCTCGTACAAATCGTCGTTTTTTGTACCAATTAGCGAGCCGCTTATAAAATTATCCGACGAGAATTTTCCTTGTCCTACACGTTCGTTGTTCAAAGCGGGTTCATTGTCTGTTAGCGTTGAATCGTTCCTCTCCCCGTCTGATGAAGACATGATGGAGTATCCTGTTCCTTCGTCGACGGAAGATGATAAACTTTTGCCCAATTTTGAACTCCGGTAATTCTCCTTTAATTCTTCCGACGACTTTTCTTCCAGTTCACTGATGTCAAGGCAACTGACGTACCTGAATCATAAAGAGTACAAAATGTTTCAAATTACTTTTTACCTGTTCTTCCTAAAGATTCAGGATCATCTCTTAATGATCCAGCTGCTTACTACAGGAGGAAACCTAAACTAAACCAACTTTATTTATACTGGATAGCTCTATCAGTTCTAAACTGTTCTTCCTAGAGGTCCAGTAAGGATCGTCTCTTATTGATCCAAGTTACTACAGGAGGAAACCTAAACTAAACTAATTTTATTTATACCGGATAGCTCTATCAGTTCTAAACTGTTCTTTCTAAAGGTCCAGTAAGGATCATCTCTTATTAATCCAAGCTTAAGTTATTACAGGAGGAAACCTAAACTAAACTAACTTTATTTATACTGGAAAGCTCTATCAGTTCTAAACTGTTCTTCCAAGAGGTCCAGTAAGGATCATCTCTTATTGATCCAATTGCAAGTTACCGCAGGTGAAAACCTAAACTAAACTAACTTTATTTATACTGGATAGCTCTATCAGTTCTAAACTGTTCTTTCTAGAGGTCCAGTAAGGATCATCTCGTATTGATCCAGTGTTACTACAGGAGGAAACCTAAACTAAACCAAAGTCAGGCTAAACTTTACCTTGTATAATCCTTCTCTTTGATTGTAGCAATCGATGTCTCTAGTTTCACGCTAATACGTTGACAAACTAGGCTGGCTTCCTGATCGGAAAACTTTTCCAAAAGTCCAGCGACAAGCTGATGAACATCGCCAAGCTGTTCAACGTGTGTAGCTTCGAACGTTTGCGCGTCAAAAATGATCTCCCTTAACATCTGAGTCTGTTGTGTCAGCTGTTCGAGAAGTGCATCTCTGGTTAACTGTAGTTCGTTAATCAGAGCTTCACGCTTGCTCGTCTCCTCCGAGTAGATTTCATCTTTTTCCTTTGTATCAGCCTCGACCGCATCTCTGTAGGTAGAGAAACGCTCGAGAATCTCCCTAATCTCAGACTCCTTTGCCGACAAGATGGAGTGAATCTCTTCGTTAAACGAAACCAACTCGTTTATCTCGTTCCCTTGTTTCTGGTTCGACATTTCAATTTCGCTTTTCGTCTCCTCGACCTGAGCGGCCAGGCTCTCAACTAAAAGTTCGGTTCCTTTAATGCTAGATTCCAGCCGTTTAACGTCGTCGTCTGCTTGGGAATCTAATAAATCATCTGTATCACGCTTTTGTATCAACCTATTGAAACGTTCTAGGAGTTCATCGACTTCTGAATTGCTCACTTCCTCGAAAAACGTCCCAAGGAAAGCGTCGTTCAAAGGTTTTCCATTTCCGCTTGAACTAGACAATACGCCGTGTGTCTTTCTAATGCACTCGATATTTTCAAACGATTTTAATAATTCGGTTGGCAGAGTTTTATTGAGATCCGGGCTTTGAAAAGTCAAAATTATGCCAGGATTTTCACTTTTTTCTTCAGTTGAGGATGATTTAAACGATGAACAATGAGAATATTCTGCTGATTCGCATGTATTCAACAACGTGGTATCGTTTTGCGAATGACTAACCGCTTTTAACGAGGCAGACAATGGATCTTCATTGCTTTTCTTTATCGCTTGCTCAATTTCGTTTGTCGATGTTAGATTAGTCGGGTAAATGTCTCGATTTTCCGTGCGAAGTTCTGACGAAATATCAAAGGGTATTTCATTTAGAAATGAACGCGCAATGGCAAAACAGCGATGAACAGGCGACTTGTTTTGTTTCGTATGCTGATTAGAAGCGTCAGCCGACGAATGACTTTGCGAATTCGCAGGGACTAATTTGCTGTAAAACGAATTGTGTACACTGCCACCTGTCCGTCGAGAGGAATAATTTGGAAAATGATCCGAGATATGTTTTTCGTCGATAACCGCAGGACGGGATAACTCGTCCCGGAAAGAATCCGGAAGACTTTGTCGTCTCTCGCGGACGAGATTGTGCTCTTTTTCGAGAAGAAGTCCGATAAAATTCGTCGATTTTGACTTTTGTAGCGGCCCGGGTCCGTCTTTCTTGATATCATTTCGATATTCAAACGAGACACCTGCCGGACATGAATTGCCCCGGAGCCGTTTCGTGTGCTTGTTGTTGTTGTAGAGAGGCATTCGTAAGTACAATTTGACACCGAAATTTCCAACTAAGACAGTTCAGAACTAACTTTCTTCCGAAAGTCCCTACATCAACACGAATTCTACGGTATAGACTAGCAGAGATTAGGCATCAGTCACACAAAAGATCCACACGGAACTTCGGTTATGAAAAATACGGCTCAATTTAAACAAATCTAGTGCTCAAACACCGATTCGCGATGATATTAGAACGCGAATTTTCTCTGCATGAACGGTATCCGGCAAAGCTAAAATATGTTCAAATTAAAATATTATTGTATTTTGATTGTAGTTAGCCATAGCAACACAGTGGGGAATTATAGATTTTCAGCTGCCAAGCAGCGTTGAAGAGCTTTTTGAGAATTTTTGTACAGTCTGATGTCAAAATCGCATGAATAAAATGCACACGTCTACAGTTTATATTGTTCACCGTTCTAATCCAAACGCCAAATCCAGGCAGAGCGATATTTCTTTCGTGAAAGCGATGCCCAAGAAACAAGCCAGAAACAAACACAACCCACGCACACAAGTTATCCTGGAGCAAAAATAATGGTCACGTCTTGCGATTTCCTTCCCAAATTTCGTTCCTCCAGTTGACGAAATGCCCACGGAATAAACGCGTATTATTTTCGTAAATGCAAGACTGCTCTGCAATGCAGCCGTAAATCTATACTAATATACACATACTACTATTTTAATATGCAAACTTAATTTAATATGTACATGAATATTGTGTATATGAATATAGTGCACGCATTCGCACATTAAAAATACAAGGAAATTAGTGTTCTTTCGACAATTTATATAATGTTGTGATATATACTAAATTCACAAGAAATTAAATTCACATTGTGATATGCATATTTGATTTGCAAGAAAATACAAAAGGTATTGCCAATGGCAACGTCATTTGCTTACTCTCCTGCATATAAATCCTTTTGCTGTATTCCATGATTATTATTCATATGACGATAATCGATCGATCGATCGATCAATCAATCAATCAATCAGGATGTTTTCATATTGCTTTAGGTATTCTCCCACAGGAAGGTTAGACACCTTAAGTAACTCTCTGGACAACTTGACCTTGAACACTTCAACAGGGTTTAAACACTGGTACAACAGGTTTGACCAGTTAAACGATGGTGACAGGCTATATGGGTTGGACTGGCACAACAGGTTTGATTGGTTCAACAGTTGCCACTCGTTCAACAGATTTGACCGGTTCAACACATGCGACCGGCTCCACAGGCTTGACTGGCTCAACAGGTTGGACGGGTTCAACAGGTTTTACTTGTTCAACAGGTTTGACTGGTTCGACAGGTTTTACCGGTTCAACTGGTTTCACCGGTTCATCAGATCCAAACGGTACTAAAGATTTGCCTTCAAATGGCTTGTTTAATTGACCTTGTTGTGTGTCGGTAGGCTTGAGAGGATTCTGGACAGCAGAATTTGATTCGTTTAAGAGTTTTGTAATTTCTCGCAACGTTCGTTGGTGCACGGGTAGTGACGGAACACGCCGGTGTTGAAATATTCGTAGCCAAACCATGGCACAGGAAACAACAAATAAAACAAACAAAAATACACGTTCTCGATGAAACATATATATCATGTGCCGCCGGTGACTGTTGTGAAATCGTCGTAAACTGTTGAAAAAAAAGAAATAAGTCTGAGTTCAAGGATAGCAAGGCAAGTAGAAAAGCTCAGCGCCAATGACTGGAATATCGTAACATAAACCGCTATATATTAATATATTATATATATGAATTAGTCATTGTTTATTGTTTATTGTTTACTGTTTACTGTTTACTGTTTACTCGCCTTAATCGTCAACAAAACTGAATGCGACAAAATTATCTTGGCCACAAGCAAGCGCTGAGTGAATTGCTCACCGACGTGGTCGAAACTTCCACTCCAGACCAGTCCTAGCTTTAGATGGATCCACAAAATCTTTGTAATTTCACTAAATTGGGAGCATGTATATATGATTGCCGCAAAGAGTCTAGCCAGAAAGATTTCTGAACGTCTGAAGAACAAAGATCAAAGATAGCTAAGTTGATTCTCGTTCAGACACGTAGACACGCACAGCTTTTATTATTTCATCTTTACAAAATAAACAGGTCATCCAATGATTCGTTTCAGCTGGTAACATATAGCTATTACTAATGACGCAATGCTCTTGTTTTTAAATCTGCAACATTGCCATTGGATAGTCATATACCAAAGTAGCATATGATAATAACATATATATATATATTTTTTTTCTTGCGGTTCGAATTCATATTCTAGCGTTTCCTGCAATCTGATTGGCTACGCGAGCGGTCCGTGAGGCCGTACGGACCGCGCGAGATTTAAAAGCAAAGAGCCAACGCTAAAATATGAATTCGGACTAAAAGAAAAAAAATAAATCTATTATTTACCAGTTTAGTTGGTCTGTATAGGTTAATATTTCCCTCGGTCTCAAAAATGTCCCTCGGCCTGTTTTGAGACCTTGGATTTCCTAGATTTCCCTATACGGACCTCCAATCTGGTAAATAACATATATATATATATATATATATATATATATATATATATATATATATATATATATATATAATATATATTATATATATATATATATATATACTAACCCATAATGCGATATATCTCAATGAAACTAACTAGAAAGTTGATTTAACTCTTGAAATATACTTTTTCACATCGTCTTTGGCGTTCCCGTCCACAATCTAAATCCGTCTATGATCACAGCAAATTCTTAATCCATCTTTTCCCCTGACAGATATGATGTGGTTTCAGGTACGTGGCACCATAATGCGCCGTCAAATATCGGGCCGTGTCATTGGGACAATACGTGGACATTCCTAAGAACCTACACGGTCGCAAAGGTAATACGATGTCTCGCTTTAAATACTTACGTTTATATTCATCGTACACGACCGAGCGGAAATCCTTAACGACGAAGATATCCATGTACACAAAAGGACCTTGAAATAATCTCCCGTGTGGATCGAGGATCGCGCAGTCATCAGTTACTCTTCTCACCACATTTCCTTTGCAGTCTTTTCGAGGTGTGTCGTCTTTTGGGTGGGGGGAATGCCTTTGTAAAAGCAAGTGAACTGTCCCATCGTTTAAGTCGAGAGGTCGACTCGATTCTTCTGGGAAAAGTTTATGATATTCATCTTTGAATATGCACACGTCAATATCGGAGTCATACGGAATGACATCGCCGTTCCGAACAGCACCGAGAAACGATCCAAAAGCGATAAAATATCTCGTGATGTTTCTCCGCTTTGCTATCTCCCTCCAGACGTTGAAAATTATTTTCAATCTTGATCTGTACAAACTAGTTTTGCAGCCTTTTCCGTAGTAAGAATCTTGAGCCTGCTGAAAATGATCTTCTTTGCGTTTCAACATTTTTCTGGCTGTGGAATTTAATTGGGTTTCATGATTATTTGGTGGGAGTTCGATGGTCAATAGTTTGGTTTTGTTTATTATTTGGTGAGGTTCGATGATAGTTTGGTTTTGTTGATTATTTGGTGAGGTTCGATGGTCAGTAGTTCGGTTTTGTTGATTATTTGGTGAGGTTCGATGGTCAATAGTTCGGTTTTGTTGATTATTTGGTGGAGTTCGATGATCAATAGTTTTGTTTTGATGATTAGTTGGTGGAGTTCGGTGATCAATAGTTTGGTTTTGATGATTACTTGGTGGAGTTCGGTGATCAATTGTTTGGTTTTGATGATTAGTTGGTGGAGTTCGGTGATCAATAGTTTGATTTTGATAATTACTTGGTAGAGTTCGGTGATCAATAGTTTGGTTTTGATGATTAGTTGGTGGAGTTCGGTGATCAATAGTTTGGTTTTGATGATTACTTGGTGAAGTTCGGTGATCAATAGTTTGATTTTGTTGATTACTTGGTGGAGTTCGACGATCAATAGTTTGGTTTTGATGATTACTTGGTGGAGTTCGATGATCAATAGTTTGGTTTTGATGATTACTTGGTGGAGTTCGGTAATCAATAGATCCACGTTCGTTACTGATAGGCAGAGTTCGACCATGAATACGAATACTCTGATTATGACTAGGAAATCTTTGATGAACAATCGATTCAATTTCACTATCGTTAATAGATCTACTTCGATGAACAATAGATCTATTTTGATGATCAATAGATCTACGTTGATGATCAAGAGATATACTTTGTTGTATTTTCTCATGAATTAGAGCCTTTATTACGCCATTATTATCAACAGTGGCTAGATTTTGACTATCCACATGTACAGTTAGATTCACGATCAAAATTTTGACCAACAATCTTCGTTCTCTGACGCCATACCATCGTTCCCTTGCCAGCTTTACGATGCGGTTATTAAACCACAGAAGGAGAAACGGTAAAAGTCCAAGAAATACTATGAATAAAAAGACTCTTCTGCGTCGCAAAGCCTTCATTCGGCAGACAGGGCCACGTTTACATAACATAACAAATCGAGTGCTCAACAATGAACGAAAAAAACTTTGAAGTCAGAACAGTTAAATTCTGTTTCTGAAGTTCAAACTCGTACAAACGAGAAAGAAAATCTCTGCAGCTATTTATATAGGTCTAATTTTTTTAAACCCTTTCAAATATTTTTTCCTATCTATAGTACTAGCTAGTTTCCGGCCAACGAAACAAGAAACGTATATAAATTATGAAGCTTGCATTTTATATAAATTCTATACAGAAAAATGAGTTTACCACTGAACCCACAAATTCTTTGTAATTTCATGAAATCGGAAGCATGTATGATTGCCGTAAAGACTCTAGCCAGAAGATTTCCGCTAAACCTCTGAGGAACAAAGATAAGCTATATATATATTCGATTCTAATTGACACGTATATAATAAATGCAAAGCCTTACTTTGTCTTTGCAATTATATAAGCAGGTCATGCAGGGACATTTTTAATTTTATACTGACCGGCGGTACCTCTCATTTCGCCCCCCAAGCAAAGGTCTCTTTTGTCATTGAGTTGCATTCCTCGTTGATTAATCCCTCTGATACCTTGGAAACAAAATTCTTCTACTTCTATTATGGGAAATGCAGATCTTGAAGACAAGAACACCAAAGACAATACAATACAATACAAACAATTTATTTAAACACGGAGGAATATTCAGTTAAAAAATACAACTGGTTTACAAAATTGCCGTGAGAGAGTCGTTATATATATATATATATTAGTAAAATAATCATTTGTAGCTTTCTTAAATTGAGGAAAGAGGGTTAAACTACGCATTTCTTCAGGAAAGCTATTCCATAGCAAAGCCCCGTAGACGACGCGAGGTTGGCGAATACTAAGGGCCCACAGTAATTGGTTTTCACTGTTGTGGTGTCCCTGCCATTCTTGTCCTTGTTTTTTCCAGACGCCTGTTCGACGTCCTGTCATTTGTATTGGCAAAGTTAAATAAATAAATAAATAAATATATGCCGCATTACGCCATTCATTCGCCATTCTACTGTAGATCACGTCGTTTTGACGCTCCCGTTCACAATCTAAATAGGGAGCTTTAGATTTGACTACGGACTCCCGCTACGAGATTCGTCATATTGACGTGATATTCGTGATGCTTTGACTGACGCCAGAGACTCGTAGCCGTCGCTCATTTGACTACGGAATTTTAAGAAAACCTCGTAGTCCTCACTACGTGAATTAAAAAGCAATAAAAGGTTACATTTTCTCGTTTTTTCCAGAAAATATTTTGAAAGAACTGTTGATCATGTGTATAAACTTTGATTACGTGAATTTTTCGAAATAGTAGGCGTAAAATTTCGGAAATATTTGACAGGATAAACATTCGTTCATTATTGTGTTTGCAGAGTTTTAAATAGGTATTCTGTGGTTTTATCATGCCAGCATAGATGGCGTATGCATACAACGATTGTTTCGCGCCACAGTGACGAATCTCGCAGCTGTAGCGGGTGCCGTAGTCGAATCTAAAACTCTCTAATCTGTCTATGATCACAGCAAACGTGGTCTTGCATCGGGCATATTCACAAACCATCTTTTCCCCTGACAGATATGATGTGGTTTCAGGTACGTGGCACCATAATACGCCGTCAAATATCGGGCCGCGTCATTGGGACAATACGTGGACATTCCTAAGAACCTACACGGTCGCAAAGGTAATACGATGTCTCGCTTTAAAAATCTGTAATCATATTCATCGTACACGACCGAGCGGAAATCCTCGAGGAGAAAGATATCCATGTACACATAGGAACTCTGATATAATCTCGCGTGTGGATCGAGGATCGCGCAGTCATCAGCAACTCTTCTGACCAAACTTCCATTGCAGTCTTTTCGAGGTGTGTCGTCTTTTGGGTGGGGGGAATGCCTTTGTAAAAGCAAGTGAACTGTCCCATCGTTTAAGTCGAGAGGTCGACTCGATTCTTCTGGGAAAAGTTTATGATATTCATCTCTGAATATGCACACGTCAATATCGGAGTCATACGGAATGACATCGCCGTTCCGAACAGCACCGAGAAACGATCCATAAGCGATAAAATATCTCGTGATGTTTCTCCGCTTTGCTATCTTCCTCCAGACGTTGAAAATGATTTTCAATCTTGACCTGTACAAATTAGTTTTGCAGCTTTTTCCGTAGTAAGAATCTTGAGCCTGTTGAAAATTATCTTCTTCGCGTTTCAACAATTTTCTTGCGATGGATTTTAATTGGGTTCCATGATTATTTGATAGAGTTCGATGGTCAATAGATCTATTTTGATGATCAATAGATCTATTTTGATGATCAATAGATCTATTTTGATGATCAATAGATCTATTTTTATGATCAATAGATCTATTTTGATGAACAATAGATTTATTTTGATGATCAATAGATTTACGTTGATGACCAAGAGATATACTTTGATGTATTTTCCTATGAATTAGTGCCTTTATTACGCCTTTATTATCAACAGTGGTTAGATTTTGATTGTCCGCATCTATAGTTAGATTCACGATCGAGGTATTGACCAACAATCTTCGTTCTCTGACGCCATACCATCGTTCCCTCGCTAGCTTTACGATGCTGTTATTAAGCCACAGAAGGAGCAACGATAAAAGTCCAAGAAAGACAATGAATAAAAAGATGCTTCTGCGTCGCAAAATCTTCATTCGGCAGACAGAATCACAGTTTACCTGAAATAACAGCAAACTGAGTGCTTGGCAAACAAATAAATAAACTATATTAAAAATGATAAAACTGAGTTACCACCATAGAGGAATACCTTAAACAGTTATGCACCGTTAAAACGTTCTATCATTTTTCTGATATGGCCAGTACAAAAAACTGAGCTATTTTTAAAGGTTTTTACAATGTACAAATATCCACTTGGAGCTTTGATTTTATTGACAAAATACAGTTCCATGTAGTAACCCGTATAGGAAAAAAAACATACCTTTTCTTATTCTGGCTAAACAAAGAACAATAATCTTCTTTTCATGTAGTCTAGAGAAAACCTTTCTCTAAGCGCTAGCTCTTATGTTTTCCCCAGAAGATGCTCAAGTTCAAGTCAAGCTTCAGGGTACATCATCTGTTCGTTGAATGATTAATTCACGTTCCAGTTGTTAGTTTATCGCCGCACGGCGTGAAATTACGACAGAATTAGATCTTAAATACTTAATAGAATCATGAAAGCACAATGACAGGTTACCACCAGGTATTTTGTACATACGTGTTCCCGGAATCATAACAGTATTATCCGGCGAGCAATTGCTTTGAAATTGTAGTAAAAGGTGGCCTTTGTGACTTGTATTGCGAGCTGTAATAATAGACCCTTTTCATAATGACTTTAAACGCGGAAAGTCTGAGGTTACACGATAGTTTTGTGGAGCCAACTTTCCGCGTTTGACGTCAGTATGAAAAAGGTCTATTATTACCGTTTCATTTATTTTACACAAAAATGTGGTAAGAAATCTTACCGCGTATTAAACGGTACATGTCGGCAAAGATATATATTTTCCGTAACGCTGTCAAATTGTGTCAAGCAGGGACAACTGAATCAAGATTTTGTAGCGCCTCACTGGATGTTGAATAGTTTCAAAAGGGTTAAAGATTCTTGTTCGCGTTGAAATCATTAAATTTATGATCTCCCTATGAAATCCAAACCCAATACATCTGAGGAACAAGATGTAACAATGTTTATATGGATGACACCACCTCGTATGAAGTGATTGATGTATCATCCCATACATGCATGGGGAAGTCCAATTGGAATCTCACAGGAATGGGTGGATAAAGTAATTCAATTTACCAGAGACGAGATGATGGAGTTAAACGGAGGAAAATGTAAGGAAATGATTATTGATTTTCGAAGGAACAAAACAGATATACCACCGATTAACATTGGCGGTTGTCAAGTAGCTCGAGTACTCTCCTATAAATTGCTTGGATTATGGATTGATGATGATTTTAAATGGACGACCAACACACTGAATATATTGTAAAAAAGGCAACCAAGCGATTACATTTTTTAAAAAGTTTGAGGAGGTATACGAAGCACCTATTGAGGATCTTTTGATGTTCTACTGTGCAGTTATTCGATCTGTTCTGGAGTACGCGGTATGCAGATATGGAGTGGTGGACTTACAAAGATGCAAAGAGATAATATAGAGAGAGTTCAAAGAAGGGCTCTTAATATTATTTATCCGGAGCATACTGGTTATAAGGATTATAGCAGCAAATTAATCGTGAGTAAATTGGAAACCCTGGAAGAACGTAGAAATAAAGCATGTGTATTGTTGATTAAAGATTTAATTGACCCGAATCATCGGCTTCACGAATTGTTGCCAAAACATGTGAAAAATGTTAGTGAAAAAGAAACGAGATTTAACAAAGATAAACTATATAATTACTTCTGTAGGACAGAACGTTGCAGACATAATCCATTAGTCCATGCTATAGGATTGTATAATTTATTTTTAGATAGGTAATCTTAGATGTACTTAGTATAGCTTAAATTTTTAATCTAGAACGTTGTAATTTAGCTTAGGCTATTGAACGTTGTAATAAACCCACTTATAATGAAAACTTTATTAATAAGTTTTTAGGGTATATACAATTGTAAATCTTATTTATATAAGGTAATTTACAATCGGCTACTTGAATCAATCAATAACTACAATTTAATACTAATACAAACAATACATCATCTCTAAAACATTATAAAATTTATATGAAACTGGAACGAATCATGATTA